GGGGAGGGAGAGGGGCACGAACATGCAGAATGACCCGTCAAAGAGCCAGACAAATGCCATCAGCCAGCCCTCGGTGTTGTCGCCCCGGACGGACTCCCACCCGAGCAGCTGGTCCACGCCAAAGGGCCGGCCCGCGACGAGCGACGTGAAGACGATGAGGACGAGCGCGACGGCGTAGAAAAGAAGCTGCAGCACGGCGATTTGCGCGGCGGTGCGCAGCGGCTGCAGCTCGTGCAGGGCGCCGGCCCTGGGCGGCCTGCGTCTGCGCGCCATGGAGGAAGGAGGAGGGGGGGGGTCGGTCGGCGGCTCTCCCGAGTCGCTCGAGGAACTTTGGTACGGGAACGCGGCTTGAATAGAGCGCAGAAAGAATAAATCGGATAAAAATTCGGCTCGTATTTATGCGCGGCGCATTGTTGGATGAGAAAAGAGAGGGTGAACCTGGCCGTGGTCGACTTGATCTGTGGCGGCGTAGGCAACGGTTGCTCGGAACTCGGGGGCGGATCGATCCCAAAGAATAGATAGAAATGGAAGTAGACAAAACAAAGAAAGAGTTGGTGATGGTTGATAAAATCCGTGACGAAAAGCTGAAGCACTAGCGGAACTGTGAGATGCAAAAAACGGCTGTTGGTTTGAGAGGGAAAGAGAAGAGAGAGAAAACGGCTGCCTGCGTGTCCCCCGTGATCGATGGCACTCAAAATCTCCAGGAGGTTGGTTCGTGTCTGATGTCAGGCAGGTTCAATCCAGTCGCTGTGGGTCCCATCGGACGGGACAGCTTGCGGGTTGAAAAAGGTACGTACTCTATTTTGACCAGCATCTGACCGCCCTGGGATTCTGCCATCGCCGCCAGACATCCGAACGCTTCCTATGTTCAACGACCAGCACTAGTTACCGACCAACTTTTATCAATTCAACAGCCTGCATCGCACCGAAGGGGGTTGATAACCGCAAGAAACTCAATTCGACTCGCGGAATCACACAACCAACCCACCAACTAGCTCTCACGTGACCGAGCAAGCCCCAGCTCGAGCCGGCACCCGAACCTCCCTCTCTCTCTCTACAAAACTACACACACACACACACACACACACACATCACGATGGGCTGGCTACCATTCACCGGCACCACCCGGGGGGACGAGATTCGCAGCGGCGCCGCCATCCCCACGCGCACCGAGCGCGCCGCGTGCTGGACCTCGCGCGACGCCTGGAGCCCGGCGCCTCCGAGGCCGCGCGCGCGTGCCCCGAGGCGACCGCCGCGTTCGAGCGCGACTGCGCCGCGGCGTGGGTCAAGTACTTCAAGCAGTGGCGCGTGGCGGACGCGCAGAAGCGCAGGCGCATCGAGCAGCTGCAGGCCGAGGGCGCGGTCGAGGCCAACGTGACGAGCAGCTTCGCGGGCGGCGGCAACATCTCGGGCAGCAGCGGCAAGGCGCAGGCGACCAAGGAGGATATACAGGCGATGCTGGATAAGAAGCGCGGGTGAGGAGGTGAGGGAACAACAAGGGGGAAGAAGGGTGGTAGGCAGGGCAGAGGCGGACGGCCGCTGTATGATTATATCAAGGCCCTTGTATATTAGCTGGCGGAAACAAATGAAACAGCACCGCATCATCTCACTCATACGAATACAAACGTTCAAAGTCACTCGATTCAGCTATCATGGCATGGTACATCCCACTGACGTTAACCTGGGCAGCATCGAGCTGAATACGCGAAATGAATGACATTATGTTTCATCTACCTTTTGTTTAGGGCCTTTTTCTCTCGTCTCCCCAAAACGACAACAGAATTCTCAAAAAGCCAATTTCCACGTCACGACAGACAAAAAAAAAACCAACAAATGCCCAAATGTGCCGTAGCGGACATGCATATTGTTCATTGTTCGATTAAACCAAATAAAGTAACCGAAAGAAAAAAGAAATAAAAATGGGTGTGGAGAGAAGATGATGAAGGAGAAAAAAAAGTACAGACAGTACTCGCAATGCAGTGGTGGTATCGTCCATGTCTCTCTTGGCAACAAAAGGGAAAAAATGAAAAGAAAGGGAGATTGAGCAACAAAAGAGGCGCAGAAACCAACAATGAAAACAAAGTCCCAGCAAAAAAGAAAAAAAGAAAAATCAATCTCGCTCAACGGTATGAATCCTCGGCTCCTTACGAGTGACGCCAGCTCGGCAGTCGCCCGCAACATTTACAGGTCGGCCAACTAAGAATATCGAAACAGGTTTCCATGAAGTTTAATAAATGCGGCATCGCTCAATCTCCCGTCTAATAGCATCCCCCCCGGCCTTATTCATCGTGCAAAAAATAACAACTCTGGTGGTGAATATGTGTGATGTGCCAGAACAATCATTGGCTAAAGGTACTGCGTGGGGCGTGGAAACAGGGATCGAAACGGGCTGAGAATCTAGGCCACCCCGTTGCGCTGATCCGCCGCTTCCCTAGGCAGCGGCGGGAGCTTCTTGTCCAAACTCCCGCGGCTATACGTGCGTGGTTGGCCGGCATCTTCGAGGTCGTCGTCTTTTGCCGGTGGCGGAGGGGCTGCTCGCGTCGGCGCCGACATGTCGTTGTCTCTACCATGACCGTTGATCTCGTCGCGGCTGCTTTCACCCAGCTCTTCCACCACAGGTAAGACGCGGTCGTGTTGCGTTGAGCTGCGGTTTTCCGCCGGAACAGACACAGTCTTAATCGTTCGCTCTGGCGGATGCGCCTCAAAGCTCAGCCTCTTTTGCGCCTCCTTCTTTGCCATGTCTATCGTGTCTCTGGGCTCTTGATGTTGAGCGCCGGGTGGCAGCGGAGGAAGGTGCGTCGGCATGGGCGGAATTGAATGCTTATTCCTTCTGCCCGGCGTCTCGCCTGATAGACGTGCTTCCATCGCCTCCTGCTCGCGTCGAATTTCCTCTCTTTGTGCCTCCTCGCTGGACATGGTAATACCCTCTACAAAGTTGTAGAAGCGATCGCCGTATTGATCTGGAGGTAGAGCGGAGATCTGTGTTCTGTCGCTGGAAAGGCCCTTCCAAAAGTGCTCAATCTTCTTGATTATACCGTAGTGGGTAAGGCAATCAATGACACCAAGGTAGTAAATCTCATCGGCGGGATCGTTGTTTTCATGAGTGGCTTGGAAACCGCCATCGTCCTGGTTGAAGACAAATCCGGGGCGGCTGTGGCTCTCGCCAAGCTCGTCGGGCATCTTATCAATAGCTTGGCCCATAGGGATGGGACGCTCCTGTCGGATCATCTGACGCAGTTCACGGGCTTTGCGCGCAGTCTCTAGCTTGGAAGGCGTCCGGTGCAGACCCATTGGCGGCTCCTCATCCATGGATTTTTCGCGGCCCGGGTTGAAGACTTGCAGTGTCTTGTCACGCAGGTTTTCTTCGTTGCCACGAGACACGTCGTGGATACCAACGAGCAGAGAATAGTCCATGATTTGCAGGCGCTTCAGTAGCACCACGTCAGCGCGCAGCTGTTCCAAGAACATTCTCTTCTTCTGAATACCCAGTTCCAAGTGTCGCTTCCTGCGCAGCCAGTTGAGGTCTTTCAAGGTCGCTCTCGGGTTCTGTTCCAAGTCCTCCTCTTTATAATTTCGCCCAACTGTGGATCCCTTCAAATCGAAGGTGGTATGAATATCACGGTGCGGCGGAAAGAGGTTGTTCATGACGACAAAGTGAATCTTCTTACCGTAGGGCATCTTGACGCGGTGCAGTCCGTAGAACTGGGAGAGTAGAGTGTTGGGGTTTTGCTGAACGTGAGTATAGTAATCTTTAAGAATCTTCCTCAAAAACTTATGTTCAGAGTGATGAATCGTTTTAATAATGTACTTGTAGTCTCTGGAAAAGTAGAAGAAGCTGCCACTCTTGCCGGGCGAACCGAGCTCAGACAAGATGTACTTGCCGGTGAGAGACATGAGGTAGTCGGCGGGGTCGAGACGAAAGAGAGCACGTAGGCGCCGGAATACCCACGGGGCGTAATCTTTGAATTTAAAATCATACTTGGCCGAAGGTACCAGCTCGTTTCCGGTGCTGTTCAAGGTTAGCGTCTACTTATTAGACGTGAGTGATAAGAAGCTTACATATCGAAAGTCGACTTTTGCTTGGCTTCAAAGTCGGCGTCTGTAAGCTCACGGTCGAGCTTGGCATTCGTTCTGGAAACGGAGACGCGGATTCCAGTTAACATGTTATAGGCTGTGACCCAATTGGCATGGCTTTCGTCAACCTTTGTGCCAACGAGGACGCGGTCGTCGTCTTCCTCCTCCTTACGCCTGCGCTTGCTAGCTCGTTTCTGGCGAATGGCTTCGGCCCACCTAGCGGCGTCCTCGTCCGGAGCTACCTCGTCGCGGGGCATGTCAGAGAATCCTGAACGGGTCGCTCTACGGCCCAAGTTCATGGAGGCACGTCGTGTCCCGGACACAGCAGATGTCGGGGAGAATCGGCCGGTTGCCAAGGCCGCGTCCTGCCCATCTTTAGAAGGCCGATTGGATTTGGGAACCTCGAGAGTATGCCGCTGCTTCAGAACTGGCGGCTGAGTCGGTGGAATGAGGTGACCGGAGGACGATGAGTTCAACGAGGTATTGCCAGGTTGGTAAGCTGGGGGGGAAGAGAAACGGTGGCCAGCAGGCTTTGGAGAGACCGGTTCGGCGCCCCGGCTGACGTCGACTAGACTAGATGAGGCGACTGCCGCTGGAGCGGGAGCAAAATCCTTTTCGATGGGTATAGGCGGTTGTTCGTCGTGGTCTAGCGTGACGGTTGAAGCGCGGTTTGGAGGATTGGGTGGCTGGTGGAGAGGGGCCGAAGGTATTTGAGGAGATTGCTTGGCGTCGCCATTTTGAGCGAAGTGGCCATTCTGTGCAGATAATTGAGGAGCAGTTCGGTCGGGGAGGGAAAATTCGCCGTTAGTAAGGCCATTGGAAACGGTCGGGTGCGTGTCGCGCGCGTCGTCGTTTGTGTACGAGTTCATGCTCGTTGGTCGAGTGCCATTGCCATTTTCGTTGGGCATCATTGCACGCGTTCCAGAGGCGTCTGAGTCGTGGGTAGAGATCAGGGAGCTCCCATCGAGGCTCTCGGTCGTGTGGTCGGGCCTCGAGTGGTCGAGGACATGAGTATGGGCTGCAATTTTATCCGAGGCGAGCGCAAATTTGTCGTGATGGCTGAGCTGAAGAAAGTCGAGATGGGGAGAATCTACCAGCGCGTTATCGTCGGCGAGGTATGAGGGCATTTCGGCCGAAAACAGGTGCCGTGGAAAGGCGACGCCCCGGGAGGTAGATGCAGCTAGGTAGGTAGCCCGTCTGTTGTTGCGATGCTTGTCCAAGGCAGTGTGACAAGGCCGTTCGGAGAGGACGGGCGTCGTGGGAGCACGCTCAGGGTTCGGGGGGCGGTGTGCCGTGGGGTCAGGTAGGCAAATAAAAAAATTATGCGAGAGCCGAGACTCGGTGCCACGAGAGGACGCTCGTCAAGGCAGGCCGCAGCGGCGGCCAGGGCGAATGGCGGTGATGATGTGAGGCGGTGCAGCACGGTCAGGCATATACGGTCGGAGCGATGAAGAAGAGAGACGTGACCGGGAGGTCGGAGAGCGGCACGAAGCTCGGACTCGCAGAGGGGAGCTCGGATGTTAGTGATGCAGCAGCGACTGTGAGAGAATTGGATGAGGATGGGTGTACGGATGACGATGCTGGCGGCCAAAGAGAGGGGAAGGGAGGATTTCCAATGGGCGAGTGAGACTTTTGGGGGAGGATGGAGAGAGAAGTCAGACAAGAAACGACAGACGTCGACGTTGGGCGGCGAAAATAACCAACCAAGGCGGCGGAAGAAGCCACACACGCCACTACCGCAATTAATTCCAGGGGACAACAGGCTGCGACGGCGATGAGCTACAGGCGGTAATGGCAGTGTTAGACTGCTAAATCTGAGCGTTGCTCTACTCCACCTGCCCTGTGGCTGTGCCACGGGGAGCTCTTGTTGGCCGCTAGCCCGACGCCGCGGAACCCCGGACCCGGGACAAGGGGCGGCCAACAAGTCATGATAGGGTGGAAGAGGGCTGTATAACTAGATGACAGACGTTTGGGTGCATATTTAAACGTCAAGGTCATTGGTCGCAAGTATATTGATCGTCGCTGTTTAAAGTGAAAGCAGCAGCTGGTGGGCTCGTAAGTGTCCGTGGCTGGGTGACGTGAGGGAGGTGGACACTATCTGTCGCGGTTTACGACCTTGCTATGCAACGAGAAAATACAATTTTTGACAAAAATACATATCGTTCAGGCTGACTTTGCAAAGCCAAGGAATTGCAGCTTTTTTTATATCAACCATCCTGGGCAAAGGACGCTTTTCTTTCCTATTATATTGCTCCCAATTAGCGGCAAACTTAAAGATTGGGACGACCGCAGGGACAGAATGTGCGCGTATTTACCAAGTACCTGGTGCTGCCCAACTTACATACAATTAGTCCGCGATATTCTTATAATTCTAACAATTCTTTCGTCTTACTAATTATCACGGATTGCGAATTACTTGACGCAAAACTGCTCCCGCCTCTCGGTCTCCAACCGACACAGCTCGCCTTGACAGGCGTCCCAGTGGTTGCCCCTCAGCCATATTGCCAATAACAAGCAAGACACATTTCCATACGACTCGCCAAGGGCCGCGAATCCCCTGAGCTCGGCGCCACGTCTCCTCAGCCTCGGATGCCGTGTCTGCTTACGGGCATAACCATCAAGTGGCCCCCTAATTTTCGAGTACGGCATCACAAACCCTGCCCCTGCTTCGAAAAGAGCAAATGGGCACAGGAATAGAGAGGACACGCAAAAAAAAAAAAAAGAGAGTTTACTGACAATAGGTGGAAAGCCACAACTCACGTCTCAGAATCACAAAGACCAAGTTGTCGCTCCAGCTGCCCGCTACATGTCTCAGATCCTAGGCCAAGTCTTGTCTTTGAGCAGTGTCGTCACTGAAGATTACGAAGTGCGACGCGACCTCTGCGGCTCTTCCCGTCACCTAGTAATAATTTAGTAAAGTCGTAATAAGGAGGCACTTTCTTGGCGGCATTGACTTGGCGCCACAAATAACAACAGACTCTTACCAATGCACTGAAAACACATTGCAGCTTGCGTATTTCTGGTGCATTATTTGTTACAGGCAGCCCAAATCATAGATGAATCAGTTCCATCGCTCTAGCACGCAGCCAACTCCCCGATCCCACTGTCAAGACGGCACCAAAAGTCGCTGAGGATCGCCCACTCTTTGACGTAGTAGCGCGAACGGATCGTCCTGGGCTCCAGTAATAAAAGGACAAGAATTCATTTCCTCCGACGGTTGCATAATCACCTGGCAGATCCTATAATTCGTTTGAATTTCTAGCTCATGGCGTCAAGCTCAGCTCTTGCCAGGTCACGGTGAGGGCTTGTAGTACGAACAGCGAGACGGGAACAGAAACTTGTCTTTTAATATTCCAAAAATGATGAACTATAAAACCATCTTGAATCCCGGGTCTCTATCATCCCCAGAGCCTATATACATGTTGTATTTACCTTTTCTCTTGTCACGATTGATTTTCGCACACCAGAAAATGTTGGCAAGAACCCTGCATGAGGTGAGCGTAATGAATAGTACAACAGTCAACTTTGGAACGTACGCGAGCCAGGCATAGCATAGCAATCCGAGTATGACAGTATGCCCCTTATGATAGTAGGGCTCTTGCGAATCTGGGTAAACGAATGCTGGGGCAGCTGTCAGTCGAGGGTCTCGTCAGGCAACGCAAGGGGAAAGTATCATACTAGCAACGAAGCCGCCGGCGTTCGCAATGGCAAGTTGCAAGCCCGACGTTGTGGCACGCTTGTAATGGCCAGCTGAGTTATTCGAGTTCCAAACTAGAACAGGCGGCACCGCGCAGTACATGCCCAAAGCCATCAAACACGTCATGGCGAAACGTGTCTCTGGTGACTTGGTATTGGCAATGACAGCGTAGCCTGCAATGGCAATGGGAATGACACACAACATGATGATACCTCGAACTTTGAGGTGATCTGATAAAAGTGCTACCAAGACTACATGGTTGTTAATTCTCGATTCAATAAACCGGTCAGGCGCCCATCAAGAAACTCACCTGTAAATGGTGTGGCTACAGCAAATGGTATGACGGACCAAAGCTGGACCTGGTTCGCATCGCTTGCAATTCCAATTTCCTTGACAATTGTGGGTAGCTTGACAATGTCAGCATGGGCTATGATGCAAGCTGCGTAGACGGAACATACAAACAGGCCAAATGAGTATAAACCGCTGAGGATAGCAAAGTAAGCCGTGCTACTGAGCCAGACCTGAACGTTGGACATGCCGCGGCGCACTTCAGACCATTGAAAAGGTTCTGCACGCTCGAGAGCACGACTGAGAGAGACGTAAGCAACCAGCCAGCAGAAAATATACAATAATCATACCTGAATCGTCCACCCCCGTCTTGCTCGAGACGATCTACCGCCCACTGCTGCTCCTCCTTCGTCAGGAATGAAGCTTCTTGCAGCGAGTTTGGCAGACCAAGGTAAGAAAAAGCAGCGACTATAGCAGTCTAAAAGATTTGTTAGCATAAAAGTTTCAAGCCCGATCCATTTTGTTTGAGTGCATATCTTACAATGACACCCTCCATGATAAAAATCCAACGCCAGCCTTCCAAGCCACCACGAGGGCCAATGGCAGAGAGCCCACGAGCGAGCAACCCACCAAAAGCACCAGATAGCGAGCCTCCTGTATAAAACATTCCAATGCGAACGGCAAGCTCGCTGCGCGTATACATGCTGGACAAGTACAGGACAATGCCGGGAAGGAGACCACCTTCGAAGATGCCCAGCACCGCTCGGAGGATCATGAAGTCTTTGTAGTCGCGCATAAAGCCAGTTCCAATAGTGATTATGCCCCAAGAAAATGTCAAAAACGGTAACCAAATTTTGGGGGAGACTTTTTTGATGATCAGGTTGCTAGGAACCTCACTGCGCCAAGTGTCAGCAATGGAATGGCATTGGCGAATGCGACCTGACCAACCTGGCGATGTAGCAGGCATAGTAAATGGCAAGGCCGTTTCTATACTGTGAAGGATTGATATGAATGTCTTTTTCTAACCCAATGATTTTGGCATTGCCGACGTTTGTCCTGTCGAGAAACGAGCAGAGAAAGAGCAGGGCGACAAGCGGCAGAACTCTTGACTCAGTCAGTAAAATAGAAGAAGCAATACAGTCTGCGGTGCACCTTGACTATCATACCGAATATCGGCTTTGAACAAAACTCTTCTCGTAAGCTCGTGATGACTTTGATGGACGGGAATGCTTGCGTGGTCGGCAGACCCAATGTCGGAGTCGTGGGCCACCTTCAGCGCCATAGCTAACGTTACAACCGTTTACTGCCTACAGCAGTTGTGACAAGTAATCGAAAGGACACCTAGTAGCATAATAATAGTGTAGTGAGGTTCTCAATTCCGCGTAAGAGATGGATTTAGATAGAAGCAGTCAATGACCCCATGAGAGGTGGCGCAGGACCATCGCGGAAGATCTGTCGAGAGGGGCCAAGTCCAACACCATCAGGTCCGAGTGTCCGGGGGGCCGTTTGATTGACTGACTAGTCTGTGCAAAGAAAGGATCGCTGGTAGTTTTTTCTCGGAAGCCTTTTTAATCTGTGCTTGTAGAGTCTAGCGTGGGTGTGACGTAGAGACTCTGCCTTGCAATTCTAAACCCGAATCTACTTTCAGGTTTAAATTACTAGGTCAACTCCCACGCAAGTTCACCAGTTTATATACCTGAACCCGTTTGGGCAGGCCGGGGCACCAGGTACTTTTTGACGACGTTATGCACATATCCAATTAGGATGACAGCCAGGATGCAGGGCACTGTTCTGAACGATTGCGGGGAAGTGCTTGGCTTTTGCGGCGTGGGATGGCAGGGCGGGCTGCCATTAGGTTTTATGCTTTAAAAATAAAAGATAGGAAGGTTATGGGGGATTTTTTGTCGGGAATGGCTGCGAGGATTGGCCCGCAGTGTGAGGTGAACTTCAGGTGGAAGGTGCCATTGGGGGGCTTACCGGGCGGAACTTGCGATGCTGGTACTAATAAGGGACTGGCGTAAACATATCAAATGCCATACACGACATATTAAATAAGCAGCGACATAAATCAAAATATTATTACACACGTATCAATCTATCTACCTACATCTACCTTCTCCGAAACTATCGGTATCGGCAGCGAGGAAAATGCCCCCAGCAGATGGCGCGGAGTCAACTCCGCAGAATGTTTGCCCAAGTGGCCGCAACTCTTGCGATAGGGAAACCAACGAAAATCTTTCGTCGGAAGTGGAAGCGGTTAAAGAATCAGGACTATACCGCTTCGTTGAAGTACAGACGTGTCCCGGTCACAATGGCAGCAACGAAGCAAGCCCACGACCTTCGCTCCAATCCACTGCCGATATGTACAGCCGGTCACTCAACGACGTATCCAGCTTGATGGACCAAACCACAGCCAAGGAGGATGACAGCCAGGTAGGCCGTGCGCATCGCGATTTCTCCGGAGTCGTGGAACGTATTGACGGTAGTATGCGATGTAGAGCGAGATCCTATACCTACGAAAGCGTCGGCAGCCGCAGTCTCAACCCTTGACACCACCCAGCCTTAGACATCGTTTACTGAAGAAAATCAGACCCAAGCGTCCTTGGGAGGGATCGCATAACCACGGGCAAGATTGCTCAGCAGGTCTCGCCGCATCACTAGGCCCAGCCAGCCAGCTGCGACGCCGCGATCGAGACTCAACACAGATTCACACCTCATCCGACGACGAGGACGCTGAAAGCAGATCCGTCGCTGTCAGAGAACGAGAGTCTTTAGAGCAAAATCAGAGATCTCCCCGGGAAACGAGTGGTACAGCCTCCGGCGCATGAGCAGAGCTATCATTGGTGGACGACCATGGCGCCGCTGCAAGTCCGCGCCTAACCAAGCCAACAATTACATTGTGAGCCAAACCATGTTTCCATAGTTGAGTGACTTAGTAGAGTTTTTGATATATTTATGAAAATAGTTTCTACCAGAGTATCCCAGATGCCAGTGCTTACTCAAAGTATATCGTCGCCGGAGTAGTTCGGCGTAGTCGCCTACACCAATCGGCGCCGGTCAAACGCCGCAACCCACGACTCGCACTTCTCGCCGAGGCACCCCGGCGTAAAACACCCAATGCGCGCTGTAGTGGCCATGCTTTAGTGGGGAGTTTCAGCGGGTTGCGTCGGATCCACGCCTGGAAAGCCGCCTAACGGGACGGCGGTGGGGAACATCCCGGGGAAGCGACATCGCTACCCTCGCCCGTTCGCCGACATTGATCATTTACAAAACACAGAACCTACCACCAACACCTCCTGTGCTCTTTTCCCCTTCTTCTGCCATATTTCTCTGCCATTGAAGATTCTTCGCTAGCCTCACACAGTCACAATGTTCCGTCCAGTCCTGAGACAAGCTACGAGAAGCGGCTCGGCATTCCGCCCTGCTGCTGTCCGCTCTTTCGCCTCGGCATCGGGCCCTACCTTCAACTGGCAAGACCCTCTTGCCTCGAAGAATCTCCTCACAGAGGAGGAGATTGCCATTGCCGAGACGGCCGAGAGGTATTGCCAAGAGCGCATGCTCCCCCGAGTTTTACGTGAGTCCCGGCCGCCACTGCGAGTTGCAGCTTGTCCTTCAATCGCATGCTAACGCTGCCGTAAATAGAGGCCTACCGCGATGAACACTACGACCCTAAGATTCTCGAAGAAATGGGCGAGCTCGGTCTGCTCGGCGCCACCATCCAGGGATACGGTTGCGCCGGTGTGTCGAGCGTCGCCAGCGGCCTCATCACACGCGCGGTGGAGCGAGTGGACAGCGGCTACCGCTCTGGCATGTCGGTGCAGTCGTCGCTGGTCATGGGCGGCATCAACGAGTTCGGCACGGCCGAGCAAAAAGAGCGCTTCCTGCCCGAGATGGCCAAGGGCAAGCTCCTCGGCGCCTTCGGCTTGACGGAGCCCAACCACGGTAGCGACCCCGGCAGCATGGAGGCCGTCGCACGCCCGCACCCGACCAAGAAGGGCGTCTACCTGCTGAGCGGCGCCAAGACATGGATCACAAATAGCCCGATTGCCGACGTCCTGATGGTCTGGGCCAAGCTGGAGGAAACGGGCAAAATACGCGGCTTCCTGGTGGAGCGCAAGGACTGCCCAGCGGGCACGCTCGCGACGCCGGCAATCAAGGACAAGAACGGCCTGCGCGCCTCCATCACGGGCATGATTCAGCTTGATGACTGTCCGGTGCCGGTGGAGAACATGTTCCCCGACATTGAGGGCCTGCGCGGGCCCTTTTCGTGCCTCAACAACGCCCGCTACGGCATCGCGTTTGGCATCATGGGCGCGCTGGAGGACTGCATCGCGCGCGCGCGCACGTACGCGCTGGAGCGCAAGCAGTTCAAGGGGAACCCGCTCGCGCGATACCAGCTGATCCAGAAGAAGCTGGCCGACGCCACGACGGACGCTGCTTACGGCACGCTCGCGGCCATCCAGGTCGGTCGCCTCAAGGACGAGGGCAAGGCGACGCCCGAGATGATTAGCATGGTCAAGAGGACCAACTGCGATGCAGCGCTGCGCAACGCCCGCATCCTGCAGGAGATCTTCGGCGGCAACGCCGTTTCGGACGAGTACGGCATTGGCCGCCACGTTGCGAACCTGTTTGTCACGCAAACGTACGAGGGCCAGAGTGATATCCATAGTGAGTGTTGAAAACGCATTGACAGCCACACAAACGAAGCAAAAGCTAATGTGCTCTACAGGTCTTATTCTGGGAAGAGCCATCACTGGCATCCAGGCCTTTGTTTAATGCAACGGCAGATGAGGCCAGCGTCAGTACGCAGTCACAGCATAAAGCCGCGGAAAAAAACAGCATTATGTATGAAGATGTAATTCTAAAAATGACAGGGGTACATTTTAAAAATAGCGTCGACAATGCAATTAGAAATACAAATATATACAAGTTACAGAAGCTAGACCATGTCACCATCACCAGTCACATATGGGTAGAAGCGCTGTGGCTTTGTTGTCATATGCGCGCGGCAAGCAATGTTGATTGCTCGAGCTCAGTGTGATGAGGTGATGGGTCAGCGTGCGGCATCATGACACTGAGCAGGATATGGGTGCCCGAGTGGCAATAATCTTGGTGAGAATGTATTGTCAGGCACTTCCTCTCGGTCGGTCCTGTTAGAGAGGGCTCCGAGTGGGCAGCCGTCGAACCCGCCCGAACCAGCAGCCCGAGGCGGCATCACCGGGTTCTCGTGGAGTACTCGTACTACTAACAGACTATGGTGTGCGACGCATGCAAGGACTGATAGTGCAGTTGAACCTAGGCGGCTTAGCTCGTGCAGGTCACCGCCACATGGAAGGCAAGGCGACTCTGGCAGACTTTTCTTTCGCCAGCGCTTGACAGCCATCGATAAGGCCCCTCCAACCCCCCCGAGGCACGGTGACTGGGCGCTGCCTTGGGCCCGCCCCCACCTGGACTGCCCTCTCGTCTTCCTTCCCCTTCCAGTGCCCGCCTTCTGATTGATTACTGTACTCGTTTTTTTCCTGCCCGTCGCCCCAAAAGCGCCTTTTCTCCCCTCCAACCTTCCGCTAACCCAACCACACACAACCTACAACCACCGAACGTCCTTCCCAACGCACCACGATCGATCACGAGAGCGGCGGCGTCTCCCTCTTTCCATATCTAATCTTTGCCGTTACCTAACGGCTCTCCGAACTTGTTGTCTGGGTACGTCTGCATTCCCTTCTTCAACCTCGTCCTCGCGCTCTTTTTTCCTCACCCCTCTTCGTCCGCCGCCCGCTAACCTGCCGCGACAAACAGCAACGCTTTTCAGCGAAACCGACAGCCTACTTCATCACCTCGTCCACATAACACCCACACACCGCCCGCCATGGCTCTCAAGCGCATTAACAAGGAACTCACTGATCTCGGCCGGTAAATACTCCCTTCTCCTTCTCTTTTGACGGACCGCCGTCCGCTTGGCCTGCAGCCCGCTCTGCGTAGCGTCATGAGGTCACGTCTTGTTTGCAGCCCAAGGGACGAGCGAGGTGGGGCTTACCGAAGCGGGGTCCCCGTCTGGCAACAACACGGTCTTGATGGCAAGCTATTCGAGGGGATGAAGGCCTTGCTCGGCTCGAAAAGCGGGCTATTCGATGGCTGTTCATATTTTAGTGACATGCAGTGCTGACTTTTCGCTACAGAGACCCTCCCTCCTCCTGCTCAGCCGGTCCTGTTGGTGAAGACCTGGTAAGTTGGCCCTCGTTTGGCTGCCACCGCGGCTCAGCCCATCCGGGTTGCCCTGCTGGTGTCCGGTCGTTGTTACCTTTGGTATTACCCTGTGTCTTGGGGATATCGCTGCTAACTTGCCTTTCCTTCGACAGTTCCACTGGCAAGCTACTATTATGGGACCTGTAAGTTGCACATGCCCCTGCACGCACAATCCCGGCTATAAACCACAGCTTCACGCCTCGTATAAGTATCATTTCCATGCTAACAATGACAATAGAGCGACTCTCCCTACTCTGGCGGTGTCTTCTTCCTCGCCATTCACTTTCCCACCGACTACCCCTTCAAGCCTCCCAAGGTTAACTTCACAACGCGCATCTACCACCCCAACATCAACTCGAATGGTAGCATCTGTCTAGATATTCTGCGAGACCAGTGGAGCCCGGCGTTGACAATTTCCAAAGGTTTGTGCATTAGCAAATCACAATATGAAGTATACGGCTGCGGGACACACGCGCTAACAAACCCTAGTTCTTCTGTCCATCTGCTCGATGCTGACAGACCCCAACCCGGACGACCCTCTTGTCCCTGAGATTGCGCATGTGTACAAGACGGACCGACCACGATACGAGGCCACTGCTCGTGAATGGACGCGCAAGTATGCCGTCTAAGCGCCAGCGCGCGAGAGCGGGGGAGGAGAGCGGGGAAGGAGAGCGGGGGTGTGATGAGAGAAAGATGGAGCGCGTTGTGACTTGGCCTTCTGTTACACAATACCAGCATAGGATATCAAGCGAGTTATTTCTCAGCGACACGGTTGAGACAGGGCTGGTTCGTGGGCCGTGAGCCTGGCAGCTATCCATGATCGCGGTTAGAGCCAGCGCTGTCTGTTTGCGACCAGATATAGCGAGCTGACGGTCATGTTCAAGGGAATCGAAAAGGCCAAGTCGAGCTGTGTAGTGTAGAGCAGACATGGCAATCACCACAAGGATACCATACAGCTGGGGCTTTGCATTTTCAGGTTGCAATATTGTTCTTGGCATGCAGATTCAGGCAGCATATTTCATCATTGTCTCGGAACACTTAAAGAAATTGTTTACACCTATTAACAGGATGGCGAAGTGATGTGACGCTGAGGGGCAACTTTGAGACTGGTACGGGTCGACCGGCAGTCCGGAAGCTCATATCAGCAGTCAATGAGACATGTAACGTAAGGTTAGGGAACAAGACGGTGATGGGAGAGTTAAGTTGCGGTAGAAACAAGTTCGAGTTACGGCATGCAAAAGAAACAGGAGAAGAAGTGAAGGCAAGAGTGGCGATGGGAGAGAGTGCGGCTATGACGGCAATATAATGGAGACGCGAAACAAAGACGAATGGGTGAGGTATCGCGGGATAGGGCAGGAGAGGATCGGGAGTCGATAAATGGATTAAGAGAAAAGGGGACGTGCCTTTGGCACTAATCTTAGGTATGGGTATGGTGGTAGTGGTAAGAGAACACAGCCGGATCTGCGCGGGATGCGACGATGACTATTTTGGGAGTTGTTGGTGGGCAGTGTTTGTCTTGGGGTCTAACAACCTCTGGCCGCAGCAAGACGGAAGCAGGCGACTAGTTATTAACGTTAAGAAGCAGCCGGAGGTCAGATTCAGCCAGAGGTCAGAAGCAGCCGGAGGTCAGAAGCAGCGAAGGCAGGGCAGATTATCAAGTCGGGCAGAGCATGACGTGCGTCAGAATTTGGGACGAAACGGGAACGGAAATGTTTCGAGGGCGATACAACGGTGAGTGGGTAGTGGCGCGATAATGTCTGCCAGTGGTCGAGGCTCCTGTCGCATGAAGGGCGAGTTCTTGTTATGATTGATTTAACCTTTGTCATGGGGAGAGGCGAGTTGTTAGAAGCTATTCAAAAGGCTTGCGCATCCCTGCAGAAGAACCGAGGAATCTTTCGAGATTGGTGACGGGCCAGGGGGCGGGAGGCTGGCGGCGACGATGGATGTCGCAAGGTGTTTCAGGACGGAGGAGAGGGAGGGGAGACGGCGGAGGCGGAGGCAGGCGAGGAGATGGAGGATGGCAGTGGGCAGTGGGATTGAGCAGTGGGTTATGGAGACTGAAAGTTTCTTCTGGATAGGCATATTGATATGTATCTGGAATTTAGAATGAGGGTCGGAGATTGTTCATATGGGGAAGTTTCTTGATACCTAGAAAAGAAGACGTCGTGGTTGGATTATGGTGGTGGGTCCTGAAGAAAAGCAGTTTGACAGTCGGCAGGTTATTATTCAAACAGGGCAGTACAGTACAGTACCTATGTATGTACCTATGTATGTAGGTATGTACTGTACATAGTAAGTAGCCTTGCATTTGTGCTACAATGAGGGCGACAGGGAGGGGCCACGCTTTTCTTGGCAGCAGGAGAAGTGTCCCCTTTCCAAACGAAGCCGCCTCTTGCATCTCCGCCAGGGAAATGACCAAGAAGTTCGACGAGCAGAAATTCAGCAACCATTACAATGATGGCAATTCTGGCAAAGACGGCAAAAGAGGACTGACTGATAACGACAGCCCGCGGCAATTCGGATGTTGCAAAACGTTTTAAACACCGGTAGATTGATTGGAAACGCTGTTTGCTAGTTATTCCGATAACTAGTTAGCACGACTGAAGCACAAACGAGCAACAGAAGATGGGATGATGATGATGGGCCTTGCAGCAAGAGGAGATGAGGAGGCTCTGCAGCAGGACTGAGCGCATCCCCGACGCAACGCTGTTCGTGGTGGGATGTTTTCTTTCTATCCCCTTCCTGTCTTGATGATCGTATCAACATGACAAAAAGGAAAAGCGTGACTGCTGGGAATAAGCCTGTTTGTTTGTCGTTGGCTGAAAAGACAGACAGAATGTGGTCCAGCACTTTTATGGCAAGCCACACAGCGCCATCGATGCGAACTCGAACCACCCTTGGTTGATGAGCTTGCAAGATAATATCCAAAAAGCAGACGACAAACTCCCCTCCCGACGTTGCTTGTTTCGGACCGCGTGTGCCACCTTGGGCTCCTGTAACGCCGCGAGCCTCCTCCGCCCAGCAAATCTCAAACAGCACTAGCGAACAGGTCGACGACGCCGCCGCCCACAGCCGGCCGGCCGGGGCATTTGGCCCATGATGCCATGCTCCCGTTGCGTGTCAACGTCCTCCTCTTTTGATTGCGACCCCAAACATGGGGGCCACCGCGCGGCTTCTAGCCAACCACGACGTCGTCGGTTTATTAATTATTGCTCTTTTCTTATTAACCAATTCACTCTGTTATAACCCTCTCTCTTGTACTGACTTTGTCACCACGCGCTGCCCTTGTTACAGCCATAGCCGCCCCTTGCTCTCTCTGCCTTTTTCCGCTCCCCTCCCCCTTCTGCTTTAATGCACGCCTAATCCTACCGCGCTTCAACTTTTCTCTTTCCTCCCTTTTTAGAAAATTTTCCCTTTTATTCCCTTGTCTCCAATGACTCTACATCCCTCCCCCATTTGACCGTCATTCCTTTCTTTTGCTTGTGATATTGGGGTCGGCTTGTCTTTGTATACCTAGTGTTATTGGTAAGTTCACTCATCCCAGCCACAGCACGACGAGGCCTTGGACAACACAACATACTCACCACAAGTTACTATGGCCCAGAACATCATTCAGTTTGAAAAAAAGAGTACGGTATACGTCTTGGCTTTCACAACCTTCTTCGACACACTACACGCTGGCGTCTAAATCTCCCCGAACCTCTTGACGAGGCCTATCTTCTTAATACAACCGCGACATTGACACAAAACGACTGAGTCCATCCAACTATATTCACAAAAGCTCGCGGAGCTTTACCGCTCATTCTCTCACCGGCTCACGCCAAAATCTTCTCGCTCCGCCTTCTCTTCAACCTTTCACAACCTTTGCCATGAACGTCAATTATGGCCGCCCCGAGCGGTCCCGCGGAACACCACTAACCCGCATGATCATGAACGGCGAGGTCTCGATGGAAAAGCAGCTCGATCTGACATCAAGGGAAAAATTTGACCGCTGGATGATCAACGAGGGGTATCGAAGATTGTACGTTGGCCCTTCTCTCCTCGTACCGCCGACCGTCTCTCCCGTCCACTCGCACTAACCACATCTCTCAGCTTCGTCTTCGTCTTCGTCCTCGCCCATGGCCTAATCTTCGCCTTTGGCTGCGTCCACTACGGCCTGAAGGACTCGCTCGCCGGACCTCGCAGTATCTTTGGCTTCACCTTCACCGTGGCCCGTGCCTCGGCCCTCGTGCTACATGTCGATGTCGGCATCGTCCTCTTCCCTGTCTGCAGAACGCTCGTCTCGCTTATGCGTCAAACGCCCCTCAACGGCGTCATTCAGTTCGACAAGAACATCACCTTCCACATCACCACCGCCTGGTCTATCGTCTTCTGGTCTTGGGTCCACACAATCGCTCACTGGAACAACTTTGCCCAGGTCGCCGCCAAGAACAACCTGGGCTTCTACGGCTGGTTACTCGCCAACTTTGCCTCTGGTCCCGGCTGGACCGGTTACGTTATGCTGCTCGCCCTCATGGGTATGGTCGTCACATCGGTCGAGAAACCCCGCCGTGCCAACTACGAGCGCTTCTGGTACACTCACCATATGTTCATCGTCTTCTTCTTTTTCTGGTCCCTGCACGGTGCCTTCTGCATGATCCAGCCCGACATCGCGCCCTTCTGCACCAGCGTCGGCGCCTCCGCCATCGGTGTCTTTTGGCAGTTTTGGATGTACGGTGGTTTCTGCTACCTCGCCGAGCGCGTCGCCCGTGAGATCCGCGGCCGGCACAAGACGTACATTTCCAAGGTCATCCAGCACCCGAGCCAAGTCTGCGAGATCCAGATCAAGAAGGAGCACACCAAGACAAGGGCTGGCCAGTACATCTTCTTCTGCTGCCCGGCCGTCTCACTCTGGCAGTACCACCCCTTCACGCTCACCAGTGCCCCCGAGGAGGACTACATCTCGATTCACATGCGTTGCCAGGGTGACTTCACCATGGCGGTGTCAGCCGCGCTCGGCTGCGAGTGGGGAAAGAAGGGCGATGCAAGCAAGGTTGTTGGCGTTGAGGCCACCGATCCCAGCAACGGCGTAGACCCGGCCCTGCGCCGTGTCCTGCCGCGTGTCTACATTGACGGGCCCTTTGGCTCCGCGTCGGAGGATGTCTTCAAGTACGAGGTCTCGGTGCTCGTCGGCGCCGGCATCGGTGTCACGCCGTTCGCCTCGATCCTCAAGTCCATCTGGTACCGCATGAACTACCCGCAAAAGAAGACGCGGCTGTCCAAGGTGTACTTTTTCTGGATCTGCCGCGACTTTGGCTCGTTTGAGTGGTTCCGCTCCCTGCTCATGGCCGTCGAGGCGCAGGACGTCGAGCACCGCATCGAAATCCACACGTACCTGACGGCCAAGATCAAGAGCGATGACGCGACCAACATCATGATCAACGACGCCGACGCGGAGGCCGATGCCATCACCGGCCTGCGTAGCCAGACCAACTTTGGCCGCCCCAACTGGGACATGATCTTCCGCGGCATCCGCAAGCTGCACGCCCCCGGCGAGGCGGGTGTCTTCTTCTGCGGTCCGAAGGGCCTGGGAAGCTCCCTGCACGTCTACTGCAACAAGTACTCCGAGCCTGGGTAAGTCTCATTCTACAGGTTAACTGAGTTGGGAAGATGCTAATATCTGGTGTAGATTCTCGTTCGTTTGGGGCAAAGAAAACTTTTAGATTTTGGGTTTGTGGAAAAACCGTCGCCTTGTTTCTTTATTCGTTCCTTTTTCTCTTTCTTTTTCTTTTCTGCATATATAGGTGTTTCTTTCTAGTACACCATATTTCGTTATACCCAAGACGACGACGAATCAGTTCTTCTCCCGTTTCTTGGACAAGGTGGCGTCGGGTTTTGTGAGCCACCCAAGTCTTATTTCTTTTGCGCCGGACGCAAGTTGAGCCGTCGTCTCGCATCCCCCGTTAACCCTCCTTGCCTTTCTCTTCCGTCACGCCGGATGCTATTTCTTCTTTCCCTACACCACGCACATCTTACCATAGCTAATGAAACAAACCCTTCCGAGGCAATTCTCTAACCGTTGAATGCCCGTCTCATTCCCTGTGGTTGTATATTGACATGTGCGAATGCTGATGAGGGGACTTGCAAGCCAGTGACCGGTTTTGAGATGACTCGAGATTCTTGTACATGAGGTGCTGCGCCTCGCCGCAGCGCAAGCCCGAACCGACTAGCCCGAAACCCATGCTCTCATAGAGCTTCTTGCCATCCGAGGTGGCGATAAGCCAGACAGCGGCGGGTTGGCTGTTGGCGGCCTTGTCGATGCCCCATTGCACGAGGGCCCTGCCGACACCTCTGCGGCGGTGCGCCTCGTCCACCACGATGGCGTTTAGAGCTGGTTTTTATTAGCGACAACCTTCCAAAGGCCAAAAGAAGAGAGAAATAAACGTGCTCCATATGGTACTTCGCGTGGCCTCGTCCAGCGTGTCCTGGGCGTCTAACATTCGCTCAATCTCTGCGTTGGCCTGCATCACGTCCTCGTAGCCGATATACGACGGCAATCCCGGCGGTGGTCCTGCGCTCGACTTTTCCTCTCCGCCTCCGCCTTCTCCCGCCGGAGGGGGCCTCGGCGCGCCCCAGATGGCCATACCCACAACCTCCTCCTCGTCCACTGCGACGATGTAGCGCGACGACGAGGATGAGGATGCCAGGGCGCGCTGGGCGCCGAGACGGAACCACGCGAGGGCGTCGCCGTCGCCGGGCAGCACGCGGCGCGAGGCGGGGAACATGGCGGCGCGGAAGGGGCTGCCCCGGTAGCCGGCGACATCGAGGGCGGCCATGGCGGGGATGTCGGCCTCGCGGGCCTCGCGGATGATGATGGGCATTGGCAAAAAGAAACAGGATAGACGGAAAACAACAGGGTATGAAGAAGGGTCGGCATGGAACAGCGCAGCCCTACCCGTCTTATACGGACGCTACTTTGTCGGCAACGGGCATCGATGGCGCTATTAGGGCTGACGAGGCTCGACAAGGGTCCAGGAACAGAAACGGCAAGTCGGCGTACGTCACTGGCGAGCAATAGCATTACGTGTACCTAAAAGGTGATAAATAGCGTTCACGTTACGAAAGAGTTATTGATTCGAGCTGAGCGTATTTTTCATAGTTCTACCCGTTGTTCTTGCACTCTGTTGTTCGCACCGTCCGTCGTTCAAAATTCGAGCCACACTCCCCCTCATAAGAAGAAAACCAAATCTCAGCAAGACAACAAAGAAATATCCATTATTTCCACAAGTGCGATAACATCGAAACATCCATCATTAAGATAACACCCAATTACCAAGCGCTCAGTCGGTAGGAGAAGTGAAGAAGCCAAACAACGCAAAAGATACCGAGCAGGATCCTCCAACCGGCAAAGTCCGGGCCAGGCCCTTTTTCTTTGGGCGCCGGGCCGGGGCTCATCGCCTCGAAGAACTCGACCTCGAGCTATTGCTTCCATCTGGGCCGCACCCGGGCAAGATGAGTGACTGGCTTGCGGACGGGTTGGTGTGAGGGCGGGCGGTGCTGCTCCTCGCCGGGGCAGGCCGCTCGCGGTCGCCGCCGGGGGGGGGGGGGGGGGGTCGTCGTGAAGGACGAGGAGCGGGAGAGGCGTGCCTCGTCGGTGTGGGAGCGCCCACCGTGCTGGCGGTCACTAGACTGAACCGCGCGAACCCATCAGGGAGCGAGTCGAGCGTGAAACCCGTATCGATTTTCTTGAATCTCGAGGCCCACTGACGCGTTTATTCTCGCGTTCCGGAGAGGCCTCGGCAGCCGTAAAATCACCGCGAGAGCGGTCGTCCGGGGAGCTGCTTCAGAGTCGCGCCGCTGGGAACCGGCCGGCGGGACACGTGAAGGCATTCTGGTGTCGAAGGGCCTCTATCACAGCTTGATGGCTCTTGACCCTCCTCATCTTGAGCTCGAGTTGGGACGTGATGGTGGTCTTTTATAATCAGGCCTGAGGAGCGCTGGTTCTACAATTCCGACTGGAAACATCAAACTTGAGCAAGATGACGACGTTCTTGTTTCATTGGGCCCGCGTGGTGCCTTGTGCATCGTGAGAAGAAGCTGAGCCTGGCCCGACGGCGTTCCCCAAGAGTTGCAATTTTAGCAACTCGTATATGCTAGACTTCGGTGTCTGTCCTGTCTTTGATGGACAGTGTCTCTCGAAACTTGCAACTTTTAGCTACTTAAATATGCGTAGACTTTGTTGCCTGTTATGTCAGTCCCAGCTTACACTGAATGTTGACTGTGATGTCGATTTGGCGCCGAATGTGGGCTAGAATAGCCACATTGTACAACATTTTGGCTGTAATGGCAATCGGCGCCGTATGCTAGCTGTGCTAGCTCCCTCATACTGCGACTTTGCTGTGATGTCGACTTGTTATTGCATGTATGTTGGCTATACTAGGAGCCTTGTACTACCTCTTGACTGTGATGGCAGCCTGGCTCGATATGTTGGCTTCATCCTGCGTCTTGGCTGTAATGATAACCTAGCGCCGTATGTTGGCTGGAATAGCCACCTTGTACTACATTTTGGTTGAAACGGCCTGGTCGTTCTGCTTTGGGGTAACACGAAGTATACTTTGGGGATGTTCCTTAAATGGGTATTCATAGTCTTTTGTTCTTCTGTCAAGCTCTATGCGGCGTTGTGCGCTGAGATGAATGCAGCAGAGGGACACAGTGAGTCTAAATGACACAGTCTGACGTCTGAATGACACAGTGACACAGTTTGACATCTCAATAATACAGAAACACAGGCCAACATGCGCAATATGAGTGACCCAGAAACACAGGCCAACAACAGCGGACGAAACAGCGAAGAGAGTCAAGGTGGCTGGGAGGAATGCCTCCAGATGATGGATGAGTTTTGCATGGCGTTGCTTGATTCTATGAATAACAACTAACCTCCATCAAGAGATGTAGTGCCAAGCGGTTTGGATTTACTCATCGACCTTACATACTCAGAAGCCGCCCATCATCCCCTTGGGTGCTGAGAGCCTCCAGGACGGTCACCCACAAGAACACTAACCAATAACCAACGGTATCCGTGTATCTTTTAGGTACTTACTTTTTAGTGGCATCTCTTTGTACAGTAATGTACTGTTTCTGTCCACAAATAACGATGAGTACACTGGAATTCCGGTATAATCCCTATTTGACTGTACCTAGAATGTCCGTCCTTCTCAGTGGGTAGAAATATTTCCTGGAGAGCGGCCACCACGGCACGTAGGGCATGGTAGATCCAGGCTGGGTTTTTTGGGGGTAGAGGCCGCCTCCCTCTGACGTACTGTACTTTGTAGATGATGCAGATCAGCCGGGGCACCACTCTGCCCAATGCGAAGCGAAAAAGGCACCTTGTCCAACAGAAAACCCCGTGTACCCTTGTCTAGTTTTACTGCTTACAGCGAAGTTACCATGCACAGGCAGGCTATTGGCCGACAGGCCGCTAATTTCAGGGGGGCGATGCTCGCGCGACCAGATGACAAACGTGGCAGATCAACGCAGACATTGCTGTAGCAGGAGAAAGGTCCGGCTGTTAGGGCTCTTTGGGTAACCCGAAAAGAAACCGCCAGAGGAGGCACAAGAGCCGACCTCGTTCAGCAGGCAGCTACCTACTACATAACTACCAGATCTGCAGTCCAGTGCGCCGCAGGGTAGCGGTGCTTGTCGCAGTGGCAGAATGACGGGCGCTGTCATGTTATTAATGATAATGATCTGACTATCGGCGGAACCCGAGCTCAAATCAAATCCAAAACCTGGTGGTGCTGGTCTGCGGCCCAGTCACATCGTCGCAATGGCACCTGCTCGATTCGGCAACCGCTGCTCACTGGTCCAATAAGCTTCGCCCCCGGTCCACGTTTGGCAAGTCGGTATCGAAAGGGTGAGCGAGAAGTCTCAAGTTTGGGTAACTCGCTTACGGCCGTGCCCGCCAACTCGTCCGTCCCGTCAGCTGGCATTGCCATTGCTATCGGGGCATTGACTAAACCAAGACCAGGCCAGGGAGCAAACCAGATTTCAGCTCGTCGATCCATTTTCAGATCCGAAGGGAACGGGGTCGCATCGAAACCCGCGCGTGTATAAAGAGGTGCTGGCGCCGCGCTGTCTGTCCGCCGTTTGCTCCTGGCCATCAAGGACCTCACCTCAGTTACTACATCTTAGTACCAAGGCGTCCCCCCTCATCTCTACGAAACCAACGCTTCATCCACCATGATGCAAAAGTCTATGCCCGTCCTGGCCCTCGCCGCCGGCGCCTTGGCTGCAGGCTCCTGCCCAAGCAACTTGCCTCTATCTTGCCACAACACCACGGCCGTCGCCGACACGTGCTGCTTCATTCCCACCGGCCAACTGCTTCAAACGCAGTTCTGGGACACCAACCCTCCCACTGGACCTTCTGGTTAGTCATTTCCTGTGCCCCTCGCCTTGTCTTCCAAGTTCAAGTCGGACAAATCTAACCGAATCTCTCTCAGACTCCTGGACCATCCACGGCCTCTGGCCCGACAACTGCGACGGCAGCTACCCGGCCCGATGCGACGCCAACCGCGCCTACACCAACATCACCGCCATCCTCAAGGCCGCCGGTGGCAATGGCAGCGCCACGCTCGACTACATGACCAAGTACTGGAAGGACTACCAGGGCGACGACGAGACCTTCTGGGAGCACGAGTGGGGCAAGCACGGTACCTGCATCAGCACGCTGGAGCCGTCGTGCTACGGCTCGGGATACCACGCCGGCGAGGAGGCGGTCGACTTCTTCGCGCGCACCGTCTCGCTGTTCAAGACGTTGCCGACGTACCAGTGGCTCGCGGACGCGGGCATCACGCCCTCGGCGAGCAAGACATACGACGCGGCGCAGATCCAGAGCGTGTTGGCCAAGCAGCATGGCGCGCAGGTGACGCTTGGCTGCAAGGGCAAGGTGCTCAACGAGGTCTGGTACCACTTCAACGTGAAGGGCAGCCTCCAGGACGGCGAGTTCGTAGCGGCGGCGCCGGACGGGGCCAAGAGCAAGTGTAAGGGCAAGGTCCAGTACAAGCCCAAGTCTGGCGGTGGTGATCTCTGAGCGACGAGATGACGGCTGTACGTGGAGAGACTCGGGGCGGCATGAGAGGAGGAATATGCAACGTATATATGTTCTCCTTCTGTATATAGACGTTAGAAGATGAACGAATGACCAACTCTATACGACGCTGGGGCGCAATGCCATCGGTAATCTGACCTGTACTCTCGTGGGTTAAATCGACTGCCCGGACACCAACGCCGATCAAGAAGCCTCAACGTCGCGTATGTCTGCCCGGGATGTGTACCACGACATGCGCATAGTCGCCCACCGAAGCAGTGCCGATGTCTACCGAGTCGTGACCCGCTCAACTAGATGACTGTGGTGCAAGTCACGGAAAACTTGCCCAAGCGGTCACCCGCGCTGTGTCTCGAAGTACTATCCCGAAGGTAAGGCGAAGCACCCTGCGTTCCAACGAGACTGCGGCTGCATCGCGATGTTTGTTGTTTGCTGAAGAAGAGTATTCAAGGCTGCATTCTAAGTACCGGATAAGTTTTTCATGCTTTCGGGATGCTGGCAAAACAATTCCGCTCCAGGGGCAAAGTGGACGGACATGACAACTGATGGGGCATCATCCGTCGGGACAAGATGATCAACACGAGGTAGTGGAGACGGTCTGCGTGTACTGTGCAGCTACACCATTAATCAGTGCTCGACGGCTCGATGGCTCGATGGCTCGATGGAGTCACTTCTGTCAGGAGGATGTAAAAGAGTGCATCTACGACATGCAGGAACGCGACGACGCAACGAGGCTGGCACGCGATGGGATCGGGTCGCAGTATCCGTAATCTGTATCTACCCATGGAAGATGGAAGGGGTCCTGCAGGATGACTGACTTCTTTCAGTGATTACCCCTTGGAATCCACAGCAGTCTTGCAAATCAATAGCGTCAAGCTTTCTTGATGGGGCCGGACAAGCCGCAGCAGGAGCGAGCCGGGAGTGAGACAGAAGGCGTCGTGGCGCAGTCGAGACTGGCCAGGCGACGTGGGCTAGAGCAAAAAGGCGGAAAACTGAGAGAAGTCGCATGTCGAGATGGCTGTAACGTATCAACTTTGCCTAAAGAACTGCACCTAACCGCAAATCGCATAACTAGCATGTTCATGTCTTTGTGTGGTTGCAGTGTTTGTGCAGGTGCATGATGCAAAGGGACGATCATCTACGCCAGTCACGAGAGGGCCGAATTTGGATGACGGAAGGGCGCTGGTGATACGGGACTAGAATGAGAATGGACTCGAAAGGCCTGAAAAGGCTGAGAAGAGGGTGTAGAGCGAGTTGTTGGTTGCCAAAAGTACACAGTGAGACAAGCTATCGGGAAGGAAGCAGCTTGTGCATCGGGACGCAGCGGCTTTTTAGGTGGTGTGGTTCTGATGAGAAAAAGACATGATGTGATAAAAATAGACGAAAAAAGGAATGCAGAACAATACATCGGTACTTGGTAAAATCATTAGAAGGTTTCAGTGGACTTGGTCGGAAAATACAGTGCCTGTTTTTGAGAGTTTAGTGGTGGTCTAAAATTGCCAGGTGCTCGAACGGCTTCCATCTACGGCTCGGAAAGAGGCAAAAACAAAAGGGAAACGGAAACAAAACAAAGAAGAAGAAAACAGCAGGATATCATCAACTAGTTATAATTCTTCATTCATCAAGGACCCGTCATGCCTGCATATTAAGGGTTCTTGTTGATGCTCACTGTGGGGGATATACATGCAGACAGACAGGGTGCAGAATCCAAATCGAATGATCAAATGCGGATGATTCCCAACTTGACGCTGCCGAGCCTAACCACATTTATTAGTTTTACCCTTGCGCCGTCAATGGTGTCAAAAAAGCAAAAGATATCAGAAATTTCCTGGTCTAAATTCCAACGTCTGCCGACGTCACCAGACCCTCCCCCCTCCCAGCCAACCGGCCGGCCTCGTATTAAGAAGACAGGGACCGCCGCGACTGCGACGCCACGGCCAAGTCTAGGCTCAAACAGGCTTAACCCCGGCTGAGCCTCTTTGTACCTCATCGGTCACCCAAGCTGGGGAGGCAGGAGGCCGTCCCGGATTCAACAGAACGGCATCATCTTCAACATCATCAGGGATGCCATCGTGGTGGTGGGAGATTTACATATAAGAGCCAAAGACGGATGTGTTGCGTCCGATTAACTTCCCAGCTGAGTCCGAGGCGGCTGACCGAGGCGTGATTGACTTCAACAGCCCCCCACAAGAGAGAGTCAAATTGTAGCGCCTCATACACAATTATAGCGCCTCGCTCGCAAAATTATAGGGTCCAAACCACTGTAGCCCGCAAGCCCCAAGCCTGGCAGGCCGCCTGCAGCCTCCTGGCCACCTCAGCTTTCCGGCCTCTCCAATTTTTCCTCGCCAGAGCGGCCTAGACTTTGCCCCTTCCAGTTCGTCTCACACTCACACTCTGTCGCCTCTCCACAGCCTCTTTCTTCTTCCTTTCCATCTTCCTTTCTCTCGTGACACCATTCCCTGTTTTTTTCTTTCGCTCCTTCTAACCCCCTCTCCTCTTTTTTTTTTTTTTTCTTACTTCATATCGGAGTGTGCGTCATCGCGCTTTTTCTCTCCCATATCATTCGTTTTGTAACACCGACACCTCGACAGTTTTCTTTTCTCCCTTCCCCTCGGACCCCGACCCGATCCGTTCGTCATCCCCTTTGACCATCGTCGACGACCGACTGATTCTTGCGCGGCCGCATCACCACCAACCCCCGTCTACGCCGAGGCCGCCATTGGTGCCGACTATCGATCCGTCCACCCGGCTTTGTCACGATGCGATTCTCCTTGGCTGTCGGCCTCGCGGCCCTCGCCGCCACCGCAAATGCCCAGAGTGCTGATTCGTCAGCTGGTTCCAATGCCACTCCCGGCTCCAGTGCGACTAGCACAACACCCAGCGCGACAGCAACACCGCCTTCCACCACCGACACTGGCTCCGACAGTACCACGATCGTCACCACGACCGTTACCGGCGATGCCAAGTCCACCAGCACCACCACAGTCGCCGGCTCGACCAGGGTCAGCGTTCTGACCAGCACAAGTACTGTCTTCTCCACCATCACCGTCACGAGCAGCGATAGCGATGTCGCCACAAGGACCGTCTGGGAGACCACAACAGTTCAGATTGACAGGCGTAGCATTCCTCCTGCTACTGCCGCTCCCGCTCCCGCACCTGCCCTCGTCTCCCCTGTGGCAAAGCGTGCCGTCAAGACCTCGACTACTACGGTGACCGTCCACCCCTCCGTTAGCGTCGTCACCGTCACCAACGACGTCGTCTCTACCTCCGTCGCAACAACTACCGTCACCAGCACCGACACCGAGACGGCCCAGGCCAACGCCAAGTCGACTACCACCGTCACCAGCACCAAGACCGTCTCTGCCCTTATCGTCACCCAGACCTTGAGCAGCACCCAGTCCTCCCCGACCGGCAGTCCTTCAACCGGAGGTGGCGGCGGCGGCGGTGGTGGTGGTGGCGGCGGTGGTAGCGGAGGACTCTCTACCGGTGCCAAGGCTGGTATCGGCGCTGGCGTTGGTGTCGCCGCCCTCGCCATCATTGGCGCTGCCCTGTTCTTCTGCTGCAGACGTCGCAACCGCTCTCCCAAGCCCGACCCCGACATGATGGCCGGTGCCTCGGAGGTACCTGTCGGTGGAAGACGCCCCATGTCCCACGACTCTGCCACCGCCTTCCGCCAAGCACCCGCTCGCACCCCCGTTCTGGCCGCCGAAGGTTACCGCGGAACTGCCATGGGCGACGGCAGAGCTGGATATGCTAAGCCCGAGTCCTACGGGTCCAGCTACGGCCCGAGCCGAAGCACCACCACAACCGTTCCCCCCGCCAGAACCAGTGGTGGTGCCGATGTTCTCCCCGAGCACCCCTCGCCGGGCTCGGAACACGTCATGGCTGCCGTCCCCAACATGGTCTCACCGACCGTCCCTAGCGTCTCCCCGCCACCGACCAAGGGGATGGCAGTCACCCCGCCTCCGACATTTGCCCATGAGCTGGGCACAGACAACAACTTGGCTGCCAACAAATGGCACAGTGAATCGGCGGCCGAGATTGACAGCCATCCTGTCATGGGGCACCAGAGCGGGCCTGTTTACGAAATGCCGACGGAGAATTACCGATGAAAGGAAAATGGAGCTTGGCGACGTGATGAAAATGAGCAGCCGAAACGTCCTTGTTTCCATTTGCTGCGAAGCACATGACATTGCAAAGGGCGCAACATGAATGTATTTTTCGACTCTCTATTTTGTATATAGGGGCCTGCGAGCGACCAGATGCCGCAACCCCCAATCTACATTGTCTGACTTGGCGCATGTCTTTTTGACTCTTGTTGAAACGGCATGGCAAAAGAACCTTTTTGGGCCAAGACAGTCAGTGGAATGCTTTGTTTGGCGGGAGACTGAAAAAGAATATCCTATTGAAGCAAGGTGTGAGACAAGGCAGCGCAGAGCTTGGAAGTGGCACTGTGCAGCGCCGCGAGGAGGATGATGGTCCGTTGATTTCTACTGATATATAGTGCAATCTACTCTTAATTCTGAAGGCTCTCAATTCTGGAGGCTCTTGCTGAAGGCTCAAGCGAGTTGTGTGATTAATTTGTGGTAGAAAGGGTGTGTTGACGGGGCCGTGTCGGAATCAGGCCATTGTGGAATGTAGATGTGCTTGCACTGTACATAGCTGCACGGCCATGCAGAGGCGATCTTTTCCGGACAATTATGGCCACACGGTTGCCGTCCCGAATCACTTGACAACTCGACTGCATGTTTTACCTCGCGCTGGGGGGCTCTTCCGAGGCCAGGCCCGCCGCAATCGGACGCTTATCCGAGTCAACGACCGAACAAGGCCGGGCCCGCGTCTCCACAATCAAGTTTGTGAAGTCGAATCACGATACCCTACAGAGATGTGAGTTTTTTTCTTCTCACGCCAACAACAACAACAACACAAAAGTCCACACAGAAAGCATGGGCATTGTGCAAGTAGCGGACGGGACGGGGAGGATTGATGAGGCTGAGGAGAGTACTGAACAGCTGGAGGCGCGCGCGGCGGGGGTGGATGAGAAGAAGCTGGTACGGAAGCTGGACATGCACCTGATTCCGCTGACCCCCCCCCCTCCCCGCTGATCCCGTCATTTTGCATCTCGTATTACTTTTATTTAATTCTGGGCTTGCTGATGTACCACTTCTAGCGTCAACATTGGCAACGCCCGGCTGTACGGCCTCGAGGCCGACCTGGGCCTCACCCCGTCCCAGTTCCAAGTCGCCGTCTCCGTCTTCTTCGTGCCCTACCTGCTCCTCGAAGTACCCTCCAACCTGCTCCTGCAGCGCCTCACCCCCCGCCGGTGGCTCGCCGCGCTCTCCTTCACCTGGGGCCTCGTCGCCGCGCTCTCCGGGCTCGTCCGGTCCCACGCGGCCCTGCTCGCCTGCCGCCTCCTCCTCGGCGCCCTCGAGGCCGGGCTCTTCCCCGGGCTCACCGTCTACCTCACGCTGTTCTACACCCGCCGCGAGCTCGCCCGCCGCGTCGGCTACCTCTTCGTCAGCGCGGCGGTGGCCGGTGCGCTCGGCGGGTTGCTGGCGTTTGGGATCGGCAAGTTGGACGGGAAGGCGGGGATGCGCGGATGGCGGTGGATACTGATCGTGGAAGGGTTGCCGAGCGTGGTGCTGGGGGCGGCGACGTGGGTGTGGCTGCCGAGCGACACCAAGACGGCGCGGTTCTTGTCGGAGGGGGAGAGGGCGAGGATGGAGCTGAGGAGGCGTGGCGAGTACGGGGATACGAAGAGCGGGAGGGAGCTGAGCGCGCGGGACGTGAGGGCGGCGTTCCAGGACTGGAAGGTGTGGGCGTTTTGCGCGGCGCAGTTTGGCGTGGACACGATGCTCTACGGTAAGTTTGGCAGGGTGGGAAGAGGGATGGGGGGAAGTTGGGCTGACGGGAAACTAGGCTACTCGACGTTTTTGCCGACGATCATCAAAGGCCTGGGGAGGTGGTCGCCGGCGCAGGTGCAGCTGCTGACGATTCCGTGCTACTTTGTGGGCGCGGCGGCGTACATGGCGGCGGCGACGGGGTCGGACCGCGCAGGGAGGCGCGGGCCGTGGTGTGTCGGGTTCGGCGCGCTGAGCGTGGTAGGGTACGCGGTGCTGCTGGGGGCCGGGGGCACGCCGGCGGGGGTGCGGTACTTTGCGTGCTTCCTGGTGGCAGCCGGGCTGTACGTCGTCGTCGGCCTGCCTCTTGCTTGGGTATGAACTGTGATACGTGTCCGGGGTGGGGGGGGGAGGGGGGCGATTTACACGCGATGCTCACGAGATGTGCTAACGGTGGTTGTTGCTAGCTTCCGAATAACTGTCCTCGGTACGGCAAGCGGGCGACCGCGACGGGCCTGCAGCTCACGATTGGCAATGCAGCGGGCATCATGTCGTCGTTTTTATAGTACGTACTCCCCCAGCTTGGCTGCTACGTGAGGTAGGAGGCACTGACTGACACACGCTGGCACAGCCCGACGGCGGAGGGTCCGCGATTCGTCCGCGGACACGCAGTGACGCTGGCGATGGTAGCCGTGGGCACAGTCATCTACGGCCTGATGTGGGCGTGGTACCGCCGCGAGAACGGGCGGCGCGGACCGGGAGGCGCGGCGGTGAAGGAGGAGCACAAGGACCTGTCGGACGACGAGCTGCAGGAGCTGGGCGACGAGAGCCCGCATTTCAAGTACACGACGTAGACGATTTACGCAGGAGACCATAGAGATCGAAAGGGACGAGATACTGAGACATCTTGTTGCAGAATGGATACAGGTTGTGATGAATGGACATGGCATCCGCTGCTCCCGTTGTGACAGAGCTACCCCGCGGCCGCGGCGAGGTCAAGTCCGTATTCATCCGAGATTTGTTTGAATCATTTCTGAGAAATGTTGTTGCAGCCCGCCTTCATCCGCGAGTGTCCCCCCTTTTCCGAGTCGGAGTAGCTGGTAAACCGTTGGGCTGACGACTGGAATGTTTCTGTAACGAGTGCCCCTGTTGCCCCGTGCAGGACCAGATATGCACCGTGTCTCTCCTTATGCTTTCAGAGGCGACGACGTTTTTCCACAGAGGAATTTGATCTACCTTGTGCACTGACCGCCGAAATGAAAGGGGGGATGAGATCAGCTGGGGGATCTACGCAACCGGGTTGTTCGGTGGTTGGTTTGGATGGATGGTAAAAGTTCACAGCTAATAGCAGGGTTGGTTCGTTTCCAGCAAAACAATCAGTCGACATAGATTGCAGATTACCTGGGGAAAGCCACCCCCATGCCTTGGGAATTTAACGGCAGATAGAGACGGTCGCTGGGCTGCTTCCGGGCGGGCAAGGGCAAGACGAGATTGGGGCGGAGCTGTCAAGGGCTTTCTGAGACATGGATTCCAAGACATTTTCCTGGGGAGGGGGCGAAATGCTGTTCCGCTGCGTTCAGAGCTCGCGAGTTTTTGTCTCTCTTTTACAAAGAGGGAAAAGAAAAAAAAAAGGGACGAAACCGTTGTTGGAAAAGATAATAAAAGGCGACAGCGTTGCACTGCCAGCCCTGTCCCGTCTTCTTTAGCTCTTCTTCCCCTTCTTGGCTTCCTCAACACCAAGGCCGTCTTGAAAGCTCATCACCAACTACATTCTTCTTTTCGGTTTATTTATTTATTTCATTATACTCTCTTTTACTTGATTCATTTTTCTGCTTATTTCAAACTTGACGTTTTTAAACACCCTCACTTGTTTTTTTCTTTTATTATTTTCGTCTTCCAACATGTCCAGACTGCTACACATTGTCTTCCTCATCGTCGCCGCCCTTGGCTTCTGCCTCACTGCCCAGCAACTACATTCCGTCAACCACATGGCCGCCGCCCGGAGCCTCGAGCGCCAAAAACTACACCAGAAGCAACAACAGCAACAACGAAACATCGTGTCCGGCTTCGTCGAGGTCGAGCGCCCGACGAGCGTCCAGGAGGGGCCGCCTCCCGCGCAGGTCGCCCAGACGTCCACCGCCGGCGGTGGCATGAGGGACCGGCAAGGCGCCGGCGGCGCGATGTCTGCGGAAGATGACGGACAGCAGTCGCAGCCGCGGCCGACGCGGGTCAAGACGCCGGCGGCGGAGACGGTGCTGCCGACCAACACCAAGGTGCCGGTCGCGGCCGTCAGCGGAGCGGTGATGAACCCGACCTCGGACCCGGGGTTCCTCGCGCTGGTCGCGTCGCTCGGGCTGATGACGATCGGTATGACGCTCGTATGAGAGGCCGTGCGGCAAGCAACTCTTCTTCGTTTATTCACTCCTCCCCTTTCTCCTCGGCCATCAACCTGTGGAACGGCCTGCCCAAACAAGGGGTGGGTGAGACAGTCTCGCAAGAGAGCCCAACAAGACACTCCCTGACTCCACAGATACCAAGCAGTGAAAGAAACGAAGCGCGACGTCTTGTCACGGGCGGCTATATAGCGAGATGCCAGCATCCACCTTAGCTTTCCTGCTCGCGGCTTCTCACTGATGAGTGGACGGTAACACATAAGTCCTGGACATCTCTGACGAATCAGGGAACTGTTGATGGACGAGCAAAGGGAGAGAAGACAAGCCCATACTTTCAAGGGACGGTGCATGCAAAACTAGGATACCGGTCAATTCGTTCTACACACTAGCGAGCTATTCGAATTGTACCATAAGCATATCATGTCCTCCGAGATTGAACCTGTCATTAAGTCACTCATTTCCTTGCCGCCGTAACGTCGCGTGTCTCCCTGAAATTCGCTCTGACGTCCTCCCTCCATCATCTTGGCCACCGCCATTCGTTCCGAGGTCTCCTGTAATGTTGCCGCCCCTCGTATTCACTTTGGCGTGCCCTCTAATGTCTCCTCCTTTGCCATTCGCTCCGAGGTCACCTGCGACCTTCTCTCTGACGTCTTCTTCTTTGACGTCTTGTGATACACCTCAAAATACTCTCGGTCTTCAATCAGCATGATGGCAGACTCTTTGAATAGCTGGCACTGCAGTTGCGTCACGAGAAAACTCTTCAGCGACTCGCCGCCGTCCGGCCACCTCGGGATCGGGAATGACTCGACCGCTTTCCAGAACTTGTCCGGGATGTTAATGTTCTCGCCCTCGCCCTCGCACATCACTCGCCCGACAAGCTTCCGGGAATTCCACTTCGTTTCGAGCGATTTGGCCTCGCACGGCACGATAACCCTCGGCATCTTGTGGCCGTCTTTTGATCTCACCTCAAATTCAATGAGGGTGCCGTCATAGACGGTTCGGTCATCATCCTCCACGCGGCACGTGCACTCAACGAACAACCCCCAGTTGTCCCCACGCTCGGGTTGTTGCTTCTGATGAACTTTAAGCAGCCTGCAGCTAAGCCTCTCCGTTGATGTCTTGGCTTGTCGCGTATTGAGGTTGCTCTGCACCTTGTCAGGCCTCTCGTAGAGGGACCTGCGTGTCAACTCTTGCAGCACTTTCGCAACCCACCCCCCCGTTGCGGACGGCAATACCTGGGTGGGGGTGTAGCGTTCAAGGCTTTGCAAGGGCAGATAGGTTTGCGATACAACAGCCTTGACCATGGGCACTTGGAGAGGGTCCACCCGTCCGACGGTCCTCCAAAGCTTCCACTGAGGCTCGAGCAGCGCGCTTGTCAGGTTGAAGACCTGCCGCACCTCGTAGTGGTCTCCGCAGCTCACCACGCTCCCCTCTATAATGTCGCCGTAGCCATCGGGTTCGGCGTCGTCCGCGACATCGAAGAGACCCTTCTCAAGGAAGAGCGCATTTACGCAACGTTCCTCGTCTGGGCCCTCACCGACTTGAAGAAGTCTATGGCCGTGTATCTGGTAGCCGCCGTTCGAAGGTTTGTTGTCTCCTCTGGCTTGGTTTCTGTTGGCGCTGGTGATTGGGATGCCAGTGCTGCGGGCTTTGTCGCCCATTCTGAGAGCTTGGACACGGAGACGGGGGAATTCGTCCTCTCTGCTGTCTATCGTGGTGAACACGCGGCGTTGTGTTCTGGTTGTCTGGATCGCGGATTGATCGTGGTGTGTTGGCACAGTGCGCTCAGTTTCTGACGCCGGCTCCTCAACAACGCCGGTAGATGTAGAAAGAGTCTCTTGCCCGCCTCGGGACTTTATGTAAATTTGTGCTGTTTGTTGTACTCAGTTTCCCCGGTTGGGGCCGTGGACGTGGCTTGCTGGTACGGGACGTTCGGTTTCTGGCGGTGACCCCTTCCCAACGTGGTGAAGGAGATAAAGTAGATTCAGTAGACGAAGGAGACGAATGAGATGAAGCAGATGAAGAAAAAAGCTTGCTTCTGACTTTTGGATTTTAGGGAAGTTTCACTGTTTATATAATTGGATTATTAGCCGTACATGACGACTTGTCAGAAGCTCGTCCATCACCCATCCATTGTTGTTGTCATTCATCGCCTTCAAACTTTGTGCAAGCAGTGCTTTCTGCCACTCACACGAGACAAGCGTACGAAATCAGCAACAAGTTAGGAAGAGAAGACGTAACATCGAAACTCCAAAGGTTACTTATCCTGCGATGCCTCATGGTCTAAGCTTCACTATGTACATGTTTGTTAATGTAGAAAGCTGACGAGCTTATGAAACACCTACCGTCCTAGAAACCCATCCTCATGGATGAACCAAGTAAAAATAGAAAAAGAAAACTAAGGTGTAGTACTGCGACGCCAGTCATTTTCGTGTTAGTGATACTTTGCTGTCTAGCCTTCACTCGTGTATGTATGGAAACCTGACAAGTGTGCCCTCGGACCGCCGCAACAATTCGAGTATCAAGGTAAGTTGTACAAGCTACATCAGTCGAAAGCAAAGGCCTAGTACCCTTACGCCATTTTCCACACTTTCTAGTAACACTGTGCAGTTGAGGCTTCATTCTGTACGCGTAGATACATAAAAAAACTGACGAGACGGACCTCCTCCGACTGTCAAAACAATTCAGGGGCAAAACATAGGTTATATAAGTGAAAAATAAAACTGTAGTATCTCTACGTCACTTAATCTCTTTTTTAGTGACAACTTAAGTAGCAAGCTCAACTCTGAACGTGGTTTAATAAGAAGCTGAAGAGCCTGTACATTTCTAACCAACAATCCTAGCGATATAAATGTGTGGACGGGGTAACGCCTGTAGAAAGAAAATGTGTAGGAGCAAATGTGTGAAAAGCGAACGTGTCGCGACCGCAAATTTTAGGCGTCACTGCCTATGCGTGCATCCATAAAACTGACGACGTTGCGCACCTCGTGGCAACTTCATCGCTTAGCATTGTCCCGACACTGCTTCGGCGGCTAATCATCCGCCACTGACTCTCAGTCGACTGACGGATTCCTGTCTTTGAACATGATGTATATCTCCATAAGCTCCCTTATCGCCCGTTCCATCCACACGCGCTTCACAACGCCGCGCTCCCTCATATTCGGCTGCTCCGGCGGGGGAATCGTCATGATCGTTGACAAGAACAGCTCAATGTCCCACACGTGGCCGACAGGCTCGAGCCGCGACCACTCTGGGCTGAAGATCTCGACGGGGCTCCGGGACTGCGTCAGCTGCATTGCGGTGTCGCGGCAGTTGCCGATGATTAATTCCGTTATTATGCCTCTCCCGTCATCCTCGGTCTCGACGAAGAGGCCGTAGTGGCTGAAGGACCTGTCGGCCTGTCCAAGGAGGAGGTACACCTGGTAGCGATGGGGAGTCTTTGGTGGCTCTGACATGGTGCAGAGGGTCGAATACTAGTTTGTTGTGTCTGGATTGGGTATGGGTTCGTGTTTTCCAGGCAGGGTACATTCATCTTCTGGCAAGACTGCTTGGCTGTCGGTTTCTGGATGTCGGGGGAACATCTCTACTATTTAGATACGTGAGCTTCTGTCGCACCGACTGGTCATCAGAAGTCGTCCTCCAGTTGAGTGGAAAGCTCTTGTTGTCATGATCCCTTTCAGGCCTTGCACACTGGGTGCCATTTTTTGACCGACAAGCGCATAGCTGTATGGACTGAAAGCGAGCGCATCTTGGGATTTCTGTATCATTATTCCTTTTTGTGATATTGCCTTGCTTTGTCGGCTAAGCTGTGTAGGTACGGAAAGCCGACTCGTCTGGACACCGCTTTGACAGGTCTCTTCCACAGGCGGCATCACACGCCACGATCCCCCCTTCTCCCGAGGCTTCTTGTGCTCTGTGACATGCTAATTGAATTCACCGGGGGTGAAGTCGACGACGTAGGGCTTGGCGAGAGACGGAAACAGTTTCTGAACAAAGGCGAGGTGGGCCGGGTCCTCCTTGACGTAGTACTCGCGGTCCTCTGGGGAGGCGAATTCAACCACAAAAGCGTGTGAGATGCCGTGCTAGCGAAAGAGTAAGGAGAAGGGTTAGCAAATTACGTCTTTGGCGCTCGTAGGGCTTTGTCGTTGCTGATCCCCGGTTCAATCAAGGGGTGACGTCTTGGTGGTCCCGTTTGCGCCGGGGTGGTTGGTCCTCAGCGTACCTGGAAGCCCTCAATGCTATTGTCCGTGCCGCCGGTGGAGCGCAGAATGTACGCCTGATTGGTCTTTGGATGGATGCATTTGTTCTTGAGGTCGAGCATCTCTGCGCTGAACTGTTCTGCGTCAGTCGGACAATCCATGCTTAGGGAACCCGTTTGGTGAGCGGGGGGTTTGTTTTGTCGCTCACCTCGTCGCGCTGGGCCTTGGTGACCTCGGGTTTGAATTCAAACATGACAATGTGTGTGACGGGAGCCATTTTGATGCAAGTGAGCAGTGAGCGAATTGTTTGGATTGAATGGCTGTCCAAAGGGAAGATGAAAGGATAGAGTTGCACAGTCGACGGCGGGGTTACTTGCGGGGTCACTTGGTGCGCCTATACTAGACGTGCCTACTACTTACTTTGCACACATGAGAAGCAAGGTGAGGTCATTAAGCATTTGCCATGTATTACTGTTTCTTCAAACATAGAAGACTCAGCGTAAACCCCCCGATGACAACCTCAAAGACGGCCATCAGCAGTAGAGGTACTCCACCTCGCCCGTGTCTCCCCGCAATGGAGGACAACGTGGCACAGCTGCACATGTCAAAAATATGTTGTGCACTTATGTACGTACGCAGAGACATAAAACTGCCCTCAAGGCCTTTGTAACAGTTGCGGCTGCCACCACAATAAATTTGAGAGTCCGGGTAACCTGACATCAGTTGCACCAAGTTGTGGGCGGCGTACAACCGATTCTGTTCCCAGAATCATGACGTGTAAATGTATGTGCGTTTGTTTCAACAATTCTTAGACGGCTGCCTCAATCACGTGGTCCGCGCTACCTACATACTTTCGTCTGGTGTACGGATCGCCGGATACTGCGGCGCGCACCGGAATCCTCGTTCGCCATGGCGGCGACGGTCCGGCCCCGCTCTGGCGGGACCCCGTCCCGGTTGGCGGCGTAATACAAGGCTTTGCGCCGGTCAAAGGAAGAGGAAACGCGCAATCCGGTAGGATGGGAGCACTGGTAGTCCTGGCAAGGGGCTTATGCTGAGCGCTGGTACTTCGGCAAATTAGAGTTTGAAAGGCCAGTCGCTATGAGACGGCGTTTTGGAAGGGTTTAGCCGGGCTAGGGACGGGGTTAGGAGCTTTGTATCACGGCTAGAGATACGGCTTTATGCAACGGATAGGCGCTGTGCTTGATCTGATAAATGCCCTGGAGATGGGTTTTAGGCGATGCCATCTCATCATTCTCCGTCGCGGCGCTCAGTGTTGCGCTGTACGGATACGAAGCGAAGCAAGCTCACGGAGTAACGAAGTTGTCATTGGAAATACATCACACAATGAATGCAACTCGAAAATTCTTAGAAATGGGCCACTAAAAGAAACTACTCTGCAGTCGGCTTCATGTTGTGAGGTAGAGGTGCCGTAATTTTCTCGCACTAGGAGAAACGTCTCTGATATGTGGATTGACCCATGCCTTCCAACTGCGGGCTAATTGTGCGCCACGTTTCTAGCAAACAAGCGAGAATACCCGCCGTTTTAGCTGCATGTCCTCCGAGCACTCCAGTCAAGGGTGAAGGTTTCGAGTTGACTCGTGGCTCGCCATTGGCAACTCTGAGAACGTACTTGTAACGCACTGAGAACGGATTCACCGAACAGACTTTCGGAGGCGAATGCGTCGAATGGAGGCCAAAGCAATATAATGCTTGGCAAACCCGCTCGGATAAGAGTCCTGACTGCCGAGTTACGAGTCAGCTCAGCATAGCCATGCGCTGCGGGCAGCTGGCCAGGCACTTCAAGTAAAGAATTGTGACGGAAATCGTGCCTATCAACTATCACGTATCCTACAAAATGAAGAATCAAATTGATTTCTGGTGCCCTCTTTGCTAAACGGTATATCGTGGACCTCGAGTCTACTGCATACCGCGTGCTTCATGGCGTAGGAGATGGAGCGATTGCCTAAACAGGTATGAGATTGCGATGCCATCCTCCACTACAATACGGGACAGGATTCATATCTGGCGTAATATGAGAAAGTATCAGTATTCGTATGCAGTTCTGCATGACCAAAAATATGGTGGCATTACTGACTTGCAGACGTGCTTGATTCAGTCATACTGAGCACTCCCTACATGTCGAACCATTACGTTGTACCAGAGATTACAGGGTAACAGAATGCATACAACTCCTGGTTTCTGATAAGTTATATACCGCAATGAATGCTGAAGAGCCAATATACTTGCTCAAAGGCGAGTCAGCGTTTCTGAAGAACGAACAACGAGTCTTGAGACTGCACGCTGCATGCCCTTTGTCCAAGTATTTAAACAGCTCAGCCCCTCTTCGAAGAAAGAACTACACAGAACATCACTTCTAATTCAGATCAGACTTCACTCACATACACATTTCGCTATATCTTCTATTACCACCCACTTCCATCCAAAATGAAAGCCGCCGTTCTCTTCCTCGCCGCGCTCGCGTCCGCAAGCCGCTTGAACACTCCCCAGGCTCGCGCACAGAGCGGCTGCGACTGTTCCAAGAATTTCCACTTGTCGCTGTTCGAGCTCGATAGCTGCCCAGAGGGCTACGCGGACGTCTCGACCTTCCGGGACAGCGTCGAATGCGACCAGATCGGCTGCACCCAGCAGGACCACAATGTTCAGTGCCAAAACGTCGTCTTCCCGGATGATAAATAGAGCGAAATTGACGGAAACAACGGATGAGTGCTATTACGGGTAAGGAGGAGTGTCACATCAATGAGCTTGTTCAAGGGTCGCGGCCCAAGTCGTCGGATTGACGAGGCGCCATACAAGAGCATCATGTAACTGAAAGGGAACGAGACCTCCGGAATCTATTGGTACCATCAGCCTTTGCTCTTTGTCTAGATAGCTATGGTCTTGCCATTTTCAACAAACCAGGATCTTCAGTGCAACCACAACAGGCACTTTTAAAAACTTTTGCAATGCAGAGCTTTGAAAAGCGTGACTACTGTAGCATGGAGATACCAGTGCACATGCAACAACAACTGAACATGGCCTGCCCAGAAATTGGCCTTGTTAGATGAATTATATTCATGTATGTATGTAGGTAGTAGGACCACTTGACCGCGTGGTAGTTCTTACCTACATGGTTGGCCAACTGCCAACCAACAGCTATTTATATTTTTGGGGGTGGAGTTGCAAGGTATGCAAGCATTTGAAAAAAGAAAGAGCTGTTAGTAGTTTCTGAGCTTGTAGCGTCCATGTACTACAAAGGTATTGTTCTGATCCCCAATGCTTTAACAATTGCATTGTATGGTAACGAAGAAGCCCGAGACGTCATCGGCGCCTATTCTAGTAGCAGTGGTACAGTATAAAAACACCGCTGTAAATTTTTGGTGACCACTGCCTGACATAGCGGACCGTTGCGCAGAATCTCTCCAAAACAGCGCCGACGTCACATTTGAGTGGCCGTCTCAGTGGCCCAACCCCACGCTTTAGGTCTTTGAAAAAGGCTGTTTTAGCGTCGTTTCCCCCACCATAGCAGTCCCCTAGCTGGTCATAGCAGTCATAAGATTGGCCTTGAGCTTAGTACCTATGTACATACATACCTATGTACATACATATGTATGTATGTACATACAGTACATACAGTACCTTACCTAATTCTTCGGTCTTGCCGCCGAAGCTACGAGGCAACCATCAACTTGCATTACACAACTTTACTTTCCTTACTCCATCTCATACCTATTGTCGCATCACCTCTCGCCATCTCTTAAATACCTGAATCGTCTACTGCAGCCTACCTGATCATCACCCGGATCTTCACGCTCTCCACGTTCCATCTTCTGCCCCCCCCCCCTTAGGTCCGATCACGTTTCCGTCCGATATCACATTTGCGCCCGCCAACTGCACTCACTCAACCACCCACCGTCATCGCTCCTCACTCTCGAGTCGTCACCCTTGCAAGCTCACCAATCTCCGCTCAACCGGCCTTTTCACTTTACCTCGTCCTTTTCGCCACCGAACAAATAACTTCACAATGGCGCAGGCGCCGCCTGCTTACATCAACATCCCCCAGCCGGGATCTAATCCAGACACCCCGTCCGAAATACCGTACGTCTTCTGTTTCGTGAATTTCGTCTTGCCGCACCCACCCCCTACCCTTAGATGCCTGAGGTTGCTCACATACGGTCTGCAGTGGCACCCCGACCAGCACCACGACCTCGCTCTCCGCGCTGTCGACAACCGCCATCAAGGACGGCCACCGCGGTCACATGCCCAGCGGTCCCCTCGGCCGCGGCCACCAGCACACGCCCTCCACCACGAGCCTCGAAGCCGAACGAGCCGATCGCATCTCCCGCCTCGCCGGCCTCGAGCGCGTGTCCACGCTGCGCGCGCCTCCCCAGTCGCCCCATCCGATCGCGACCGGCGCCACGACCGGCGTCGCGGGCGGCGCATCCTCGCTCTCGCCCCAGACGACGCCCACCTCGACCACGGGTTTCCCCGCCAATTTTCCGGCGTCGCACAACCTCACCCCGTCCTACTTTGACGTTAACGGCCAGCCCGTCGCCGTCACCAAGATGAGCACCGTCGGCACGGCATCGGCGACGGAAAGTAGCCACCACGACGGGGCCGGCGGCTCGCGGCAGACGGCCGGGGACGGCGACGAGGACATGTTCAGCATGGACACCAACTACCGCGAGACGGCCGAGTCGGTGGCTAGCATGGCGGCGGAGCCCGACGCCATGGACGAGGACATGGACGAGGGCGTGGCCACGCGCTCCGTCGGCGGCTACGAGGACCGCATGAGCGATGACGGGTCCGCATCGCTGGTCGGCTTCGGCGAGGGCGCCAACAGCACGGTCTCCGGACCCATCTACCACCGCAGGCCCGCGCCCGGCTCCGCGTCGCAGAGCCAGCAGCAGGCGCCGCCGTGGAGCGCGACGCCCTCCGCCGCGAGCGCGACCTCGCCGCCACTCCCGAGATGCCGGCTAGCGCCGCGGCGCTGCAGGAGCGCCGCGAGGCCCGCATGATTGACGGCGTCGCCGCCGACGCGGGCTACCCCGGCCCGGAGTACGAGCCCTACGTGGACACCACGTTTCGCGGGCCCCTGCCGGCCAACGCGTTCCGACACCAACAGCAGCAGCTGCTGCCTGGAGATATGCCGGGACAGTTTCCGTCTGAACGTGACTGAGGGTGGGAGGAGAACAGAACAAGAGAAACGAAAACCTTTGCTAAAAAAATTCAGAGAAAATCATTCTGTGGATTTGCTTTGTTACGATAACCTCTCTGGAGTCACACCCGCACCTGTTTACTTAACTTACCTGAGCGCTGGCGCGTCTTTTACCTTTTGTACGAAATGAGAATGATTTAAGAGAGGGAACGGGAAAACAAGATGTACATGAGTTTGCATCTGTGTATGTATCAAGATCAGCATCTTGCCCCTCCATCAATGAATGATTTGTACTTCTTGAAGCTGGCTGTCGCATCGTCTTAATGGCCGTCACCTGCCGAAACTCACGACACACTCGTAGCAAAGCAATCATGAATCAGCTGCACAGTTGTGAGCAGGTTACTAGAATCGTCAAGGTAGTCGTGCAACCAAAGTGATTCACGTGAGGGGCGAGTGATGCGAGCGGCAAAGTGGTCCCTTTTCCCTTGCCTCGACAGTTACTGTATCTGTTCCCCCAGGAACTGGTTCTCGTGAGCCGCGACGTTTAGCTCTATCAACATGCACTCTGTGTGGTGTTTACTCAGCTTTTTTGTACATCAAGGATCAATGCAAGAGCCGTCGCTAAAAGGGTGTGCAGGGTGGCGAGCAAGCTGGGAAGCCGCAGCTCACTGCCCTGGTAGACTCGGAGAGCGTGCGGTGAAAGACACAAAACGAAATCCCTTCATTGAAACCGTGTAAGTAAAACCCTCCAATGCTAAAATGCCGAGTATATAAGTGACTCTCCGAGTCACTAAACGCCGAACGAAAATGTTGCCTCCTTGACATCGCTCCCATGGCATTGCTACCATATAAAAGAGAGCGGGAATAACAGCCTCGCAAAAAAGAAAAAAAAATGAACCCAAACAAAAACAAACCCCCCCCCCCGACGTCGTTTCCCCACATTGGCGATGAGAAACGCAAGACACGGTTCTACCAGAGAACACCAAAACGCGCGAAACCAAGGACAAGCGCCGAATCACGAGCATAGAAAATCGAGGCCTTTGCGCCGGGCAACGGACTGCCAATCCCACACCGCAGCCCAATCGCCGACATCCATCAGAGCCCAGGTCTCGTTGAGGACTTCCTGCACCCTGTCCGCGTTGCGCAGGCCCGTGTACTCGCGAACCGTCTGCACCGCCGCGCGGATCCGCGGGCGCAGGGCCGGGTCGAAGCAGGCCGTGCCGATGAGCAAGCAAGGGATCAGCAATAGCGTCTGACACTGGTCGGTTGGCCCAAACGACTCGAGAATGTGCAACGCGTCCGATATCGATGTCGTAACCCGCTTGTCGTCCTGCGAGGGCCTCCGTGAGGGAGGTGGCGACGGCGGGCGGCTTGAGCTGGTCCCGTGTGTCGGGGCGGGGGTGGGCAGGCCATCTTCTTCATGAATGGAGTTGGTGCGCGAGGGATTCGGTGTTGGCGAGCAGGAATATCTTCGCCCAAAAGGCTGCTTATCCTCGCTACACCCATTTGACACTTGGCCAGATGAGGATGCAATCGACGACCGCCTCTCTTGCATGTATGACGACAGCGAGGATCTCCCCACAAGGAAATCGGCGCTGCCTAAAGCTGGAGGATAAACTGTGCGAAAACTGTATATCCATAACGTTAATTTGTATAGCTCGCCAACCTTGGCTCCGTTGTCGCCTCTTGACCACTGCGGAGTCCAAGATTGGAGTGCTAGGGCGATGTTGTTGGCCCGGAAAACCTCGGTATAGAGGACGGCAGGCTGGCCATTTGCCGCCGCCAAGCTGTTGCGTATTTCATTGCGTAGGCTTGAAATTTCGCGTAAATGGCGGAAGAGCCCGTCGGCGACGCCAACAAGCCGCGGTGCGTCATCACTCGGGATGTTGCCGCTCTCCTCCAGTGATAGACGCGCAGAGTCACTCTCTGGATGCCAGAGTAGATCATCAGCGTAAATGTGGTATTGGAAGAATTCCGTAATAAACGTATAAAGTTGATTGTTCTCTGGTGGTGATTCGCGTATCAACGTTTGATAGGCATTTAGGTGCATGCGATGTTCACCTCTTGGGTTGCCCTCTATCAAATTCCGGACAACCAAGCATAGCATTTGGCCATAAAGGGCCGCCAAGGTGAGACGATACTCTGAGCTGTCTTTGTCCAAGAGCTGAGACTTCGGAAAAGCTCTCAACATACAATTTTGCGCTTCCGTGGTGTGATGCTCAGACCGCGCTTGGAGCGACTTTCTCGAGATCGCGGGGTTTCGCTTCAAGAGAGCTTCGCCATAGGGTGTCTCCAGATCAATGTGGATACTGCTGATAGACAAAATCGAGTGTAAGAGTCCTTTCTCCCTTATGGCGAGATTGAGAAGGATGCTCTTGAACGCGTTTTGAGACTCGGGTTCAACAGTCAGCACGGTGCTGAGACGGGTGATGTAATGATCCAGAAACAACCTATCCTCGGGAGTGTCCAGCCCTTGGATGAGTGCCGGAAGTGTTAGGAGTGGCAATGTTTCCCTATTGGCACGTCCTATCCAGACTATGTTAGAGAATAAGATAATGAATCACAACTGAATCTCATCCACTCACCTTCCTCGGCGCGCTCCTTGCCGCTCCTCCATATTTGCTTCTCATTATATCCTTCACAAAATACAGAATTTTTCTCGCAGTTCATACCTAAACAAATCGTTAGTAGAAGAAGGAAACGACAGCATATTTGGCTAAACCCATACACGCAGGTTTGGCTTCGTCGCACTTCTTCTTTCTCCTGCGACAAGTGATGCATCCAGTCTTGGTGCGTCCCTTGGTGACTTTGATGCCATTGGTTGGTGCCGGGATAGGATTCTTCCTGGGACGTCCTCGCCCTCTCTTTTGGACGGGTACAACGGTGCCTGACTCCGGGGCTAATGTAACGGCTTTGAACTCGGACATGGCCACGTCGTCTTCATCCGCAGGCTCATTTTTGGGAATAATCAGCGCCGAAACGGACCCTTGATCCCATTCATCCCAGTTCAGCTCTCTGTCGACCTCATCGTGATCTGCAGAGCTACCCGCCCATGATTCTTCACAGGAAGAGGCCGTTGAGTATGAAGATCGTGCGACATTGGTGCCGTTCGGTACCAAACCACTAAGAGGCGATATTTCGCTACCAGGAGATGAGTTCGAGACAGCTGGTGGTGTCCAAGGATTGTCACGCGGGTTTGGTTTTGGGTGCGCCATACTTTCCGAGTGTAAATTGCGTTCCTGCTGCTGCGGTTGGTTGTTGTCAATGTCTGGTTCTCCGAACATACGGTCCATAGCACTGTGCCTTTACTAGCGTCAACATGCCCGGGGATCCAAGGGACAGCTTTGACCAGGCAACGGGCAAGGGCGAGGATGTAAGGAAGCAAGGCACGTATAATACGTGATCTTGTTATGAGGGGACAAGTGGAAGTAGGAGAGCCGGTAGAAAACTGAGGGTAGCGAGATGTGTGGGAAACCCTTGGCGTGGCGGACTGTAATAAAAACAGGGCCGAAGGAGGGCTGCATATATATCTTTTGGCAGCCCTGGGAGCCTCCCCCACCCGGGTAACAACCAAAATAAACAGCTGCCAGCTGGGCGGTAGAGAGACCGGTGGTGTATGCCGAACCAGGGCAACGAGATGGGCTCGCCCGGGTCAAGCTGACTTTATCTTGCAGAGGAACTGGTGTCTGGGGCTTCACATCTGCCCGGACGAGAGCGGGCTCTCATTTATACCAGTCAAGCATACCACCAGTTTAGACAGAATGAGCCACCCCAGAACCCTCAACTAGCAAGGCCTCCCTGCCCGTTGCCCGCATCCTGTGCCCAGGGGGGTATGCGAGAGGAAGGAGGTGTGAGATGAGCACGGCCGATGGCCGCCAAGAAGACTGGCAACCTACCCAGGTCAAGCCTCGTAGGCCCGGTTGGGTGTGTCAGGAACGCCTCTTGCATAGAAAGCAAACCCGGCAAGACCCATGGGCAACAAAGCAACTCTGCTGATCTTTTTGCGAACATCTGTACTTGTAGAACAAGGGTCTCAGAAAGGCGGGCGTCCCATGGCGTACCGCTCCACTGTGGCTCTCGTTGGCATGTTCAGCGCACTGACAATCCATGTCTTGTCACTGGCACAGTTGTGCTTAGTGGTGGACCAGTGGTCAAGTGGATGCCAGACAGCCAACAAGTTGGAAGTCTGCTTCGCTAACTAGGTTGATTGCGAAGTTGTGTGAGATGCTGGGCCTATGGTGCTGGGTTCGAACTGCCCATGGGACAGGCGTTGAGCTAGCGATGGCCGCCGAGGGCCGATAGGGACCGGGAATCTCGTGACAGGAGTGGCAGGCTGGAGTTGAATACAAGAGTCGCGGGTGCTGGGCGCCGAAGAAATCCACGCTGGAACAAGCATTGGCGCGGAATGTGACAGACAGGTGTTGTCTAGCAGAATCGGTCGACTTGTATCTGCATCCTGTACTGATTAGGTCTCATCCGGGTCTTGGGCATGATAGAGGCTGAACGCCGCCAGCTGTGTGATGAGATCATCGCAATTCTTTTAGCCTTGGGTAAGGTGGTGTGCCTTCGCGGTATCCCTCATTTTGTACATGATGGACTCGTCCAGTGACTGTTGGAGTGGTTGATACCAGTAGCACTGGCGGTACGAAGTGCTTGTGAATACCACTGCCGGCATGCTTGGATGCATTTTGAAGCTGCGACGAAGTCGATACACCCTGTAGTTGCTTTTGTAATGGTCATCCTTGTGTGTCTCGCGGCTCTCTCCCCCGTCCCGTAGCGCAAACAAATCACCCGGAGAGGCGAGTCTTGCGGGATATTGGGACCTTTTTCCGCGCAACGTGGTGGCTTGCTGCTTGAGAGGTCGAGTTTATAGAGTAGTATCTTCAGGATTAAGGAAAAATTAATGTTGCGTGATCTCGTCATCCTGGTGAAGTGACCAAGACTGTAAACGAGGCGAGACCCTGAGCAGATCTGCGTCCAGTAGGATAAGAGCGGGGACAACGAGACATTGCACAAATTGTTGATAGCTGCTAGTTACTAGTAAGAGTGGTGAAATACTAGTGTTAATCTTCGTCAAGGGCCGCGTCTCTTGCTCATTGTTCACAGCACGCAACATGGTGGTTGTTTGGATGCAACTGATTGATCTGTTTCGGCAGGGACTGGCTGTTGCCATGCGGGGCACTGTGCGACGCACAGTTCACTGCTCCACAACAGATGTCAAGGTCTAAGGCATCTTTCTTGCCGTGGGGGGTACAGGAACCCCTAGACGTCGCCTACAAAGGCTCGGGTGGCTGTTCTTAGCGTTCATGCAGCACAGTGTAGGGGGAACTGTACGGGCCGCACTGCAGCGGCCCGGCCGCGACTAGCCTCTTGCCATTTGCCCATTTGCCATTCAACACCACAAACGCCAGCCTCAGACGACGAGGCCAACGTCCCTGCACAGTTGCATGGTAGATATGTCCGGTAGAAGTACGGAGACAACACAATATGGATAATAGTCATCCCATTCTGACGCTTCGTTCTAATGTACGTCTGACACGCCCCGGCAAGTTCAGATCCCAGCTCATGCAGGCAGCACACACACCAAAGCCTCCCACCACGCAGTCGACCAAAAACGGGATCATCGGACATGCGCGGCAGCCAACGGCCTAGATTGATTGACCTTACCAATCGCTCGGTCTCTCTCCGTCCTCGTCTCTGTCTACAAGCGCCATTGGGGGACAACGGGCTGGATGAGCGGTTCGGTTTCCCGCCCGCCCCTCTCCCTCTCCGTCGCAAAGCCGCTCAGCCGTGGCGTCAGTCCCACTACGAATAAATCCGACTGCCCTCTTGGTTTCAATCGACAAAAGAGATGTTCGTGCATTCAGTCGCGGGGAGCTACAATATCAGTCGAGGCTACCCCGCCTTTGATTAGCCTCGTCATCGTCACGATCCTCCCACAGAAAACAGCAGCGGGCGGCGTATCACTGTATCGAACACGCCCCGTGAAAACCACAGCAGATGCACTAACCTTAAGGGGATGTTAAATGGCAAGGTGCTACAGCTGTAACATCAGAACCCCAAACCCGTGAGCCGGCTCAGGTTCGAGCACTCGCACGCAAGCTTTCCTCAGGATGCTATCGATATATCTATCTCGATATCACTGCAAAAGAGAACAGTGGCGATCATCCGATTCATGTGGCCCTTGCGAAAGTATTGGTGGAGTTTCTTTGTCGCGTGCCTACTTTCTGCCTCAAGTTCATGGTTGGCATGGGATATCTCCGTAGGTAAGCCATACATGACAACAACACCCCATTGCTGATCCAAAACAGTGCTATTAAGAGAGAAAGTCTATCCGAGTGAAGTAAAAGCCATCTATTAACTTGATCAGATCTTCAGACATCTCATATCTATCGCTCCACTGAGTATTTCTCGGGGGTCCGCTTAGCCGCCCTAGAGAGCACACCATCAATGTGTTCATTTCCGCTCTCGCTGCAAAGAGCTCACTACCTACGCATTACAAAACCACAAGTCTTGTCGCATTATTTCACCAAAACAACGCGGCAACTCAGCCTCGCGGGATGCAGGCGGTGTGTTGTGGAGTTTGCCCAAGACAGTGGCGCCTGGCTAATCAAGGTCCGGTCCGTGTTCCGCTGTACGACTGTGGTGTGCAGCAAATCTGACCTGTCACGAGTGGTCATGGCGGCCTTCAGCACCTCATGAGACTTACTGCTCACGGGGTGATCACCGGCCAGCTGTGCCGTTGAAACTCTCATTGCACACGGGCATCTTGACGAAGTATTGACAGGGCGAGTGGACGGCGCCGCCTAGTCAAAGCCATGTGGCTGCAATAATGCAGCCAGAAACCAGAATTTCAACTCAAGAACGCTAGCCCCTGCGCGCGTCTGATGTACCTTCCAACTGATCGGCGGCGGTGCTACATTTCTCCCAATAAATGTGCTAGCCTGGTTGTTTATCGACTAGGCTGGCTGTGGGAAGAAGAGAATGCCTTTCTCAACACATCCTCATGGACACCCCGCCAAAAGTGGTGTGTTGGAAGCCATTTTCGGTCAGTGAACAATGCGGCGATTGGATAGATCGCTTCTCCTGCCCTGCCTCCGAGCTTGACAAAATCGGTTCGATTTTCACCAATCTTTCCAGGCACACATTTTATGCATGGCTTTGTTTCACTTCCCTTTGCACGACGCAAGCACCGTTACCAGCTTTCCGGGAGCCAAACGGGGCCTACAGGCATTTGAAAGATCCGAGCAAGGGCCGGCTACTGAGATAGGGCACACCGCTACACAGAGCGTCGCGATATTAGTCGTGCGCGCAGCAGTGCCATGCAGAGGATGGCCTGACGAGACGAAGCTGTCGCGATCGGCAAGACCTTGTCATCTGAGAACCGGGAAGCAGCGTGCCGAACGCACTCAGGAAGCAACTATTTTAGTACTCCGTCCCGCCGACCTCTTTTGTGAGGAAGAAATGTAAGCAGCCACCCCAACAACAGGGGCGCAACATCGCTCTGGAAAAGTCTCCGGAGTCTGCCCCATCCCATGATTGGCAGGAGTTCAAATTGTTGGCCTGTGCATCTCCAACGGCGCAGGCTGGAACCGAGCTAGCGAATAGCACCGCCAACGGGCTTTTCCTGTGTCTTAGCCGCACGTCGAGCTACCAACTGCCACCTTGTCAGAAGTGGCGCGCAACGCGGTCATATTACTTGACGGACAAGGTATAATCAACCGGACGCGCAATATCTCGGCCTGTGTTTTAGTTCGAAATAAGATACGCCGATCGCCGGGCTACAGCCTACGTCCGTGGACAAAGCGCACATCCGCCAGGGGAGGATACGAGTCGGCTCAGGGAGTCAAGCCTTGAAGGTCAGCAAATATACAAGCAATAAGAGTGGCGGGGTGTCCCGCCGGCCCCCAACTCCCCTCAAACCCCGTCGCTTCTGGCTGCCATGTCTTGTCCAGATGGGGTGTCCTCTTACTGAACGGCCCATTGACTATTTCGTACAACTCTTCTCAGGTCCCACGCTCCCGCAGGGTGGGCTCGGGGTCTCCCATTCTAGCTTGTCTATGATGTGCAAAAGAAAGAAAAAGCATCAGCTGCATTAGCGCCTGCATGTTGGTGTTGATGCTTGCATGGGGACAGGCAGACCCAAGCTGTCGGTGCCAGGTGTACGGGGCGCAACGGCAGCCTTCCTTACCGTGCCGATCTGCCTCTACTGACACGGACGGCGCTTCTTTATTTGTTATTTCCTCCTTTTTTCCCTCCCCTTCTGAATCAAAAGAGGATTCAACCCCATATGCAGGCCGGCCCTGTTGTTTCTCAACATCCCCTCAACTCCGCAGATTCCAGACCCTCGGAATGAACGACAACGGCTGGGACCGCCACCGCCGGCCCTTCTTGCCATGTGCCACTGAGAATGGGGGGTTTCACTTGGACGTGTGTACAATAACTACTAGTACAGGTAACTCAAGCAGAAACATGCAACCCCGTCTGCCCTTTTTCTCTACCCTGGGCCTTGTCATGCAATACACGAAAAAAGCAAAGAAGAAAAGCATTAGCTGGCGCCGCGCCGGCTGATCTTGACGCCACTCACTCCAAAGCCAGTCAGAGTGAGTTATCATAGGTCTCCCCTACCTGGTGTCCTTTCCACACAGTCGTTCCTTCGCGCGCGCCCCCTGAAACTATCACTTTCAGGCCCTCCTCCCTGCAAGATTTGCGAATATTACTTCTCGATGCAGGCACGACGACTACGTAATACTTGAAAAACAACATTCGCTCACCGACGCCGCCGCCGTCGACGCCCTCACCCCAACATGCACATCTATGCACGAAACACTAGTACGCGATGTAACGTACAAGGCTGTCAGCTACGGCGGGGACTATTAGCACTCAGAGATGAGCTGGGCTGCCTCCGGTGATCCGCTAAAAGAAACGCTGAGCGCGGGCGGTTTGGTTGTTGTTCTCGATGTGGTTGTACCTGCAGGCACCCTGCTCCCAGCTACCTGGGTATCGCCGAGGAACATGGCTTCATCAATTAATCCCAAACCTCTATCCATCCATCCATCCATCCATCACCTTGTCCCGCCTTTTCATTGCCAGGAACACCTTGTTTCCCGGCCTAACTTATCTCGTCTGGCCCTGCACGAGACCTGCCGAGTGTGCGGCGCGGCCAACAACCACCCTCTCGGTATCCTACCCCCCCCCCTGCTGGATGCAGCTAGATGGATGGATGGCTGGATGGATGGCTGGATGGCTGGATGGCTGCAAGCCAGGCATGGGTATGAATATGCGTGAAGACTTCTCATTTTGGGGCGCTTTGTCATTATCTAATTATAGGCAGGTTGCGGAAGCCACACGCCGCTGCGTCCACGACATGGCCGACATGGCTATCTCAGCTTCAGCTCCTCGCTTCAACCATGACGATGGGCAGTGACCAGGGCCCCTCGGTTAGGGGCGGGTATAGTCTCCGACACGAGCGAGTGGGCGGCGCTCTAATAAACTGGCGACTTTTGCATGATGAGGTGCCAAGAATGAGGCCTCGCAACCGACTGCCATTCTCTTTCGGAGCGTTCTTCCGGCCAAGACGGGCCATGCCTTGAGATGCAGGATGTGGACTGTGGGGAATCCCGCGGAATCCAAGCAATACGAGAGCGTAGATTGATAATCGGCGTGGCTCGACTCGCCGCAGCCCCGTCTCGTTCTACGGCGTTCCCGACGACGCCGCATCGCAATCAAGGCTTTACTGGCCCTTGTGCCATGTGGTTTGACCGGATACACTTTCTTATCCGGGTTAAGGTGGAGAGAAGTCCTGAACGAGATTTATTAAATTATGGGGGAGGGGGGAGGGGTAACGTTTGTATTAGCATTACAATTGTTGTCAAGCTGATTTGCTCGCTTATATCATAGCCCCGTGCCATAACCAAGGACCGACGACCTAACCGCCCTCGGCTGCGCGGACTTCGACGTCGTGCAAGAAGCGGCGTGACTTGTTGGCACTTGCTACCGACTCTCTCATGCAGGCGGTTTTCTTTGAACTTACCGTTCACAGTAAGTTGTTTGTCCCAAACAGGCCAACAAACACGCCCAGGCCACGTACAAGCATTAGTATGCATCGAGAACTGAGGCACAGTATTCGTCTATGAGACACGAGAGTCAAGCCTGGTGGTATTGCCGTTGCGTACTTACATTCATTGCTGGTGGCCAGGCGACGCATGTAAGCATGCCGTAGTCCTTCTTCTACAAAATGTAATATGGAATTGATACTTGAAGACCTCGGCGTTATACATAGTCCTGCAAAAGAGACCTGATACAGCATAGAAAAGTGCCTCGCTGAAATACCAGCTTCAACGCCCTTGCGAGCTCCCACGATGCTCTTCTCCTACCCCTCGAAACCTTGATGATGCCGAAGCAGACCCCAGCCTCACGAGCTATCCTTTCCCACGAACCGTCCCACATATGTCACCCTCTTGCCTGTGGCGAACCGTGCGATGAGCGCCGCAAAGCCCGTCTCATCCGTACCTGCGGCCCTACGACCGGCAGCGTGGGCGAGTCCGGCAACGGCTGATATGTAGACGCGACCTTTCGCTGTCGAGCGCTGAAGCCCGAGTGAACACCCCCTTCCTCCTCCTCGTCATCTTGCCCGCACGGCGAGCCTACCAGTCGCAGCGCCGTCGGGGTCATGGACAGGTGGCTTAGCATGGAGCTCCTCCGGTGCCTCGACGGCGTCGTCGGCTGGTCGTCGAGACGCAACGGCGCCCAGGGGGCCGGTAGCGGGGGCGGGGGCGGCGAGCCGTCCGCCACCCCGTCGCCGAGATGCCGCAGCAGTCCGCGCCAGTCATCCTCGCCGTCGCCGCGGAACAGGTTGCGCCTCGTGGTGTCGCGCTCCCGCAGTCCGCCGCCGCCGGGCCTGCGCCGCGGGACCTGCAGCGGCGGCGGCCGCAGCACGCGCTCCTCCTCGGCGGCGTCGGGAAGCGCAAAGTCCTCGGACTCCGCGTGCAGGCTCGCCACGGAGCGGCCGGCGACGAGCGTGCCGACCCTGCGCGCCGCGACGGGGGTCACGCTGCCAAAGTCGTAAGCGAGGTGCTGGCGCAGGCGTCGTCTCACAGCGACTGCCGAGATGCCAGGATGCGAGGTTGCGGCGGGGCCGAAGTTTCGCGGAGCGGCGGCGGCGTTGTTGTCGGCCACGCCCCGGCCATCACCATCGCCGCTGTTGGTAGTGTTGCACCATCGGCGGCGGCCCAAGTCCCAGGAGGACCCGGCAGATGGGGAGGAGCTCGCTTGCGAGGTTGCGGGTCGATAAGGGTGAGCTATCGATGAGCTGGCGGTGTCTTGGGAGGGATTTTCGGTGCCATCCTGGAGCCGGCGCCGATCATTGTAGTGGACGGCAGGGGAGGAAAAGTGATAGTCTAATGAGGCTGTCGTTAGCCTCACACGCAGCAAGACAGAGTGGATAGTAACTAGATGTAATCTATTTCAGGTGCTTGCGCACCGGTTTGTATATTACGTACCTTGTTTTGCTTTTTGGTTCGGTGAGCCAAGGTGAAGGGTGTCGAGTCCGGACGCTACCTCTGTCTGTTGCGCGTATACGCCGGATCGTCTCGCCACCCGACTTTTGTCGGTTGCGCCAGGGGGCGAGGCCGATTTCGCCGGGCCGGAAAGTGACCTGAACGGATGGATGCCGTCGAGGGCCACCAGGTTCAGCATGGAGGGGAACTGCAGTGCGATGCCGCCGAGGTTCAGGGACAGCCGCGGGCAGGACAGGAAGCTCCTCCGATCCGGCTCTCCCTGCGGGATCTCGTGCTCAAGCACCGCATTCTGCTCCGGACCCGGTGTTAGCTTCAAGACCGACATCTCTCTGGGCCGGTCGGGACTCGCGTCTAGAGACGGGAGGTGCCTGCTGGGCAGCACGAGGAATGCTTCCCAGCGCGGCGTCCAAAACCAACGCTTGGTCAGTCCCGACGACGACGAGACGTTGTTGCCGCGTCTTTGCAGTGCCGCGCGGATGAGTCGGGATCGCGCAAACTCCATGGGAGACATGCGCGCCGGTGCGAGCCTCCATTGCACAGCCTCCTGCTCTTCGGCGGCGGTGGCCATCGTCGCCGCGCCGGGACTCGCCACGCTCTGCCGAGCGCTGCTAGCAGGCGTCGGACCCTGGGACGTAGCAAAGGCGGCCCAGTCGCTGTCGAACGGCGACGCATAGTCGTGGCTGGCAGGCTGGAGCTCAGGGCTGGAGATGGTCGCCGCTCTTGCGCTCCGTCTGATAAAGGGCATCTTGAGCTTGCGCGGCGTTTTGGCTGCTGGCTCCCCGGCGCTGGAGATGGACGCCACGGAGGTCGTCCTGGTGGTCGAGTCTCGGTCGGAGGCGGCAAGGCTGGACTTTGACCTCATCCGACGCACGATTCGTCCAAAGTTTCCCGCCGTCAGGTTCGGCCGGAGCGCCTCGGGGATCGGCGGCAGCGGTGGCACCGGAGGCGGCGCCGGCGCCTGGGGGTCCGATCCCTTGCGGCCGAACCTACGCCTCTTGCTCTTTTCTCTAGCCGGCGGCCTCGGCGTCCCAGCTACAGAATATCCGCCACCTTCACAGTCTTCCTCCTCCTCTTCCCCCTCCTCCGAGTCGAAGCTGTACTAGAAGTCGCGACTCGAGAGCTGTCGCGGGATGACGAGGCCGAGCTGCATCTGCTCGCGCGGGGAGATGCCCAGGTGCGGCGCGAGCGGGTGCCGGTCAAACTCGCGCCGCGATAGGTCGTCCGGGTACGCGAGGACGGGCGGGGCGTCGACGTCGCCGGCGAAAGCGGCGCCGTCCGTCTTGGCGACCGAGACTTCGCGCCCGGGCATGCCACGGAGCAGCGGGGCGGCGCGATGTGCCACCGCCGTCGAGGACGACAGTGACATCGCCTGGCCTGAAGAGGCCAGAGAGTCCCGGAGAATCAAAGAGCTGGTGTCTGGTCGGTCGCTGAGGAAGACGGAGGAAGGGTTTGGGGATACAGCGGCTGTGGCTGCGGCGCTGGATCGGGAGGAGGCGGAGCAGCTCGTCAGGAACGACAGACTCTCGACCGGGGACGGCAGCGACGACGACGACGACGGGACGCCGCAGCGCCGCTCGAGGGCGTGCAGGGTGGAGAGGCAGAGCAGCTCCGTCTTCTTGAACTCCTCGGCGTACCGGAGCAGCGCGTCGCGGGCGTCGGCGTAGCCGGGCATGCCGCACCAGGTGAAGAGGCGGGTCTGCAGGGCGCGCCAGGCAGCCGCGTCGTCTGCCTCGCCGCGCATAAGGTGCTCGTAGACGGAGAAGCGGATGTTTTCACGAAGACCGTCCGAGTACGGAGGAAGTGGTGAGGAGGTCGCGACTTCGGCGGCGATGGCGGGGGGGAAGAGGGCGTTGAGCGTGGCCATTATGTGTTCCATGGGGCGTGGGCGCCTCGGGTCCAGGGCATGTATTAAAACCTATGAAAGAGAAGATGTCAGAAACATGATTGAGAAAATAATTGGCTCCGGAAACTGGTGTGGTTGCGTACAGTGGCGCGAAAGCCCATGTGAAAAAGGCCGTGATGGAGCGTGGCCGCGCTGTCCAGCTCCCGGAGGAGCGCGGGCAGCGATGATGCTGCATCTGCAGCGTGACCGGCCGGTGCCATTGCGTCTTTGACGGCGTCGACGAGGACGACACGGTGCTTCTCGAGCCGGTCCAGGGACGTGATGCCGTGCATGGCGAGATCATGGTCGACGCCGTCGCGAGGCGGCGCCTCCTTGAAGATGTCGCGGGTCGCGGCGAGGAGCGCCCTGCGGGGATTGATGATGTAGAGTCGGGTACTTTCCGTCCACGGCTGGTAGGCGGAGCAGTGGTCATAGTCTTGCGTCGAAGTCGATTCTGAACGGGTGATGAGGCTGTCGTCGTGGTCGAAGGCTCGGAGCCGGCTCTGGAGAGCCTTGGTGAACTCACAGTGGTGTTTGGCGCAGGCGAGGTTGTCGAGCCGGAGGAGCTCGCGCAGCCGGCCGACGTCTTTCTGCAGCCAGCGCTGCTCGGTTTCGAGGGCACAAGGAATCATGGTTGATTGCATGGATTATATAGGGAAGGCAAAGAGGTCGATTGTATGTAAGGCACGGTGAATCAAAGCTCGGGCAGCTGGTGGAAGGGCCGCATTCTAGCGTTCTGCTTGAAGATGAGAACTTTCAACAAGATCCATAGCAACAAGCAAGGATGGGCATGTCAGATCACGCCTATAGGAGAGCATAAAGGGCAGTGTCCGCGCCGAGCGGGTGTGGGATGGGTGAGGCCAAGGTGAACAGTAACTGATGCACAGTGAGTTGTGAGAGAAGGGTAGGACTAAAGTGTAAGGCTTGTCTACAGTACAAAATCAACAAAAAAATACGTATTAATGAACACTGTATGTTTTGAACGGAAAGTACAATATTAAAGTCCAAACGGCACATGATCAAGTCCGATTGCCTTCAGGGTAGCTCTTGAGATGTTGCCATGCTTTGTCACAGACACGCAAACTTAATCTCTCTTAAGGTTCGGAGAAGCTCCACGACGGCTCTCACTACGCAATAAAAAAAGCCAGTCCCACAGCAAACTGCAAAAGCCTCCTGGCGCTTTGTTTGACTTGGGCACAGGAAGTGGGTGCTTTGTCTGGGCGAGGTCTCACCGCGAGATGGCAGGCGGCACGCACCGACGGCCCGGCGTATCGCCACCCGCGGCGTTTTAGCACAAGAGAAAATACGGCAAGCAAGATGAAATGTGCTGACTGATGTCGGTTTGCTCTTTGATGCCAAGATAAAGCGCGTGTCGCTGTCGTTATTTCTTACACGCTGGGACGGTAGTCACCAGGTGCTTCATCGCACAAAGGGGGGGGAGGCAACTCCTCAGACGGCTCCTTTGCTGTACAAGCAAAGTGATAAAGAATGTCGTCTGTGTATTTTAAGAGCCAAGATAAGTATTTAAACTGGAGGCTTTCCCGTTATTTCCTTCTTTCCTTGTAAATCATTATCAACTCTCTTTACCCCTCAACAACCACCCATCAACGACTCAGTTCGATCCCAACAAACAACGACCATGTATTTGGCCAAGACCCTTGCTATTGTGGCCTCACTGGCCGTCTTTGGTGTTGCGGCCAAGGATGGGCGAGTTTCGTGCGAAAAACGTCAATGGGAAGCCGCCTGTGGCAATCAGAACGATGCTCCCGGTCCAGACGGTTCCATCTGGGATTGCCTGGAGAAGGAGGACGGCAAATTCTTCTGGGAGCTCAGAGAAGACTGCGGTGGACCAAAATGCTGCACTGTGGCGGCCCCGTACGGTCCCGAGTGCGATTGCTAGAGGACATGAAATTGCTGCAAGATTATTGCTCGGCACAATGCGGCAATCAGGGCAGCGCTCCTAGCCCAGACGGCATCATCTATAAGTGCAAGTTGGATCAGAACGGCGTGAAACAATGGACAAAATGGCAAGCTGCTCGTTGCCCGTTGACAAATTGTTTCCCAACTGCCGAAACCAGTGTTAGGTATGTGAGGTACTTGCTGCGAACATATTTTGATGATTTACTAATAATACAGTGCAAAGTTGGCCGGCCAGCTTCCATCAGTGTGGATTGTGGTGGATGGATGCAGCGAGCGAAAGATTGGGTTTATGTCATCTCAAGATTAGCTCTGGTAACGCTAAATGCTTTCTTTATTGTTTGTTTTTATTTTTCCTCTTCTTGAAAAGCACCCCCTTTGTGTGCACTGTGGCTGGCGATATCTGGCCGCGTTGTTCTGTGTCTGCTGAACACACCTGTAGTTGATTGCTACCCTAGGCCTGTTAATATTCATGTCTACAGTAGCTCTGTAGGTACCTATGTACATAGGTAACTTTGCTCCAAATGTGTAGGTAAGAGTAGTGTAGGGCCCGGTACCTGTTAGCCTCAGGTAACTGCTTGGCATATTCTACTTCCTACTTAATAACTTTAATTCTAACAAGGGAAACATCGTGCCACCAATTCTCGGGCGCCTCGCACAGACCAGCAACTCGTCTCCACGTTGTTCGTTGTCTTTGACATCATTTAACCGACGGTGGCTGTAGCGTACTCTTCTTGCCATGCATTTATTTTACTGAATTCTGCTTAAATTGCATTACGGCTCAAGCGTTACATCGCGTTGCGCTCTCTTCCGTTATTGACCAGTGCGTTGGCCTACGTCGCCGTCATGTCCCTCCCCAGGCGCGCGGCTGGAGCTGCAACGCGTCTCCTGGCTAGAGGCCCCGCGAGGCCTCCGGTTCGGCTACCCATAGATCGCAGCGCCTTCTCAACGCAAAGTCCGAGAAGAAACGGTATGTTAATGCATTACACCTAGTGCATTCAATTAATTCCATCCACCCAATCACAAAAACACCCGCGCCCTTGCCCACACGCGCCCAAGGCACCACGCTGATGCAACCACGACAGACACCAACGCCGAGATCGCTCCATCATCAGCGGCCGGCACCAGCAGAAGCAGCAGCAGCAGCAATGCCGGCCATGCCAAGGCGGCGCAGCCGGAACCCTCCGTCGCGTCCAAGATGGCCGAGTCGGCGGCGACCACGTTCGCCTCGATCCTCGTGCTGGGGCTCGGCTTCGCGGCCGCGGGCTACATCTACCACCGGAGCTACAAGATGCTCGTCATCAACAAGATGGTGCGGGCCTTTGAGCCCGGCGACCCGGTGCTGGACCTCGCCACCGTCGGCAAGGACCTGCCCTCGCCGCGCGCCGCCGAGGATGAGCGCTGGATCCACCGCGACGAGCAGTCCCTCGTCGACGCCATCGTCGACGGCCGCGAGGTCGGCCACTACTACCTCATGATCGGCGACAAGGGCACCGGCAAGAGCAGCATGCTGCTCGAGGCGATGCGCAAGATTGACGGCGACGGCGTGTCCATGTTCGAGGCGCACGCGGACCTCGAGGTGGTGCGGCTGCGGCTCGGCAAGGCGCTCAACTACGAGTTCCACGAGGACTACATCGGGGGGTACTTTAGCGAGCGCGGGCCGCGCGAGTCGACGGCGCTGCTGGACATTGAGCGCGCGCTCAACAAGCTGGAGAAGGTGGCGATGCGGCTGTTCCGCGCGCGCCGCCGGCCGCTGATCCTGATCGTGAACCAGATGCACCTGCTGCGCGATGACGATGATGGCCGCGACCTGATCGAGCTGCTGCAGCAGCGCGCGGAGCAGTGGGCCGCGACCAACCTGGTGACCATCATCTTCAACTCGGACGACTACTGGGTGTACGAGCGCCTGAAGCAGCTGGCCACCCGCATGGAGGTGCTCCCGATCACGGACCTGCCCAAGGGACAGGCGGTGAGCGCGCTCAAGAGGTACAGGCAGCGGTACTGGGGCGAGGCGCTGGACGAGGCGCGCCTGGACGAGGTGTACGACCGCGTCGGCGGGCGGCTCAACTTCCTCAACAAGGTGGCCAAGAGCAGGGACATGCTGGCGACGTGCGAGAACATCAAGGAGATTGAAAAGCGCTGGTTCCTGAACCAGTGCTGGATCCTGGGCATGGAGATGGACGACGACGTGATGGACCAGCAGAAATGGGCGGTCAGTACAACCAACGCGTGCTTGATTTGAATTTCTCCCTCTCTCTTTTTCTTTTTTTCTTTTTTTTTTGGCGTTCAAAACTGACTTTGAACTCGATAGGCCGCCGCCATGGTCCTCGCGCAGGCGCTGGTGGCCAAGGAAAAGGACATGGACCTGACCTACGACGCCGTCATCGGCCACCTGCTGCCCTCGTTCCCGTTCCACGTCGCGCAGGAGCTCATGACGCGGTGCGACTTCATCCGCAAGCTGGACAGCCTGAACCTGTTCAGCATCACGAGCCGGGCGGACGTGCGCGCGAGCAGCGTGCCGATGCACCGCGCGTTCCGCGAGATTTGCGGCGAGCCGGGCTTCGACGAGCACCTGGAGCGCACGATCCAGCGCATCGCCGACATTGAGAGCCTGGGCCGCACGCGCGAGCTGGTGGCCAAGGACCTGGTGCTCGGGGGCCACTATGAGATTGAGGCGGGCCGCAAGGGCATCAGGGGGGGGGGGGGCATTGGTGTGTTTTGTATCAATCTACTATCTGCCATGTATACCTTTTGTGTAAAAAAAAAAGGGGGTCATTCTATTCTGATTTTGAGAAATTAACAAAAAATACAATCAACTGCGCACATATTCCTTTGACATCTGAGACAACTTGGCTACAAGGATGAGCAGGTTTCCGAGGGCCACAATTGCCCGCTGGCTCGGCTGCGAGTCCCGAGTGCATCCATCCACCAACCCGTCTGGAGACAGCGTTTGTTTCATGCTGCTATCGGCAGATGGTGAAATTCACGCACGTTGTTAAGACCGATCACCGAATCTCGGCCAATGACTACTATCCAGATGAGATCAGCTGCCGTCAGAGATGAATCCCCTAATTGATTCTCTTTGTCCGTGCCAAAAATCGTTAGGCCACCATGTTCCTTGTTTCGCCGCTCTTATCACCTACCCTCCTTCGGCGATGACTAACCTATCCCTATTCTTATCCCCGGTTTGGCAGGGCCCAACCTGCGCTAGCCTGCAGGGAAATCTCCACAATGAATCATTCAACATCAGTTGGGGCCGTGGTGCAGAGTCAGGCTTGGCTTTGGGGTTCACGTTGAACAGGGCGCAGCCTCACCAAAACGGGTGAGCCAGGTGCCAAGGCTGCTGAAAAAGAGCTGTGGCATCAGAAACGTGCTCAAAGGCCTCGTAACGAGTGAGAGAGATAGCAGCGCTCAATTATTAATAACACCACGGCGGAACCAAAAAGTTCTCCGCGGCGATGACAGCCGCGTCTCATTTTTTATTTAGTAAGCAGCCTGATCTTGTTCGTTCGCCGGCCGTGCATTTCTCCACAGAATTTCGGCCAGCAAAATTCCAAAACAAACCGCATCAAGGAAAGGAGGGTAAATTAACTAATTAGTTAAATAACAACACGGTTAGCCTCCGATTAAACCATTTATTTTTGAACTCGCACACCCCGGAGATTAGAAATACATATCTCCAGGCTGGTCGCACGCGGCTGCAGTGATTGGCCCTCGTCTCGCTTGGAACCACCAAAGACGGTGGGCCAAGAAAAGGGCGGTGCGTCATGACAAACGGGGGAATGGATGGATATCCGAAGGAGAGAGAGGCGAGAGGGAGGGAAAAAATTGTTGAAACGGATCTCAGCTTGTTACACACATACACAACATGTCAGCTCCCGCGTCCCGTATATAAAAGTTGATGCTGTCCCACCACTCAGTCTAGTGAGACACGAAGCTACTTATCTAGGTACGGGCCTGTCCATGCATGTCCTGCAGGCGACAAGTTGCTATACCCGACCGTTGCTGAACAAGCACAGCGCCCACTCCGCAATGGCTGCTGAAGAGCAGCAGACGGTGCCGACCACGGCTGCCGTCGGAGCCACCACCACCACCACCACCACCACCACCACCACCAACAACACCACGACTGCCTCCGCTACCCGCACCGAAGCTACTACCGCCGTCATCGCACCATCCACCTCCGCCGACATTTCCTCCAGCGATGCCTCTGTCGACGGCTACTGGGGCGACGCCGACGCCAGCGGGCCTGTCCGCCAGGAATCCGCCCGTCAGGGCTACTCTGAGTTACAGAAGGAGCTGAGCCGCCGGGCCAGCCACGCCTCTGCCGCCTCCAAGGCCAAGAGCCACACCACCACCGCCGGCGGACTCTTCTCATCGCTGCGCAAGTCCCGGCGCGAGCCCGACGTCGAGGCCGACAGCCAGGAGACCCAGCACAACAATGACGACGACTTCCGCCTGGAAGAGTTCATGCGCCAAGGCCACCTCGAGAAGCGCCACCCGGAGAGCGGCGAGGCGACCAAGAAGGTCGGCGTCGTCTTCAAGAACCTGACCGTCAAGGGCGTCGCCGTCAGCACCGCCACCGTGCGCACCCTCCCGCAGGCCATCCTCGGCACCTTTGGCCCGGACCTCTATGGCCACCTCACCAAGCTGATTCCCGCGCTGCGCTTTGGCCGCGGCGACGGCCCGGAGGTACGCGAGCTCATCCGCGACTTCACAGGCGTCGTGCGCCCCGGCGAGATGATGCTCGTGCTCGGCCGGCCCGGCGCCGGCTGCAGCACTTTTTTGAAAGCCATCGCCAACAACCGCGAGACGTTCGTGGCCGTCGATGGCGACGTGCGCTACGGCGGCATCTCCGCCGCCGAGATGGACAAGCGCTTCCGCGGCGAGGTCGTCTACAACCCCGAGGGCGACCGCCACCTGCCCTCGCTCACCGTCGGGCAGACGCTCGACTTCTCCCTGCGCACCAAGACGAAGAAAGCCGACCGCGGCTCCGTCGGGCTCGTGGTGGACGCGTTCCTCAAGATGTTCGCCATACCGCACACCAAGAACACCAACGTCGGCGACGAGTACACGCGGGGCGTGTCCGGCGGCGAGCGCAAGCGCGTGTCCATCGCGGAGGCGCTGGCGACCAAATCGACGGTCGCGTGCTGGGACAACTCGACGCGCGGGCTGGACGCCTCGACGGCGCTCGACTACGCGCGCTCGCTGCGCGTCATGACGGACGTCTCGGGGCGCACCACCCTGACGACGCTGTACCAGGCCGGTGAGGGCATCTACGCGCTCTTCGACAAGGTGCTCGTCATCGACGACGGCCGCGTGCTGTACCAGGGCCCCGCGGGCGAGGCGCGCGCGTACTTTGAGGGCCTCGGCTTCTACGCGCCGCCGCGGCAGACCACCGCCGACTTCCTCACCTCGGTGTGCGACGTCAACGCGCGGCGCTTCCGCGACGGCTTCGACAAGAGCTGCCCCAAGACACCCGCCGAGCTCGAGGCCGCCTTCCGCGCCAGCGACGCGCACCGCACCGTGCTCGCCGACGTCGCCGATTACGAGGCGCACCTGGCCGCGACCGGCCACGCCGACGCCGAGACCTTCCAGCAGTCGGTGCGCGCCGCCAAGTCGCGCACCGTCGCCGCGCGCTCCAGCTACACGGTCAGCTTCGTGCGGCAGGTGCTCGCCTGCACGCGGCGCGAGTTCTGGCTGCTCTGGGGCGACAAGCAGACGCTGTACACCAAGTTCGCCATCATCATCAGCATGGGGCTCATCGTCGGCTCGCTCTTCTACGACATCCCCGACGACACCGCGGGGCTCTTCCTGCGCGGCGGCGCCGCCTTCTTCTCCATCCTCTTCCTCGGCTGGCTGCAGCTGTCGGAGCTGATCCGCGCCATCGCCGGCCGCGACGTCATCCGCCGCCACCGCGAGTACGCCTTCTACCGGCCCTCGGCTGTCACCTTTGCCCGCATCCTCGCCGATTTCCCGCTGCTGCTGCTCGAGGTTGCCGTCTTCGGCGTCATCCTGTACTTCATGTGCAACCTAGACCTCGACGCCGGCAAGTTCTTCATCTACCTGCTGTACATTTACACCACCACTATCTGCATCACCGCGCTCTATCGCATGTTCGCGGCCATCAGCCCGTCCATCGACGACGCCGTCCGCTTCTCCGGCATCACCTTCAACCTGCTCCTCATCTTCACCGGCTACGCCATCAGCAAGCCCACGCTGCTGAGCGAGAAGATCTGGTTCGGCTGGTTCTACTGGATCAACCCGGTGTCGTACGCCTTCGAGGGCGTCATCTCGAACGAGCTGTCGAGCCGCAACATGCAGTGCGCCCCGAGCCAGCTCGTCCCACAGGGGCCCGGCATCAGGCCCGAGAACCAGGGCTGCGCCGTCCCCGGCTCCGCCGCCGGCGCCACCACGGTCAACGGCGCCGACTACCTCGCCGCCAACTACGACTACCACCGCTCCAACCTCTGGCGTAACTGGGCCGTCCTGATTGCCTTTTCCGTCCTGTACATCCTCGTCACCGTCCTGGCCACTGAGACCATCTCCTTCGCCACCTCCGGCATGGGCATTCTCATCTTCAAGAAATCCAAGGCCGGTTCCGCGGCCGCCGCGAAGAAGGCCAAGGGAGGCGACGAAGAGTCCGGCAGCAAGGAGGCGGCGACCGGCGACGACACGCTGCGGCGCCAAATCACCACACCCGACGAGATCCTGCAGGAGTTCCAGCGCAGCGAGAAGATCTTCACGTGGGAGGACGTCAGCTACACCGTCCCGAGCGCCGACGGGCCCAAGAAGCTTCTCAACAGCGTGCAGGGGTACGCCAAGCCCGGCGTCATGGTGGCGCTCATGGGCGCCTCGGGCGCCGGTAAAACGACGCTGCTCAACACGCTGTCGCAGCGGCAGACGCTCGGCGTCGTCGAGGGCCGCATGCTCGTCGACGGTTCCGCGCTGCCGGCCGACTTCCAGCGCGGCACCGGCTTCGTTGAGCAGATGGACCTGCACGAGGAGTCCACCACGGTCCGCGAGGCGCTCGAGTTCTCCGCGCTGCTGCGCCAGTCGCGCGACACGCCGCGCGCCGACAAGCTCGCCTACGTCGACAAGATCATTGACCTGCTCGAGATGCAGCCCATCGAGGACGCCATCGTCTTCTCCCTCGGCGTCGAGCAGAAGAAGCGCCTGACCATCGGCGTCGAGCTCGCCGCCAAGCCGTCCCTGCTGCTCTTCCTCGACGAGCCCACGTCCGGCCTCGACTCGCAGTCGGCCTTCTCCATCATCCGCTTCCTGCGCAAGCTGTGCGCGGCCGGCCAGGCCATCGTCTGCACCATCCACCAGCCCTCGTCCGAGCTCATCGAGCAGTTTGACCAGATCCTCGCGCTGAACCCGGGCGGCAACGTCTTCTACTTTGGGCCGGTCGGCGAGAACGGCGCGGCCGTCGTTGATTATTTCGCGGCGCGCGGCGCGCACTGTCCGGCCGGCAAGAACGTCGCCGAGTTCCTCATCGAGCAAGGCGCCAAGCCCGCCGGTCGCGCGTTCTGGAACGAGCAGTGGCTGCGTTCGGATGAGAACAGGCGGCTCACGGAGGAGATTGCGCGCATCAAGCAGGATCGCAGCGATGTCGCGACTAGGGAGCGGCAAGAAGGATCCGCCGCCGCCGCAAAGGGAGACGAGTTTGCCGCGTCGGTGTACGAACAAACCGCCCTGTTGACCAGGCGCATGTTCGTCAAGCAGTGGCGTCAGCCCTCGTACGTGTACGGCAAGTTCTTCGTCGCCGTGCTCATCGGCATCTTCAACGGCTTCACCTTTTGGCAGCTCGGCGACACCGTCGAGGACATGCAGAGCCGCATGTTCACGTCCTTCCTCGTATTGCTCTTCCTGCCCGCCACCATGAACGCCGTGCTGCCCAAGTTTTTCATGGACCGCGCCCTCTGGGAGGCCCGTGAGTACCCGTCGCGCATCTACGGCTGGGTCGCCTTCTGCTCCGCCTCCATCATCTCCGAGATCCCCAGCGCCGTCGTCTCGGCGGTGCTCTACTGGGTGCTCTGGTACTACGCCACCGGGCTGCCCACCGACAGCGCCACCGCCGGCTTCGTCTTCCTCATGACGCTGCTCTTCTTCCTCTTCCAGACCAGCTGGGCCCAGTGGATCTGCGCGTTCGCCCCGTCCTTTACCGTCATCAGCAACGTCCTTCCCTTCTTCCTCGTCATGTTCTCCATCTTCAACGGCGTCTTCGTCCCGTACCAGCAGCTCGTCGTCTTCTGGCGCTACTGGATGTACTATGTCAACCCGTCCACGTACTTTGTCGGCGGCGTCCTCTCGAGCACGCTCGCTAGCCAGCCGGTCCGCTGCGCCGACCACGAGGCTGCCTACTTCAAGCCGCCCTCCGGCAAGACTTGTGCGGAGTTTGCGAGCGACTTCGTCACCCAGGCTGGGCGAGGCTACTTGATCGACCCCAATGCCACCGATATGTGTGGCTATTGCCCATACGCCGACGGTACCCAGTACCTGGCGTCTCTTCACATTGAGCCCAGCCAAAAGTGGCGCGATTTTGGCATCTTCCTTGCATTTTGCATTAGCAACTGGGCCCTTGTCTACTTCTTCATCTACACGGTCCGCGTTCGTCGCTGGTCGTTTGGTTTCGGCTACTTGTTCAAATGGTTTTAGAGAAATTCGGCTGTTGCATATCATAGAGGGAATGGCGTTAATGGATTGAGACAGTTAAGAAAAAGCTGCCTCCGCTTGGTATTACATCCAACAAAAATGGTGTAGATGTTAGATATACATTGATAATACATGCCGTTTGTCAATTGGCGCTTGATGTCAACGCGATGGGATACACGCCAGTTCCTACCCCATGTCGATAGATACATCAGTTCATTAATGCGCCGCACGGCGACTCTCATCATCTCGTCATTCTTACCTTATTACCCCAAACCAAAGAGGTAGGTGGCCGTCGTCAGTGGAGCGTGGCTGGACTTGGGTGTCGTGACCTGGCTCCTCGTGCCTTGGTGGAGGGGCTCGCGGATACGATGGGAATGAAGTGGCGCATGCTATTGGATATGTGTATACATGTGGCGTCCAAGGGGAAAGCTTGCTTTGTCAAGCATTTACTTGTCCGCGGTGGCTAGTTTCTTGGCTGGAGCTTAATTAGCAATTGCAGCTCGTTGAACGAGGCAGTGCAATACGTGCCGTGTGGACTGTATGCACTTGGCACTGATCTTATCCGTTAAAACGCGTCTGCTCGCTATGATAAGACATTTTTGGTGCGTAATTGAGTGACTTCCGAAGTTCGGTCCTGGAGCTCCATAGCTTAGCGAGAGCCCAGCCAAGATGTCTCGGTCTTGGCTCCTCGGTCGTACGAATCTCGTCCGAGTGCCTTTTGCCAGGATACTGACAAGTCGTACGAAGAGACTCGAATGTGGAGGAATCGACACTGTTCGGTCTCTAGGACTCAACGGCACTATGATTGCTAGACGCTGTCAAACGTACCCCAAAGCCCCGCGAATCCCATCAATTGACAGCGTGACCACGCAGCCCAGGACCGCGCACCACGTGTTAACAGTGTTATCCCAAGTGGTGTTCTGCTAGGCTGCAATCTGCAAAGTTGTTGCGTTAGGGCGCAGTGGTGCTACATCCACATTGCTGGGTCGCTGACAGCGGGGGAGCGGCAAGTGGCAGGGAAGCCCCAGTAGCTAACTTAATCTCGACGATCCTTCTTTGGGCCAATATTATGCTGGGTAGCGGGGGTTGCACGGAAATATTGTGTGATGGCGATGGCGATGGTGCAGGCGAAGTGAAGAGGGCTGTGTTTGCAGAGGCGAGTTGATGATTCATTTGCTCTGCCAGCCAGCTGTCGGGTAACACGCTGCCGGCTGGCAACTAGAAAGACCGGTGTCTACCTCTGAGCTGTTGGCACGCATGTATCCTTTGTTAAGTCTTGGACAATGTCCAGCATCGTCCCCCGCACTTTAGGCGGCTGGGGCACCAAAGGATGCCTGAATCCCACTCTGAGCCTCCACTGAATCCCCCCCACCGCCACCAACAGCGTCCGTGGACTATCTTGGCGACTTTCAGGCCCTCGTCACCCCGTTGCCAAGTCACTTGTGCCTATTTTGTGTCAACCTGCCTACTAAGTGTAGCACCATCACACCATCATGTACTCCGGTACCCCCAAACGTCCCGTAGGTACTTCAGAGGCATCCCCAGTACTTCAAAAGGAACCCGTCTCCCCGCACATATCGTCTCGCTTGTCTTTTTCCTTTCTCACCATTGCCCATCAGGCTTCTGCCTCTTGCGTATCATTTCCTTGTTCTGCATCGTCGAAAGTCTCCGGGAGTAGCAACAGTTCTCGCCTTGAACCGCCAGATCCGTTCTCCTACTGCGTCTTTCCCCTGTGCCGCTTCGCTTGTCAAGCACGCCAAAAATCAACCACAAAAAAAAAACTATAAAAACAACCGCCGTCGCCTCAATTGAGAGTTTTACTGCTTGTTAGCATAAAAACTACCGCCATTCGATGGGAGAAACCGCCGCTGTTATTACGAATGGTGCAACAAACGCCAACAACGCCGCCAACTCGGAGCCCCCTCCCAGCCAGGACGACCAGCCTCCTATACCGAAGCCCCCGGACATAGTAGTTATAGAGAAACCAACGTGCCCGCACACCCTATCAGCGCAGCAAGTTGCTGATTATCTCGACACCGACCTCTACGATGGCTTGACTTCCGAAGAGGCAGCCGACCGCCTTGCGCGGGACGGCTCCAATGCCATTAAAGGTGCCAAGGGACTTTCCCTCTGGGAAATCTTCCTGCAGCAGGTCGCCAATGCCTTGACTGTAGTCTTAATTGCCGTCGCCGTCTTGTCCTTTGTTATCGATGACTACATCGAGGGCGGCGTCGTCGTCGCAGTCATTGTGCTGAACATTGTCGTCGGGTATGTCGAGCCGAAGCCGCATCTCTCCATCTGTCTCGCTAATTTGAAGTACCAGTCTTGTTCAGGATTATCGAGCTGAGCAGACTATTCAGTCACTGTATGCCCTGTCTACCCCAAAGTGCAAAGTCATTCGTGACGGCCATAGCGACACGGTCAAGGCAGAAACCCTAGTCAAAGGAGACTTGGTTTCGCTTGTCACTGGCGACGTCGTCCCTGCAGATCTGCGTCTCGTCCAAGGCATAAATCTCTCCACGGATGAAGCCCATCTGACCGGCGAATCCGTCGCCATCAGCAAAAGGCCAGACGCCATCTTAGAAGATTCTGACATGCCCGTCGGTGACCGAATCAACCTCGTCTTCTCTGGTAGTTCTGTCACTCGCGGACGGGCCACTGGTATTGTCGTTTCTACCGGCATGGAGACCGAAGTCGGACAAATTGCGGAACTCTTGCGCCAAAAGAAAAAGAGCACTGCAGGCATGTCCCCCGCGAAGAAGGTACTTTACAATGTCCGTCAAAGCATTCGTAACATTCTCGGCCTTGAGGGAACTCCATTGCAAGTTACTCTTAGCAAGTTCGCCCTACTCCTCTTTGGCCTAGCCATTCTCCTTGCCGTCATCGTCTTTTCGGTCAGCTTGTGGCGCATCAATGATGACGTTCTACTCTACGGCATCTGTGTTGGTGTTGCTGTTATCCCCGAATCCCTTCTCGCAGTTCTTACTGTTACCATGGCTGTTGCAACCAAGGCCATGGTCAAGGGCCATGTAATTGTGCGGCAGATGCCTTCGCTCGAAGCCGTGGGCGGGGTCACCAATATCTGCTCCGACAAGACTGGAACTCTCACCCAGGGTCGCATGATTACCCGTAAGGTCTGGCTACGCGATGGGCTCACTGGAGTTACGCAAGCCACGTCAGACCCCTACGACCCTAGCAGCGGCAGCGTTTCTTGGTCGGGCTCCCTCGCCGGTAGCTGCTTCAGCGCTTTCCTCAACACGATCAATCTCTGCAACAACTCCACAGTCACGGATGGCAAAAAGGAACCCGAGACGGACACTAGTAGTGTCACGACTGCTTTCGAACCGGCCGAATGGCGCGCTGTAGGTGAGCCGACGGAGATTGCTCTCAAAGTCTACGCTATGCGGTACGGTCAGGTTCGAAACAGCGCTGATCAGTTGATTGCCGAACACCCTTTCGACTCCTCGGTCAAACTAATGAGTGTTGTCTACGGTACGGGCCTTGACTCGGCTCATCATGTTCACACCAAAGGAGCCGTGGAGGTTATGCTTCCCATCCTCAATGAAACCGAAGAGTTCAAATCGATTATCCACGCCAATGCTGAGTCACTCGCCAGTGAGGGTCTCAGAGTGCTCTGCATCGCCGACAAAGTCGTCGAAAACTCTCGTGATGAAGCACATGATCGAGCAAAGTGTGAGTCTGGCTTGCGTTTCCTCGGGTTGGCCGGTCTTTACGACCCTCCTCGGCATGAGACGGCCGGGGCTGTTCTCCAATGTCGTCAAGCTGGTATCTCTGTGCACATGGTCACGGGCGATCATATCAAGACAGCCACAGCTATCGCCTACGAAGTCGGTATTTTGTCTAGCCATGTCCCCTTGTCGCCGAATACCGTCATGGCAGCTTCTGAGTTTGCCAACCTAACGGACGACGAGGTCGATGCACTAGAAGCCATCCCCCTTGTCATTGCTCGTTGCAGCCCCCTGACCAAGGTCAGAGTTATCCAAGCCCTTCACCGACGAAAGGCTTTTTGCATCATGACCGGTGACGGTGTCAACGACTCCCCAGCTCTTAAGCAAGCTGATGTTGGCATCGCCATGGGTGACCGAGGCAGTGATGTTGCCAAGGAGGCAGCGGACATGGTCTTGACTGATGATAACTTTGCCTCCATTGTCACTGGTATTCAAGAAGGCCGACGCCTGGCCGACAATATCCAAAAGGTATGTGTCCAGCAATTCTCAAGGTTCGATCGGTTCGGTTCGCTAATCTGCCGCAGTTCCTTCTGCACCTGCTCACCTCGAATCTCGCCCAAGTTGTTCTTTTGTTGATTGGTCTCGCCTTCAAGGATAGCGATGGTCAGGCAGTTTTCCCCTTGTCTCCGCTCGAAATTCTTTGGGCCAATCTGATCACCTCGTCACCACTTGCGCTTGGTCTTGGCCTCGAAGAAGCACAGCGGGATATCCTGAACCGCCCCCCTCGCAGTCTTCGGACGGGTGTCTTCACACTGGATCTTGTTCGCGACCAACTCATGTATGGCACTTTCATGGGAAGCCTGTGTCTGACAGCATTTATGCTGGTGGCCTATGGCTTCACTGGTCATGGTTATCAAGAGCTCCCGATCGGTTGCAACAAAGAAGGCGCCAATGGGTGCGAACTGGTGTTTCGCGCTCGCGCATCGACCTTTGCAACTCTGAGCTTTCTGTTACTCGTTACCGCCTGGGAGGTGAAGCACTTTCGCCGCAGTCTCTTTGCCATGGATGACCGCTTCACGGGGCCCTTTGCGGTCTTCAAGACGGTGTACCATAATCGCTTCTTGTTCTGGTCGGTTGTTGCAGGGTTTCTCGTCACCTTCCCCGTCATATACATCCCGTTTGTCAATACGCACGTATTCAAGCACCAAGGTCTTACTTGGGAATGGGTTGTGGTTCTCGGGTGCGTGGCGGTCTATATAGCTCTTATCGAGGGCTGGAAGGCGGTCAAGCGGCGGTTCGGTCTCGGCGTCGACGTGCGACCGGCCGCCCTGTCGCCCGCAGAGGTGTGAGGGGATATTCGGGGCCGGGATGGCGAGTGGATGTTGTGCTGCGATGTGAAGGACAGGTTTTCTGGATGTTAAATATTAGTATTGGTTTCGCAGTATACTTAGTTTAGTATCTTCGCGTAATGGCAAAGTGTTTTCCTGTCGAGCAGTTGTTGACGCGTGATTTTCTCGTGGTTGATGGTCCAGTCCCGTTCCGGCCCCGTCCTCGTCGTGGGTAAGCTTGCTTCCCTCTCCGTAGACGAAAGAGGGCAGAAATCTTGCATGAGGCCGTCTTGGTCTGATGCGGTGTGCGCCGTGACGATGTTGCATTCCCACCTCGGCCCCTTGCGGAGAGGAGATCGATGAGCACGGGAGATTCGGAGCGAGATGCTAGATTCCTCTCTTCTCCTTTCCGATCTCCTCTGCATCAGGGACAACACACACACACACACACACACCCCTCCCCCCCTTGCCGACCCCCCCCCCATTTTGCAGTCATGACAGCAAACCACACCCCAGGTTTCTGTGTGGTGTTTTCTGACCTTTGCGCACCTTGATGGCCAGAAACCTTGATAGCTCGCGCGCCTTGTTTTTTTTTTCTCTCTTGGTGCTGCAACGGTGCTGCACACCCCCGTGCTAGAGAGATCACGAATTAAAAATTAAAAAAGAAAAAAAAAAGGAGGAAAGCCCCGGGGTGGCAAAGAGACAACAAAAGCCCCCCAAAGATCCATGGGGGGGGGGAGAATCTCGCGGCCCGTAGATGTATAAGAAGGTCGTGATGCGGCTGCCCGTCCTCCTCTGGGCTTCTCTCTCGGGTTCTCAGAGGTATTTCTTTTTGTGTCCCTCTTCGACACTCGCAGGCCATCTCTCTCTCTCTCTCTCTCTCTCTCTCTCTCTTCACTCGACTTGTTGATTTGAGACTGGCTGCTGGACAGGCTTTGGACGGTTACGGCCTAACACGGGGTTGCTCGATGACGATGAGGTTGAAGAAGAACGCCGACCTCGCTCACGAGGCTTTCGATCTTACGGCTTCATTCTCGACGACCACTCTGCTCTACGACTACGACGTCTACTCCTCCTCCATGGCTCCCTTTCCACCCACGCCAAAATGAACGACAAGACTCGCAGGACGTCGCCGTCGGGGGGACCGGCCTCCTCCCTGAAAACACAGACACGCCGCGTCCAGGAGCCCTTTTTTTTTCGAGTTGAGTTTCTTCCTTCGCCTTTCGCCTCCTATCATCGTGTTTCTTTTTTTTTTTCATTACGCGCGTTTTCCACGGCCCTTTCCTTCTTTTGGCCCCCCGACTTGCCCTGGAAGCTGAAGAGGAGGATCCAGCCCAGCCACGGGGCGGCACTGTCAGGCTGAAACCTGTTCTCTGGATTACTCTCGAGGTTCTTCATTTCCGTTCAGAGGGTCCGCTGTCAACATCACCCATGCTCTTCCGTCGCATAGAGGGGACGGGGTTGGTCTTTGCGTCGTCTTCACCAGGGAACATGGTGTGAGTGAGCCGTCCTCGTCTGTGCTTTGTTGGGCATCACCATTCCATCCCATCGCGTCCCCCCTCCTGCGTCTTCCCGTCTCTTCCCGCTTCTTCCCACTGACCCGAGCCTCGGGCGTGCGTTCTTTCTCTTCCCGTCTGCCAACGCATGACCTTGCCACCAACCACCAACCACCACCACCACCACCACCACCATGCTTCGTCCTTTGACGATCCACCACACAAGCAACGCAACGCGGGCAGCTGCGGCCATACCCGCTTGCTAGTGTTGCGGGCTTATTCGTTATTGGATGCAACCGCTGGTGCCGCCAACTCACACCTCACTCGCTCATCACTCTCTTTCACACACGCACGCCTTGCCTTGGCTTGTCATGCATGGCACAAAGTCACGCTTCCCTCCCATATCAGCTCCACCGTCTCCCCCGATGGCACGTCTATTGCGCAAAAACAGCACAGACGAATAAGGACGCCCAAAAAAAAAAAAAAAAAAAGCTTGGCCTACTTGCTCTAGTGTTGTTTGTCTTTGTCTCTGACTTGTTCTATTTCTTTTTCTTTTTTTCTTCGCCTGGGTTAGGAAGGTGTATCCTTCACGCCACTACCCACACCCTTTCTTACACTTGCCTGATATCGTCTCGTCTCCTATTGGCCTGGGAGTTTGGGCGTTGTCATCAAGTCATGGGAACTTGGGCTATCGTTGGCTACGGCGCCACCCGCTGTTTTCCTCTATTGTTGCTTTCACCCTGGATAGTGCCGCATGCACTTACCTTGTCCACCTTTTCTCCGCTTTCACTTGCTGCCTAGTTAGCCGTCCGTCGTCGTCGTCGTTGTCGTCGTCGTCGTTCGCTGGCTCGCTCTATTACTCTCCAAATCCAGTATCCCGTCGTCGCCCGTCGTCAAGCCACCCCAGCAGCTTATCCCACATGGGCTGATGCCTAGTAGGCATCGATTACCCTGGTTTGCCGAATTCTGCATCTTCCCCCCCTGCCGTCCCACGTTGTCCCAAAGGCGTGCATACATACATACATGCAGTACTCTGTCATGGCGATGCAGCTCACGCAGGAGGGAACCCAGCCAGCCAGCCCTCTAGCTCCCCCCCCTCCAGTAGCAGATCCATATTGGCTATTTGTGGAGCTGATCAAAGGCGCTTTTGCTCATCTGCTGTTGGATTTATCCTGATTATCCAAACAAAGGGCCCTCCATTTCGTTGCTTGGCCACTCAGTGGCTATCAGATGCTGCCGAATTCCCCGCTTGGCCTTGGGGGACACGGAACAACGAAGGTCTCTCGGCCTTGGGATTTCCGCGGCCACGCATCTATTGTTACACGGCTGATGGATCCTCCTCGAAGCCCAACCTGAGAGACCGGAGAGGATCCTTGACGACCCTGCGCCCCTCCTCTTCGGCCTTTACTCCGGATGGGTCTTGCTCTTCCCAATGTCTTGCCTTTCTGCTAGTACGTGTTCGTGACGTTGGACTCGGAGGGCCCCCTCCTCTTCTCCTCTCATCTCCAGGAAAAGCCGGGTCGTCGGTGGCGTTGGCTGCTAATGAGGCTGGGCCGTATTCCGTATGGGCCGGCTGGGATCATCCTTGAGGCCCTGGAGAGGAGCTGACGAAGGAAGCTCCTCCGTTACCCGAAGTAGAGTTGGCGTCGTGGCTTTTTACCCGCCGCGGCCGCCGCCGGTGCAACGAAAAAAGAGAACAAGCTGTCCGGTCCAATGGTGTGAGGCTCCTACCCCGCTGGTACTTCGTGCATGCGGCATGAGGGTGGAGGCAACGTTCTTCTGCGTTTTAGGTCCAATGTTCATGTACGTGGTGGGCGGGCGTGCGGCCGGCGCGCATCACCTGTGCCTTGCCTGATTTTTTTCGCAGTTGTCATTGGCGTAGTGCAGCTGGGCAGGTTGAGGCAGAAGGAGGGGTCGATCTTTGGCATCTCCTGGTCTATAAAAGACGCTGCTTTCCCGCCATCATCTGTGTCCCTTCTTCTCTTCTCTCCAACAAGCAACTCAACAGTACAACATCTTACAAACACACTCTCACAAACCAACCCGTTTTTTTACAAAAACACCAACCCTCTTACAATGGATCCCTGGTACGTTCCCTTCTTCAAATAATCTCTGCCCTTCTTCCCTCGGGGAGACGAGAGAGCTTGAGAGCAAAGAGCTAAGTCGTTCTACGACGAACCCCATTGCTCCAAGCAATTCAGCTCAACCGAGAACCAAGAGAAGAAGCACAACGGGCTGACCAAACTAGCAACTGCTCCTCCTGCAACTGCACCAACGGCTGCGACAGCTGCAAGTGCGACAGCTGCGGCCACTAAGTCGCCCCATGGGCAAAGCCCGCCACAGCAACCGGTGTTGAGCGCAGCTCGGTTCAGCAGCAGTCGCCCCGACTTCGAGACGAAACGCAAGCAACGATCGATGTCCGTGACAAGATACGTCGGGGCGGACTGACAAAGGGGACAAATAAGGGGGGGGAGAGGAGGGGGACAAGATTTGGTTTCTGCTCTTCCTTTTGAAGCCAATGCCTGCTTTTCGTGTCTACCTCGCTTCTTCTTCTCTTTTCTTTCTGCCGATTTCTTTCGATATAGGCTGATAGTTGCAATCTGATCTTGGTTGAGACAAAAACTTTGTGCCTTGCTGCTGTCTTTGTCCTGTTGTCGTAGTGGCGGAAGGCCATGGCGTGAACCCCACGCCCTGCCAACGCATCACTGTGCCTTTCCCAGATCTGAGGTATTAGTGGCACGCTGCGCCAGTCGTGATCGATGCCGAGTCTGCTGACCAAAGGTGGCGCTTCTTTCCGTGTTCTGTCGTTTCTTGATTTGTGACACGTTTCTCAGATCGGCTGAAGTCGGCCCTGTGACAACGGCCCCCTCCCTCCCCAGGGTCGCCGAGTCAATCTATTAGAGTTTGTCGGTGCATGGACCGGGCTTTGCTGCATCTCTCACGCGCGGTCGCTGGATCTCGTTTGGATCGACGGATGGCGCATTGACCCGACGGCCCTGGTCAGTCAGCGCCACGGACGCTCTTTCTTCCAAAAACAAGAAGAAGATACGGCATAAAGGAGAAACGATGACTTGGCCAATAGTCGTATCTGTGCCTCATCAGAGACGAAAAGGACGGCGCCGAGTTCGGCTTCAATCGATGCCCCTTTGAGCTTTTCCACGTTGAAGATTGCGCAGAGTGGAGATGTGACAGGGGGGGGTAGACTTTTTTGGCGTGCCAAAGACGTCATTGTAACCAGGGTCAAGAAGGAAGGCGAGACCTTCTGTCACGAGGGATGCTTCGCTTGTTCTTGATGGCTCTCCACGCTCACCACGGCAGATGCTAGCGTCTCGAGGCTGCTTGCGAGTTCAAAGCCCAAGTAGGTCGGGGTTTAGACGGTGAGGGTGAGTTTGGTCATAATTTTTCCCGTTTTTAGAAGTAAAAACTCCCTAATCGATGGACAGTTATAAAAGAGGAAGAAGTCCTGCTGTTGGAGTTGGGCCAAGAAGTGGCTGCAGTGGAAGTTGGATGCCGACCATGCGGAAGACGCGCTTTACGCCGGGTTTTTGCATCGCAAACGAAGCAAGATACTTTTCCTAATCCAGAATTGCTTACAGCTTATTTCCCAGTAACTTGAATATATGCTCTTATCTTTTTCGTCTTGTAATCGCCACTACTTATCCGTCTGAACCACTTGAAAACTCGATGAGGTTCTTGCTACCCTACACCATGTGGAGATGGCCTCAAACACCTCACCTAGTCAGCCTCCCTAGGCAGCAAATTCTGCTCCTCCACCTCAACTCACTCATTTACTCACCCTCTCACTCATCCATTCACTCACTCACTCAGTCTCACCCTCCGCATTTCCTCTCAACCCCTCTGTCATCGCCCACCATGCGCAAGCTCTCCCGCAGCAGCACCGCCGCTTCCTCCTCCTCCACCAACGGCGCTCCTCCTCCCCCCTCCCCCTCCGCCGCCATACCCGCCTCCCTCCTCGACCCGCAACTTCCCCTCCCGCGCCTCTTCGTCTTCGACCTCGACTACACCCTCTGGCCCTTCTGGGTCGACACCCACCCCACCCCTCCCCTCAAAACCACCTCCTCCCGCACCGCCGCCACCGACCGCTACGGCGAGGAGTTTGCCTTTTACCCAGACGTCCCCCAGATCCTCCAATTCCTGACCCGCGCTGCTGCCCCCTCCGGGCCGATCAAGCTCGGCGTCGCCTCGCGCACCTCGGCCACCGCGCTGGCCCGGGAGCTGCTCAAGATCCTGCACGTTCCCGTCGGCGAGGGCGCGGGGGAAAAGGCGAAGCGCGCGGGGGACGTGTTCGACGCGGGGATGGAGATTTACCCGGGGAGCAAGATTCGACACTTTGAGGCGCTGCAGAAGCGCACGGGGGTCGCGTACGAGGACATGCTCTTCTTCGACGACGAGAGCCGCAACATGGAGACGGAGAGGCTGGGCATCACCATGAGGCTGATCCGCGACGGCTTGACGTGGGCAGAGGTCGAAAAGGGCGTCGAGGAGTGGCGCAAGCGGAGAGGCTACAAGAAGAACTAGACGAAGAGGGTGGCAGGAGGTCTGCGATGGCAGGCCGTATACGAAACAATAAATGAGGTTATGGTTTAGATTTAGATCTCCATGTGCACTGGCAGAATAGCAACTAGCATAGGAACAGTCATGTATATCATGTATATCTATATAGAGACTAAATGCGTCAAATTGTCGGTCCCAGGACCGTCCTGGGTATATAACAAAAGATGACTAGAAAAGAATTGTATGCAGAAAACGCCATGACCTATGTAAATCCCCGTCTGCTGCTATCCAATAGCACCGTGTGCAAAAATGGCCCATCAAAGTGGACATGTTCCAATCGTCATTCTCCTTGTGCATCCCGATAAAAAAGAAAAAAACAAGGAAAATGCATATGCGCAGTTGTTGAAGGCCGACACTACACTAAACGACGGTCTGGGCCACGGTGGTGGTGGGCTCAGTTGCCACCTTTTTCTCATCAATAGCGAGATTCTCCATGGCGTCGGTGTTGGTGTCGACTTGGGTGTCGGCCTGAGTGTCTGTCGTACGGAAAGACTCTGGCGAATTCTGCTCCTCGTTGGGCGTAGCCTCCACCTCCGCGGGTGCAGCCGCCGAGCCACTCGCTGTCGCCTTGGCCTCGTTCTCGGGCGGCGACCATGTGCGCGGGATGGTGCAGACGCGCTCCCGACGTGGCGCGCCGTCTTTGTAGCCGAGCGCGATGCACTGTAGGCGGTCGGGCTGCTCGTTAACATCCTCCCAGACCATGGGGCCCGAGGGAAAGGACGTGTAACCGTTCTCCCAGGCGACGATGCCTTCCCACGAGGGGTCGGGGATGCTGAGCTGGCCAAAGGAATAGTCCAGGTCGCCGCCGTACTTTTTGGGAATATTGCGCTTGTCAATGAAGGACTCGAGCGTGGGGAGCACCTCGTGCGGGGCGAGGATGAAGATTTTAGAGACGGTGATGGGGTCGAACCAGCGCTTGATCCAGCCCCAGACGGTGCTAAAAAAGAAGGGAGCGCCGATGATGAAGATGCGGTCGAGAGTCTCGGGGTAATGGGCGGTGGCGAGCTGGGACGCGGCCTGCATATGCGCCTTGAGATTCCAGAACTGCTTAAGGCCGACACCGGAGACATCGACGATGTTGGTGCTGAGGGTAATGGGGATGTCAGGGTTCTCGCGGTCGGTGAGCTGCGTGGCAAAAGGCTGGCTGAAGCGGGTAAGGTTCTCATAGAGTGCAAAGAGGCGCATTAGGCCTGGCAGGGTTTTGCCGTCCGATTTGGCTTTAGAAAAGTTGGATTTGGCGCCGTTCTTTTCATAGTTGGCAACGGTCTTGTTGTCAAGGGTGCGGATCTCGAAAACGTAGAGCGGGATGCCTCGTCGGTCTCGTCGGCCGGTCCATTGAGGGTACTGTTTGGCATGTGTCAGATTTATGTTACGAAAAAGGCGTAATTTCCGGGATATCCGGTCTTGTGCCAGGGGCCGGGTGACTCACGAGGCGACGAGACTCTTCGTAGGCGTTGAGGTCGATGGTCTCGTAGAGAACGTCTAGCTCGTTAGCGGCGCGCCAGTCCTCGGTATCTTTGAACTGTTTGAAAGCGTCTTCTACAACCCAACGGCGGGCGCGGAGATAGCGACTAATTTCGTGTTAGCAGCGTGTACCGTCATTCATCGCACAGCGCCTTGGGGCGCACAGCATTCGACGTACAGCAGCGTTTGATCATTGTGGGAGGGTGGGGGCCCGGGCTTCCAGACGCCGCGTTCCTCAAGGACGGCCTTGAACTTGTGAAAAGCTTCCTCCTGCTGGTCACTCAGCGAGTTGAGATGACCATGGGGGTAGTTGAAGGCGCTGGCGGTCGAGGCTGACGACTTGATGCGGGAGACGGGCGGTGTGTCGAGGCTTTGGCGGGTATTGGAAGCCATTGCGGAGAGTGCAGACGGCGGGGAAGCGGAGAGCAGGGATGAATAAAGTACTGGAGCAAAAAGCTGGTCGCAAGTTTCCAGTGGCTCGCAGCGGCAATGGTCGTCAAGACAGACAGGGTGAGAGAGAGGGGAGAAAGAGAGCAAGGCTGACGAGGGAAAGAGAAAAAATGCGAGCGATCCGGCGGCGCCTAAAAAGCAACGTGGATGGCGGAAGGTAACTATGGCAAGGCAGCTAGCAGCGGGAGAGGCGGCAGGTGGGGGCAGCCGAAAGCGACGGAATCTGCCAGTAGGAAATCAGCAATGCTAACTAATTGATGCAGGGCTGCTTGTTGGGAAATTCCGCTTATTGTAGTACCAAGTGGTCTATGGCAGGCCTTGGGATAAGTACTATTTATGTTGGTAGGAAACCACCTTTCTCTCTGTTCCTTGATTACAAGTCGGCAGAAATTTAGAGTCGGTTAACAAGGCCGCTGCGATCGGCCACTGGGGATGATCAATTGATCATTGTCCGCCAAGGTTCCCCAAGTCCCAGTGTGGAGCGACGACGCCTTGGAGATGCTGTTGGCCGCTACAAGGGCCGTTTTGGCCGTTTTCCGGTACTTTCGGTAGCACAATAATTAGCCCAGGCTGGGAGGTACTAACTATGGCGCAAGCGAGTTATGTATTAGGTTTAACTTCTAACCTAACTAGGCCTATTAATAATCCACATGAGTCAAAGGTTAAAACAGCAACACTTCACGACTTCGTATATGGACTAAAGGAGAACCGGAATCTTTCCATAGCATGATTTGAAAGATTAAATTTTTGAAGATTTTTTAATATTAATGTAAGGCTACTCTGATCGACATTAGTGGTTACAGCGGTGCTGTGGTCACGGTAGGGAGCATCCGGTAGTAGAATCGCTTGAAATATAACGTCTAATTCACTGAGAACTGGCAATTGATCTATGATATATCGTAACTCCTACCCCCTCTTGAATACATAGCTTGTACACCGGCCCTGACAGCATCGATCAGGCGCTGTTGATCAATCTCAACAGGGTCTTGCTGCCAATCACGCCTTCTTTTGGGCGCCGCTGGCTGCGCATGCGTACGAAAGTAACCATGGCCAAGCATCTGGGCCAGGTTGCGAAACCCTTTATGAGTGAAATCCGCCGGTAGTACTTCCACCAACACCGCGCCAGGCTTCATAAACATGGAGTGTGTCAGGCCCGCGCCATGAACCCCGATCAACACGTCGGTATGGCGCGCCACCTGGACCTGTTGGTGCAGCGGCATAGAAGCAAAGTCGACGACGTCCAACTTCATGTGCGGGACAGCGACTCTGAGGGCTTCGATGTGGGCGTCTTGGTCCACCAGCTCACGGGCACCTTTACGATCAACAAAAGTCACGACAATGTCTGCGTCGCTGCCACCGGTGCGAGCAGGGTCACCATCTGCGTCCGAAATTTTGTAGAGGTCCAGGACGCGGCGAACAAATGTAGTGACGAGGGAAGCCTCGGTGCATTTCAGCTCTTCCCAGTCGCCTTGCCAGAGTGGGTTGCTGCCACCGACCAGAGGGACAACGATGTTGCTTGGCGGCTCCTCGGCATCGAGCTCGGACAGGCGCCGGATGGGCTTCTGGGCGAAGAGACGCCACAATTCAATATATGGCCCAAGGTCAAAGTCATCAACCAGAACAATCTGGGTAGAGTTCATCTGACTCGGGGACAGGTAAGCGGCGCCCGTTTCTGTGGATGACATCTGCAACGCATCGAGACTCCAGGAGAGACTCATAATCTCCATCAGCGAATGCCACAGATTATGTGTGCCTTCCCGCTTGACAAGGATCGTTGTACGCTCAGCATCCGGTCTCGGTGCGGCGGCGGCGGCGTCTAGGAGGAGGGCCTTGTTGAGAATTTGCAGCGGACCAGTTTCGTACCAGTATGCGTGCATGTCGTCCGGTACGCGAGGGAGCCCGGCGGCGTTGTCTTGGGCCGCACGCAGAGGACAGTCGATGTGGAAAGCCTTTCGCTCAGGGTCGAAGACAGCCCCCCTCGCATAGCAGGTCGTGTCCAGGCGGCCCTTTTTCGTCTCCGACCAGAAGCAGTTCAACGACGACTTTGCTTCGGGGTCGCAATAGGAGCCAGTGAAGTTGCGCATATTCTCCAGGAAGCGCAGGCCGAACCGTTCCTGACACCACATCGATTCGGACGTTGGGGCCGCATAGTCGGTCGGTGTGTGAGGGGGGCGTGTATCTGCGGTTGGTTGAAGCTTGGATATCCGGGTCAAGCGTCTGGCACCCGACGTGGCAAGGAAATAATAGACGGAAAGACACAGAGAAATAATAAGGGCCGAGCTCAAGATTTGCACTTGGCGCCGACTAAGGAAGGGCAAAATCATGGCGAGGAAGTCGAACCGATCAAGAGCGACGGTCGTGCAACTGACGTTGCGAAGGCTTTGGGAGCCATGGGGAGGCGAGAGAAGGATTCATCTCGGGTGACGGAACACCTCAGCCCCATTCCAAGAACCCCAGTCATCAGGGTTAACCGCCCACACTGCATGATGAGGACACCATCTATTTCTGTCCGTCATACCCGAGCTGATATGCTGTCGCGGCCCCCGTAGTTGGCTGACCAGTTCCTGACTTGAAAAGCGACAGTTGCCTGTCCCGCGGGTGGCAGAAAAACATCGCCAGTACCTAGAAGTTAGTTTAGACTAACAAGCAAAGAATACTCAAAGTCAGCACGAAAAGTCTATAATAATGTACCGGCGGTGTTTGTTTTTTTTTTCTTTTTTTTTTCCCTTCACCTGAGTGCACATCAGGCTGTCACAAGTAAACTCTTCCAAGGGTTTGGCTGGGGTTGTCGGCGCGTATAGCGGACTGTACCCAACCGACCAGCCAATCATGAGGGGGTGCCACATTCGGCTGCATCCGCGGTCAAGGGTTCCGTGAAATGAAGTGACAGGGCTTGCAGATGGCTGCAGATAGCCCTCATCGTCCTATAATGTTCGAAGCAGGAGGGGAGGCAGTAGCAAGTCCAGCGAATCGGTGGTTGGGTGGTCATCATCTCCCCCTTCTTCGCCGATTTTCCCTTCTTGGACCCCCCGGGGTTTTTACTGTGGTGGTTGTCACGCTGTAGTGTTGGTTGAGAGTCGTCCTTGTCTTTCTGTCTTTTTCTTTGTCTTTCTGTCTTTTTCTTTGTCTTTCCGTATTTTTCCTTGTCTTTCCGTATTTTTCCTTGTCTTTCCGTCTTTTTCTTTGTCTTCTTCTGTTTCTTCTTTGCATTGTTTTCTGCTATTCATTACTTGGCAGAATGAATATATCCTCCCTCAGGAAGTTGCTCCTGCTCATGGCAGCTGGGAGCCTGCTGCCAACCGCGCACGGCAACAACTGTGCGACTAGTCCCGTCCGTCTCTCGATCGAGAATGTCACGATTTCAAGCGGCAAGATTCGCCGTGGGGTAGCGATGCAAGTCGGGACACCTCCCCAGAAGCTGGCTTTCCAGCCAAAATGGTAATCGTGCACCATCTTCGCCGCGCGTTTCACCTCTGCAGTGCTAACGCAGCTCCAGGGACAACAACAACACTTACGTCTTTGGGCCCGAGTGCCTGTACGAAGACTTCATCCACACGCCCGATGCCTGTGCTACGTTTCGCGGGGGGCTGTTCGATCCTGACAAGTCCAAGTCTGGGGGGTCGACCAACCGGAGCTTTGTGCCCCCCAAAGACCCGTTTGCCAGTGACTCGTACGCCTATTTTACAGATATCCTCGAGCTGGACAGTAATGTGTCACTTGAAGACTTCCCGATCGGCCGGGCTACCAACTCTTCGGACTGGGGCCTGCAAGCGTACGATCCGCTCAACATCATCGGAATGTCGTCCGGTTCACTGTTCCTCGGCACGCTGTACCAGACTGGGAAGATTGCTTCGCGCTCGTTCGGTTATTTCTGGGGCCTCGACGGCACATCTAGCCGGGACCAGCTAGACGGGTCATTTGTCGTTGGTGGATACGACAAGGCCAAGACTATCGGCACGCCATACACTGGCGCTATCTCCGTCAAGGGGAACTGCCCGACTGGCATGATTGTGACCATTCGCGACATCGTGCTTAACTTCCGTAACGGCACAGATAAGTCAATATTTCCCTCTGATAACGGCGGAACTGCCCTGCTCGCCTGTGTCTATCCCGAATTGCCATCATTGATGGATATGCCTCGCACACCGTATTTTAGCAACCTGCTGGCCGCAACTGGGCTGCTAGAAGGGAAAAGATCCACAGGTATTCATTGGTGGAATGTTCTCGTTAGTGCAAAAAGCAACCAGTTGTAAGCATCTGGCACGGATCCCGTACAATAGAGATTGCTGACAAGAGAGCAGATACGATGGCGATATGACGGTCCATTTGGAGGGGGGGCTGCAGATAGCAATCCCTAACCGCCTACTCATTGTTCCGGAAACAAAGATTGCAGATTCTGGCGATGTTGTCAGCAACAGTTCCTCTCAGGTAATCCTCATCGATTCGCTTCAGGATGTTACTGCCAAAAGTATGCCGAAGCTTGGAAGGGATTTTTTCTCGTTGGCATACTTGCAGAGCAACCAAGACTCTGGCCAATTTTCCATATGGCAAGTAAACCCAACTCGAAATGAAGAACTAGTGGTGGTGGACGAGAAGAATGCGCTTCTTCAAGGCGGACGAGCGTGCCCCACAGGATCGGCGACATCACCTTCGTCGCAGCCTTCGTCGCAGCCGCAGCAAGACGGGCATGACAGAAAAGGCCTGTCGACAGCTGCGATAGCGGGAATCGCGGTTGGCGCTGTCGCTGTCGTTGCGTTGCTCGGAGGCTTGGTCTGGTTCCTGCTACGAAGACAGAAGACAAGGGCGGCGGCGGAGGCGGAGGCGGCGGAAGCCAAGAGCCATACTGCCCGTGATTTGCTTAAAGAGGGCAAGCCGGCCACTGGCGAGGATTATTATCCCAGCCAAGGCATCCCTCAGTATATCCCTCACAATATCCCGCAGGAGCTTCCCGTTGAGACACGCGGACATACTCCCGTCGAGTTGGCGGGTTGATCACGAAGGTCATGGTAGCTGGATGGACATTTTATTATGAATCACGAAGGTCATAGCAGTCGGATGAAAATAATTATGATGAACGCACTTATGCTGTCATCTTGAGTTTTTCTTTTCTTTGACAGGATACTCACCCATACGATACTCGAATTCGCGCCTTACTCGATTTAGAGGGATTTATATAAATCCTAGCAACATTTATAGTTGAATAGCCCGCCGACCCAGCAGATTTCCCGGCGTTCGGATTGGTTTGCAAAGGCTTCTTATGTCTAAATATACTCGTCTCACTTCATTTTTTATCACAATTAACATGTCTCCTACCCAGTCAGCTCAGACTAGCCCACATCTGCCACAGCGTGTCATCCGCCGCCAACGCTTGCTCTAGAGTTTCTTCCATCGTCTCCCTCGAAAGCTGTGTTTCCGGGTCGACTCTTTTCTTGAGCCGATATATCTCCTGCGCCACGGATTGTACCTGATGGCATGCCCCATCCGCAGCAGACCAAACATTGGCGAGCGTCTTCAATGCGCCGATGTTGAGCTTGATATACTGACGTGCGTTGGTGCTTTCTTGATCGTCCGTGCTGCGTATTACGTCGCTGAAAAAGTTGGTTTGGAGCGCCCAATGGCTGAAATGGACAATGGAGGAGAGCGTCACGACGCATGCAAAGAAGTGACTGTGCCCCAGCATCGTGGTGCGATGCGTGATGAGATCGCTAATGGCCACGGCGGAGTCTATAGCGTGCCTGGAGTGGAAATTATAGATTTCTTTCCCGGGCTCGGATTTCAAATGTTCAGGCGAAGTGCAGGAGTTGATGGTTTGCACTACGCTACCGTCAAGCTGCGATAATGGCTGATGGAGTAGGATCGAAGTGGCGTTAAACATCATGTAAGCCTGGAACATCATCTCGTCGTGTTTGCCGTTCCTCTGGAGGGCATGCCGCTTGGATGGTGGCAAATGCAGCTGCCAGCTGGCAAGGCTGGCTTCCATACTAGATATAGTGTCCTTGTCATATTTGTGGATAGGCTGAAGCCTAATAAACTTTCCTATGTTGCGAGCGCAAAGGATGCGATATGCAAAAGACGAGAATTCCTTTGTCTCCGGGGAAAAATGGTCCTCTTCAAGCTCAACCAAAGACGATGGCAAAGGAATACTCTATCGATAAAGTTAGTACTGGATTCTCTTTGGGACCCATGTCAGCGTCGATAGCTTACCCCTGACAGGTACTCATTCTCCTCACATGGCAATCGCACATCGGCTTCTGCATTGTAGAGGGCGAAGTTGGTCACACGATGCACGCCTGCAATCATGCCGTCCACAACGTACAGCTCCCACCACGTCCTGCGCCAGCTCTCCTCTACAACGGCCAGTCCTTTACCATGTGTCGTGGCAAAGCTGCAATGGTTGAGGTTAATCTCTATAGCAAGCTCTTCCAGCCGTCGAAGCAGCCGCACAGCTTCGTCTCTGCTGCACGTGCCGTCGAGACCAATGACTAGTAGCAGCATAGATTGGGCAAGATATCCATTTCGTGGTGTAGTTGGGTCACATATGCAGCGGTATGCATCAGAATAGTAGTCCTCCTTGACAGCTTGAGGAAGGTGTAAAAAGAGCGAGCCGATCCAACGCATGGCGGGCAGCAGTACTGCCATCTCCGGGTCTGTACTAGCATGCGAGAGGCATCTTTTTGGGAGTACAAATGGGTGTGCCGGAAAAGAGTAATGGTAGAATGCATTGATCGTTTCATCCAATACGCTCGCTCGCGGAGCGGCTGAAGGAGGGCTTTGGAGTACACTCTGCCCGTATCTGCTAATGCTCACGCCAATTGCATCGTTTCGGCTTCCTGCTGGAGTGTGTAGTTCATGGTCTGCAAGGGCTGAAAACGGAGAGCTGAAGGATTGTACAGGCGGAGAGTCGACACGAGCCATGGTACTAGCAATATCTGAGCCCGCTGATGCACTTGAAACGTGATGTAGAACGTCACGAGGAGTATAGGCAGAGCGCCGAGCATAGTGGCCGCGGCGAGACGCAACATATACACAGCTAACCTGCTTATTGATGCATCTATGACAAGGATCTTGGCCATCGCATTTGACGTGTTTATGGCGCTGAGTCGATATTAGTATGTCTTGCTTGAGCGAACAATAATAGACAGGTGGCCTTACGCATGCCAGACAGGCTTTTGCAGCGCTGTTTGTGGTAATAACTTGCGCTGCCATTGCCAAGAAACACAGGCGATGGGGCAATAAAAATGCAGCCGTCTTGCTCACGTGTCCGGCGATGATCGTGCGGAGTTTTGATGATGTATTAAAAAAATCGCAAAGTGGTTGTTTCGATCGATTTCGAGTTCCGAGCACGCAGGAGAGTGGTTGCCGGTTGCCGGTTGCCGGTTGCCGGACCAGTTGGCGGTGATTACATGACGTCATCCAAACAGCGGAACCCACACCCCTGTCTTAGTAAGGGGAACAGAGCTCCAGGCGCTTAGCATGTTACGTGCATGTTATTATTAGCTGTGGTGGACTGTATGTTGGGCAAAGGCTGAGAACTGAATAATAAAAACAATTTTCATAAAAAAAAGAAGTTTATTACATTATAAGAGGGAGCAATAAAACAGCAGTCTATCCAAACCTTTACCACTACTTATTTGCGGACAGCCAGCACCAAGTAAGCGAGAATCCTGTAGCCGGCAATAATGCCGATCATGATACCGATCCAGGTGCCTTCTTGGCCAGTGCTAATGCTGAACTGCTTGAGAACGTCTTTGCCAGCAATCAAGCCCTTTTCATTCAAGTCGCTGGGATACTGGCACTGATACTGGCCAGATGGAAGAGTGGCACAGCCGTATTCACGTTGCTCAAACTCGTTGACCATCATGCCCTGGAATACATATGCCTGATAGTCAATGTAGTGAAAGACGTATTTCCAGAATACGTTGAGAACACCCATGGGCACAAGGAAGCCATCAACGCACATCCACAAGCCGTTGGCGAAGGCCGTCACTGCCAAAGCAACAACGAACACATTGAAGATGGAGGAGACCAACACGACAAGGGATTCTGCGGCGACAAGATCCAAGAAAAGCCAGAGAACCCACTTGAAAAAGGCGCTGGGGTCGGGTCGAAAGTTTGATAGCCAGTACTCGACAACGGAGAAAAGCAGTGCAAACGAAAACAAGAACGGCAGTCCGATGATGAAGTTGGACGAGATGAAAGCCAACGGCCCAACATGTCCATTCGCGCGCTCCTGTTTGAAAGTGTTGAGATCCTCGAGGAAAGCAGGCACATATGCAACAGCCATGAACGACATGAAAGCGCCGCCAAAGAAGATGGCGTTGATGTAAGGCTGGATGTAGCTTTGCTCGGTCTTGAGGCGCAAGAAGACGGTTCCCATGAGAATCGCTAAACCGAGGTACATGGCAACACGAATGCCGTATGCCATGATGTCACGATGAGACTTGATCCATGCTCGGTGTAGAAGCACAGACGGGACCATAAATGCACTGGGATGCTCGACCTTGTAGTCCAGCTTCTTGGATATGGAATTCGTGACCAACTGTTGCAGTTCCGAGTCGAGCTCGGAACGATTGGAGCAACTACTCCAGGCCTTGCAGATCTCATCGGTGCGTGCGACTATACTGCCGTCCTTGTCTAGATCGGTGTTGATGAGATCTAGGAAAAACTCTGCCGAGTTTGTCTCTGGGGGAATAGGGTGCCCAATGGCGGAAAAGTAGGAAACCGCGTCGTGAATAGGACCGAAATAGCAAGTGCGTCCTCCGGAAAGGAGGCACAGCTTGTCAAACTGTTGAAAAGTAGACGACGAAGGTTGGTGAATCGAGGCAACAATGACGAGCTTAGTTTATTAGCACTGGGATTTTCTTCTTCTTCTTTTTTTCCTTCTTCTTTTTTCGATGAGCTGTCACTCCATCAAGTTACTTACATTGTGTTGGCGGCCAATGTTCTTGATGTAGTTGCACACTTCTAGAGACAAGGCGCTGTCTAGACCACTGGTTGGCTCGTCGAGAAACAAAATCTTGGGGTTGGTGACGAGGCGGCTGGCAACACCAAGTCGCTTCTTCTGCCCTCCGCTCAGACCCTTTTTGATAGGCGTGCCGACGATGGTGTTTGTTTGGCTTTGAAGACCAAAGCTAGCGATAAGGTCATCGACACGCTGCATAACCATTCTCTTTGCAACGTGGCTGCGAGCGGGATTAGCCATTGGCGTGTTTATTAGGGGAAAAACGTTGGTGGTGCTCTGGCTTACCTGGGCAAGGACATGCGAGCGGCAAACAAGACCGTTTCACGAACAGTCAAGCTACCAATGAGAGCATCCTCCTGCTCAACATAGCTCGAAAGGTCTCGGATTGTTTGCAGCGTCACGGACTGGCCATTGACACGAATATCGCCCTTGGTGGTGGCGCCAGCGGCAGCTACGCGATGGGCGAGGGCGTTGAGAAGCGTAGTCTTGCCTGAGCCGCTGGGGCCCATGATGGCAAGCATCTCGCCGGCGTGCACAGCACCCGAGACATCAGCAAGAAGGGCGAGCGGATCGCCGGTTTTGCGGTCCTTGACGGTAACTTGAACTTTGTTCCAGCTGAGAGAACTGATGCAGTCGTTTGTGAGTTGTGCGCTTTGGACGCGGTTCATTTCAATATCTTCCATTGGGGCTGGGTCGGTGGCCATCTTGACTGATTGAATCAATTAGGTGGCGGCGTGCGAGAATAACGGGTAGCGTATGTATCTCAACGACGTTGATGATGGTATTTACGACTTGTGCGAAATGTGCGGAACGGACAGGTATGGTCAGCAAATTGGACGCGATGTTTGTTTATATATTAATATTAGAAAATTAAATATATTGGTGCTGGGTGTGGTGGGAGATGCGTCGGCCAATCTCCAGTGCAGCTGTGTTTTCGGTTCACCGGTTCACCGGATCGTCGGGCCCGTGGCCATGCTGCTTGGTTTGCAACTTGCATCGGGCCTTGCAATAAGTCGGAAGTCGGCGCCACTAGTTCGCGGGCAACCCTTTTCAAGTCGCCGAAATCCCTGAGTACGGATAACTCGTCCCACATCTTGAAGGTACGAGAGAATGCTTCTAGTTGGGTAGTTAGCGGGAGGTGACACTTGTGATGTACATAGTATCCCTCTGTATTTGTGGAAACACCTTGTACTTTGTACATACCTAGATCTTATTAGGGGATAGTGTGGATACTATGTACTACCAAGATTCGGGCAATGAAAAATATAGTCCCCGTCTACTCCCCGAGCCATAATCTCCGTCGCTGTCGTTGATCATTTTCACAGGGGCCGGGTATGAGGTAGGTTTTTCTCCTTGGCAGATCTATATGCTCATGCACCAATAAAGCTACCGGGATTGTTGGAGAGTGCGGCGCGAATCTTCAAACTGCAGCAACAGCGCACACTTTATAAAGCCGTTTGACACCAGTTTGAAATACCGTCAGCACCCGGCCCCCCCGTCCCGGGCCCGTGCCGCAAACTTGTCCCACGACAGCGCGGCCGGATTGCCCAAGACACTTTCCTTCTCAATTGGATTATCGCAGTTTATCATGTGGTTACTCGAGAAGCGTAGGGAGACAATCAGGTAACGACAGTTTATTCTTTGAACAATCTAGTCTAGGCCATGTCGTAAGTTACCTATAGCCAATAGAACCGCTATTGAACTGGTCCGGACACCGAAGCGTCTGATCCCGCAATCTACCAGTTGCACGCAGTCTCGCCCGTGGGGTGAACCACGATGCGCGACTTGACGAAGCCGCAGCCGCCGAGGTACTCGGCCTTCATCTTGTAGCACGTCTTGTGGCCCTTGTCCTTCCAGATGCGGTGCGCGCGGCTCTTGCCCGGGTCGACGCAGATGACCTGGTCGCGGCCGCACGTCTTGAAGTTGTAGCAGCCGCCCGGCACGCTGTTCCCCAGGCTGCTGCCGACCTTGTGGCGCAGGCACTGCTTGCAGTCGTTGACGCGGATGTCCGAGTTGGACGAGAAGATGGTCAGCGGCGGGCAGCCGGGGCAGCTTGGGTCAGGCGGCTCTGGCACGGCGGTGAAGGTGTAGACGAGGTCGAAGCCCGCGTTGTAGTCCGGGCACGTGCCCTGGGAGCACGGGCCGGAGAGGATGCTGACCTCGTTCTTGGCGGCGGCGGGGTTGGGGGAGGTCTGCTCGGTGGTGGCGGTCTCGTTGGAGTCCTGCTTCCAGTTGGCGGGGTCCTGGAAAGCCTGCATGTTGATGCCGTCCCAGTTGATGGCGTCGTGGGCAATGTCCAGCGCGGTCCACTCGGTGGTTTCCGCGGCCGGAGCCGAGGCCACGGGCGTGGCGGCGACGTAGCCGGCGAGGGCCGCGAGGAGGAGCTTGGTGGCGACCATGATGGTCAGAGGTTGCTTTGACTTGAGTGCTCGAAGAAAGAGTAGGGAGTAGACACAAGAGTGGTCAAGCCCAGTCTTGCTGTTGGAGTCTTTGAGTTGACTCTGGAGCTGTGTCTGGACAGAGATATCGGTCGAGGAATGAGGGAAAGCTGGAAGCTTTATAGAAAAATCATGACCAGCTTGTATTGTTCCTCTGCCTCTCACATACCCTATCCCGGCTGAGAAGCAACAGATCCGTGCGCCGTGCCATTGTTCAGCTCGGACGAGGTAGAACAGGACAATGACCGCGGTCATGAGCACAATACATTCCGGATGCTCATGTCGGCACTTGCCTATGATGCATATTTTGCGCTCAACCTCATTTCCACCAACATGGCCCATGCAAGGCATGTAAGACCTAACAGCGCACTGGGCCAACGCCGACTTGGAAGTTAAGCTCAGCCAACCGCGTGGCGTTTTCACTTGTTCCGCTTTGCTTGGCTTTACAAAGTCTCGCATCGGTCTAGAGCATGCGATAGGGCTGTTGGAGACTCACTTTCGCGCGTGGCCGTGGACAATTTATACCCGATGTGCCGAGCAGCTGCCCAACACGCTGTGCCATTTCGGGAAGCTGGCTACAATAAGGCGGTCTTGTGTTTCTGCGAGGCTAACAACTTCTCGGTAGCAATTGAACCTCTTTCAATACTGTAGAAGGTGCATGGCTTGAGACTCATGATTGAACGACACCTCACATATGTGCCTGCAACCGCGATTGATCAAGTTGCTGACCGGCAACTGCGCGAGGAGCCAGCAGCTGTTCGGGAATTTCTCAAGACGGAATAAAACTCGGAGCTGGCCTCCCCTCTTCTTGTCAGCCTTGGCAATATAACCTTGCGTGCAAGTGAGAGGATTGGCGCTGCAGGGCGCACAACGTGAAGACAGGGGTCATTGCCGGCCGATGCGATTTCGGGCAATGCGCCGGATCTCGACCCCGCCGTCCGGGTCCGCCCCCGACTCGAATCAATATTTACGTAACCACCCCGGATATAGAAAATGGAAAGCCGTATCGTCTTGTCTCGGGAAGCGTGCAGAGCCCCTGGCCGGGGGTGGGGGGACGCATTTCGCGTGTTACGAGACGCGGTAAGCAAGGCAGTCAGCACTGCCAAGCTGTATGGGTGGCGTTTTCTGGCCAGCGCCGGAAGGGATCGTCAACTGCACGGCCAAAGTTTGCATCAAGGAAATGCTAAGCTACTGATTGATTGAGTGAGGTCGTGCAGTCAATATGCTACCGTTCATCTATTGGCATCTATTGGTCTATTCAAAGTTAAACGACGCCGAATCCTATGCTCAGATCAGACGGCCCCGCGGACGACAACCACCTTGCTGTCCTGCTGAACAAACTCGGCGTTTTCTCTCTCTCTCTTCCTTTTTCTTTTTCTAGAAAAAAGAAAAGCAGAACATATGAATTGTCCATAAGAGCCGCAATAACAGCCGCTTGATTAATTCGGGCTAGAAAAGATGATGAGGCGAAACTAGGCCAGTTGGTGTCTGCCCGAGCTTAAATGTGACTAAACCTCAAAAAGATTGACAAGCTGTTGGTCAGTTTTGGTGAAGGGAAGAATGAGGGATTTTTACGGTAGCAAACAGACTCATAGAATTTAATTCAAGCTTTACTTCTGTTTTTCCCTGATGTAGCGCTCTATGCGGCATAACTGCTTTCAGCTCGTGCTTACTTACGTCATGTGCCGCGGTCTCGTCATCCAGCGTCAGCATCAATGGGCCAAGCTCCCAGCTCCCCCAACTCCCTCTGCACAGAGTCAACGCGCTTAATGCAAAGCCAAACACCCCCGACGAAAAAGCCCGCGGGCAGGCTGTACGCCATCGCCGACCTCCACCTCAGCTTCGCCGACAACCGGACCGCCTGGTCCCGCCTGACGCCCCATCCCGGCGACGGCCTCATCCTCTGCGGCGACGTCGGCGAGTCCGCCGACCATCTGCGGCTGGCCTGTTCCAAGGCGACGGAGTGTTTTGACGCCGTGTGGTGGTGTCCGGGCAACCATGAGCTGTACACGCTGCCCAGCGCCGGGCCCTCCGGGCCGCGCGGCGAGCAAAAGTACCGGGAGTGCGTGGAGGTGGCCCGGGAGTACAACGTGCTGACCCCCGAGGACGACTTTGCCGTGTGGGAGGGGCGGGGCGGGCCGGCGGTGGTGGCGCCCGTATTCACGCTGTACGACTATTCGTTCCGGCCGGACGGGGTGAGCCTGGAGGGCGCCGTGGCGTGGGCGCGGGAGGCGGACACGGAGGCGACGGACGAGTTCCTGCTGCACCCAGATCCGCACCCGAGCCGGCAGGCGTGGTGCGCCGCGCTGGTGGAAAGGTTCGCGGCGAAGCTGGCCGCGGCGAACGCGCGCTTCCCGACGCTGCCGCTGGTCGTGGCCAACCACTGGCCGCTGCGCGAGGACCTGGTGGCGCTCCGGCTAATCCCGCGCTTCAGCCTGTGGTGCGGGACCAGGCTCACGGACGACTGGCACCGCAGGTTTGGCGCGAAGGTGGTGGTCAGTGGCCATTTGCATATCCGGAGGACGGATTGGAGGGACGGGTGCAGGTTCGAGGAGGTCAGCTTGGGGTACCCGCGGCAGTGGAAGAGGTGCGCGGAGATGGGCATGGGCGTGGAGGAGCTGCTGAGGGAGATCTTGCCGGGGCCGGAAGGGGTCAAGATGGGAGAGGTGCCGACGCAGTGGAGGATTTATGGATAGAGTTGTGAGCTTGCTCAGTCCTGGGCGGTGGCTTGACTCGCATGTTTTTCTCATCATCCCGTTTGCTCTCGGTGACAAATGGACCAATATTAACGTAAACGAAGCCAAATTTAGCAAGACTTGAAACAGCAATCTACACCAGTTAGACTAAAGGCTATGCCAGTATTACTCCATGAAAAATCACCCTCTGGATTTACGATCTGTACATCGACAGCGCCTCAGCGCAGCATAAAAGTGGCTTAATTCATGTCATGACAAGTCGAAAATATGCTCCAATAAATGCATCCACGCGTCAACGCCGGTACCACACCCCCTCTGCCCATTTCGACCAAGCTCATGCCAGACCGAGGTCCTGGAAAAAGGCGTCCGAGTTGGGCTCGCGACCCAGGAACTCCTTGAGCAGGTCCATCTCGGGCCGGCTGCCACCCCGCTCCAGGACGATCCGGCGGTAGCGGTGGCCTTGCTCCGAGTTGAGCGGGTCTGCCTTGAACGCCGTGTAGTACATGTCCGCCGAGAAGACTTCGGAGTACATGTAGCCGTAGTAACCGGCATCGTAACCACCAATATAGTGGCCAATGTTGTTGTATCCCTCGCTCCAGTGGCTATTTACTCGTGGTTAGCATTGCACAGAATGAAAAACGGGACAAGACACCATGGATGTGAAGTTACTTACGGGCCGTATCCGGTGGACTCGGGTCCCTTGATGCCCGACACCTCGGCGCGACGCTCGTTCCACACCTTGGCGAGGTCGAGCGCCTCGAGCGCCTCGTGCGACGCGGGCCCGTGGATGAGCATGTCGTAGGTGCTGTAGACGAGCTGCCGCAGGTTGAACAACGAGCTGTTGACGTTCTTGGTGCGGATCAGGTTGGCGACGAGCTCGTCCCCGATTGGCGCCTTGGTGTCCCAGCGCGACGAGAGCTCCTTGAGCACGCGCGGTACCCAGCACCAGTGCTCGAGCATCTGCGACGGCGCCTCGACAAAGTCGCGCGACACGTGCGTGCCGTGAGTTGCGCTGTACTGCGTCTTGGACACGAGGTTGTGGATGCCGTGACCGAGCTCGTGGAACAGCGTGACCACGTCGCCGTGCTGCAGCAGCGCCGGCTTTTCCTTGGTCGGCTTAGGGAAGTTGCACACCAGCGCGGTGAACGGGTGGTGACGGCCATCAGCATTGTCCGAGGAGCCTGGGCCGATGCCAAAGTTGGCGTAGTGGCTATACTTGTGGTCGCGCGGGTGCATGTCCAGGTACAGGTAGCCCATGAAGCTCGCGTCGGCCTCGTCCCACACGGAGTACAGGTTGACGTCCTCGTGCCAGACGACGTCCTCCGCGCGGCCCGTCGGGCTCAGCCGCGCGCGTGCCGCCGCGTCGAGCTCCTCGAAGCGCAGCCCGAGCAGCTTCTGGAAGATGGCGAGCATGCCGTTGAACGTCGGCCACAGCGCGAAGAACTCGGAGATGGCCTGCTCGTCCACGCTGTACTCCTTCTCCTTCTGGATGCGCTCGTAGTAGCTGACGTCCCAGATGTACAACTCGTCGTCGTACTCGAGGCCACGAGTCTCGTGCTCGGCCTTTTTATGCACCAGAAGCTTGGCCACGTCGTTCTTCAGGCCGACGCCCGCGCGAACCTGCATGTCCGCGAGGAACGTGTTGACGTTGTCCGAGGTCAGCGCCATCTTCTCCGAGATCCTGAGCGAAGCGTGGTCGTTGTAGCCGACGAGTCTCGCGGCCTCGTCACGTAGCAGAAGGATCCTTTTGAAGAGGGACGTGTTGATGTTGAGCTACGTTTTCAATGCATTAGCAGTCGCGTGCGGGACGTACCAGAAGTGTGCTAAACTTACCTTGTTCTCTTTGGAAATGTAGTAATCACGACGCGTCTCTGGTCGGGTGGCATGCTCCATCAGCGGAACGCTGATGTTGGGCTTGAAGCCGACCTTGAACTTTCCCTCGTTCTCGCCGGTGCCCTTTTCCAGCTCGGAGATGTTGACAGCCGACTCGGGCACACCTGCCAGCTCCTCGGCAGTGAAGAAGATGCCACCCGTTTCGCTGTTGGCGTTGTTCCTGGCCTCGATGGTCAGGCGGCTGAGCTCGAGCTGGATCTCCTTGAAGCGATCACGGTTGGGGCCGGCGGGCAGCAGCAGACCGGCGTTGAGATAGCGCTTGTGCTCCCTCTCGACAATGTGCAAGGCCTCCGGGTCCAGGCCGGCGGCCTCGCGGTTCTGGTAGACGGTGTTGACGCGCTGAAAGATATCCTCGCGCATGCGCAGATCAACGGCCAGCTCGGACATCTTCTCCTCGGCCTTGAGCGAGGCCTCGCGGAGGGCGGCGTCGGTGCTGACGTAGTGGTAGAAGCAGGTGACGCCGCCGATGGGATCGGTGATGTTGTCCTCTAGGAGAATGGGCTTGAGGGTGTTTTCAAAGGTTGCGTTCTCGATAGTCGTCTCGGCGACGACCTTGTCGATGATGCCCTTAGCACGGGCAATGAGCTCCTCGGTGCTGCTGGTGATGGACTCGGGCGTGTGATTGAAGAGGGGGGGTGCCTGCGGGGGCGTGTTTTCTGTGGCAGTGGCCATGATGAAGCAGTATCAAGCTGTTCTATACGAAAGTCTAAGCGTGACAAGGAGCGAGGAGACGAGGAGAAGGCAGGCTCTATATATCTAGCAGCTTGAAGTGAGGCAGGTGACGAAGTGGCCTTTAGATGTGCGGGGCAGACTTGAGGCGGGGTGAAGGAAGGATCGCGGGGTACAATGCATGTACACAATGACTGAATGAATGGTGTAATTTATGTACAAATTTGGACATGCATAAATATTTCGGAATGCCTTCTAATTAATTTTTGGATTTTCTGAGGCATTCTGCGTCCTTGTTAAAATGTCAGCAAATACTCTTACTTGCGCCTAGACAACGATTCTATGTAGGTAACGAGTTGACCATGCCGTAAGCTTAGCTGCAGTCCGTATAGCGCAACACTGCTAGAGGTAGGACTAGTAGCACCCTAATATTCACGCCAGTGCGCCAAATCGCATTCCACTCTTCTATCCTCCAGGCTTGAAAATGTAAGCGCGCCCGTTAAGTTTAATAAGTCTTTCTTATTTTCACTCGTGCCATGCACCCACCCACCGTGGACGCCAGTGGTTCGACAGAGTTCCACTGTAATGCGGGCACAGTACAATACATCTGACTTGGCAGCAGGGCTGAATTCATCAACGTCAGCCACCCACTTCCGGTTCACCAACAGCTTATCGCATCACGCAAATTGCTGCTCAAGGGAAGGGGTTTCATTTTGCCGGCCGTCCTTGTTGAGTACAAGCCAATATCTATTGTAAGAGAGCGTGTACTTGGAAGGGGAAGATCAGCCCCAAGAGACCCTGTGGCAAACTCTATGTTGTGGCACCCCTGGCAATACTGGTTATCGATATTGCACGACTCTCCTTCTGCCCAAGCTAAAGAAATCCGATCGCGGCTGTGGCCCTGGTGAATATCTAACTAGGTACCACAGCTATTTCTGCGAGCGAAATGTCAGGCAACATAAGTGGAACGGATTCCTCCTTGTATGGAGTGCTCGACAACTACACAAGCCAGGGTATTGTGTATCCCAGCGGGCTATCCACGAATCCGGGATCAATAGTTGCCTCAGTAAGACGGCGTTCTATTCATTTTTACACTGCAACGGTTGTGTCTGTAGCGTAACGGTACAGACTCGGGCAAATTCCGCCTGTTATAGTCACCTAGCCATTTCCCGAGTCAGACGATGCAGTGGTCAGTGCCCCAACCAGTGATCTGTTGAGCAGGATGCTTCAGGCTTGCACTCCAAAATAGCTATAAATACTACGCCCTTCGAAACTCCTTTTATGCGTTTATACCTGCTCATCTGCCTCAACTTTAAAGTCGCAATCGCGAGTCTTGAAAGCTCGACATAGGTATGCGTTGGACTAATCTGTTTGTTCTAGCTGAGGTCTTCGGGCTAGCTTGCCTTTGTTCTGGACATGCCACTGCTCTGGCAAAAGAAACTGCTCTTGTCCAGAGACAAACCCCTTCCGAGAATCGGCCATTCGTCTTCCGCGGTGATAACAGATCTCCCAGAGAGATTCGGGACGCTGGTGGATTTCGGCCTCAAGGTGACGGCTGGGAGCATGATGAATCATCTTACATCCTCGACCACCATTACCACGCTGGCCCGCAAGGATGTGGCGAAGACGGCGGTGTCTTTCGGACAGCATATGTATCGCTAGCGCAGGAAAGGGAGACAGCCGAACGATACGGCCGGTGGCTTTACGAAGTTCGCGCTACACCAAACATTCTGGACTCCGAGGGACGCTATCCCGAAACTGAAGTCATGGCCCTAGGAGGAATCCACTGGAGACAAGTTCGAAGATACGTCTTGATGCCGGCAGATCCCGAGGAGCTCATTGATGAAGGAAGTTGGATCGAGAATCCAGAATACGATAGGGCAACATATGATGAGGGTCCGGACGCTTTTCGAGCTCGCGTCAATGTAGACTTTCCGTATGGTCTAAGGGATGGCGAACTTGACAGCGACTCTGATGATTCTGAAGATGAGGGCGACGGCCCTCAACGTCCGCTGTTTGCGGTTGTGGATAGATTCATGGACAGCACGCCCGGCATGTACGAGCTCTATGGTGGATTTCCGCCTACCTTCCAGCAATATGCCCCAAGAGACGACATACCCGGGTCTGGCCAGACACAGCCTGCACAAGAACCGCAGGTATCGTACGATGAAGGTTAGTAATTACAAGCCACTTCGGAACCTTTGCCATGCAACGAAGACTCAGCGCTAACAATTATCCAAGCCGCTGCAATGTTGAATCACTATATAAACTCCTTGCCTAGCGTCGACCAGGCCTTGCAGGACCTGCTCCGAGATATTGACCGCGCTGCATGTCCCTCCTTCATCGCACCAGGCTCATTTTTCGGGAGACATCGTCGCGCAGCTATTGTAGAAGCTCACTCAGGTATGGAATTTGGACGGCAACATGCCATGCGGTTGAACTGACAGGTTGTAAGCTGGGCCAGGTTGCTGTAAGGTGCTTCATAATGTTAGAAAGAAAGTGGTGGAAAAGGCGGGTAAGTGCACTATATCCGTTGCAAACTTGATACAAACGCACAAGTGGTTAATCACTTCGATTACAGCTGCCCCCTCGGTTGATATTCAAAACTCCGAGCAGTGCGTGCTTGGTTCCCTCAGGGCAGAGGTCCGACTGCATAACTGGGACTGGGCCGGAAGCTCCGACCGCTTGTTTTTGGAAATCGGAAAGAACAGCAAATATGACGGCCAGCAGCCGCACTACAAGCTCAAAGATTCGCCTAGTGCCGGAGATACAATGCCCTTCACCATTGATATTGCCGATGCCTTTGGGACGAATTTGGTAACACTGGACAAGATCCAATATGTCAGATTGGTTAGCCGGACGGATAACGGAGGTGTAGGCTCAAACGAGCTCGCCCTAAAAGGTAAGTTGTTGCCATCTGGAACCCATGAAAATTATTATGGTCTTGAAGGTTGAAAAACAATGAAGACTAATATGCAACTGAAGAGGTAAAATTAACCACTAAATGCGCCGGCTCATCAAAGGTTGCGGAAATTCGGCGAGCCCCGAAATCAGGTGAAGAATGGTTCACAATGTGGAACACAGGGTTCACGGCTGAGGACTGGTCTTGGGGGCGCGATTGCGATAAATTCAAGAGCATTGACTTTGAATGGCACCTGAGCAGTGCCTTGTCGGCCGGAACATCGGACGACCTGATCATTACCAAAGAGCGAAACCACCCTATTAACCAGGAGCCTGCTTCTGGTCTGATCTTCACGCATCGCCCTAAGCTTGGTACATCGGGCAAGGCGGGTCTCAACCTGACTGCCTTGTATGGTACGGAGACTGTCCCTATTGGCAAGGTTAATTACCTTCAAATCATGTCATATGAGGGAATCTCTCATGAATCAGAAGACCAGTGGAAGTGGGGAGGTATGTTTTTTGATCCCTTGCGTTTGAGCGACTCTCTAATTGTGATCAGGCGCCAAATTTACCGCGATCTGCGCAGAATCAGGCAAAAAGGCCATCTTGAACAAATTCGAAAGCGACTACTATTGGCACTATCGCACTTACCCTGTCGAAATGCCCATTAAGGTTCATGATTGGAAATGGGAGGATGAAAACCTGCAAGGGAATCATCCTTTTCCGAGAGAGTACTTGTGTTACGACCCAAGTCACACTCAGCAGTGCAGGAAGCCAAATACGTTGTAAACATGCAAGAGGCTTATTTTTGGGTTCGCTTTGGGTTCGCTTGTTTGCTTAGAAATCCAGCCAACATGCCCCCGGCCTCGGAGCGGCTAGATACGGCGGCCACCCCGAGCACCAATTCGAAAACCTTGTAATGATAAGTACGGAGTATGCATTGCAATACCTCTGGTTACAATCAATACAGTGAATTCTGCCATTTGCCCCTCCTTGCTGAAAATAGAATGCTGCGCCAATTCTGTGTCCGCAGCGCGCCCAAGTGTCTACATCATCCCCCTCACCCCAAATCTGGAGCTTCCCTTGCTACCCCACCAACGCCTCCCATACATTACAAACAAGCACGACATCTGCTTCAGCCTCGCGCGGTTCACACCTCTTCCCTCCTCCAAACCAAAACCCAAACCTCCCCTAATCTACGCCGCTTCTTCCACTCCCAAGCCCCCAAGATGGCTCCCATCCCCGCGACCATGAAGGCCATCTCCATCACCAAGAACGGCGGCCCGGAGGTCCTCGAGTACACCGACGTCCCCGTCCCCGTTCCGCAGCCCGACGAGATCCTCGTCCGCAACCACGTCGCCGGCGTCAACTTCATCGACACCTACTTCCGCTCCGGCCAGTACCCTTCCCCCACCTTCCCGCGCATCCTCGGACAGGACGCCGCCGGCGAGGTCGTCGCCGTCGGCCCCGCCGCCGCCGTCCCGCACATCCCCGGCAGCACCGTCGTCTTCATGAACGGCACCGGCACCTACGCCGAGTACTCGACCGTCAAGGCCTCCGCCGCCGTCGCCCTGCCCGAGGGCGTCGCCCGCGAGGACGCCGTCGCCGCCTACCTCCAGGGCCTGACCGCGTGGACCTTTATCCGCCGCGCGGGGCTCACCCAGCCGGGCGAGTGGGCGTTCGTGCACGCCGCGGCCGGCGGCGTCGGTTCGCTGCTCGTGCAGCTGCTCAAGCGCGTCGTCGGCGCGCGCGTCATCGCCACGGCCAGCTCCCCGGAGAAGCGCAAGATTGTGGAGGGGCTCGGCGCGGACTACGCGCTCGACTCCAACGAGGACTGGGTGGCGCGTGTCCAGGAGATCACCGGCGGGCACGGCGTCGACAGCATCTACGACGGCGTCGGCAAGGCCACCTTCCACAAGGACCTGGAGATGATTGCCGTGGGTGGCAGCCTCGTGATGCTGGGCAATGCTGTAAGTTTTCATCTTTGGTTTCCTTTTTGATACCGTCGACTATGGGCTCGAACGCAGTGGCACTAACACTTATCTGCAGTCCGGCAACGTTGAGCCCTTCGATATCCGGCCGACCCTCGGCCCAAAGAACGTCCGACTCTCTCGTCCCATCCTTTTTGGCTACCTCACGGAGCGGGAAGCGCTGGAAAAGTACGCCGGCGAGTTGTTCGAGTTCATTCGCTCTGGCAAGGTCAAGGTACTTCACCATGCTACTTACGACCTCAAGGACACAGCCAAGGCGCACGCAGACATTGAGAGCCGAAAGACGACCGGCAAGTTGCTTATCAAAATTAACTAAATTGACCAATACGTCACTATAAATATTAAAAGCGGATCACGGGCTGGCATGAACATTGGGATGCACATCTTGCGCATCGACTTTGACGTTACCATTAATTTTCCTGGCTATGGGGGTTCCGGCCCTTCTTTACCATTTCATCCTCTCATAGCTTTAAATAGCCTAAATTCTATCATATCCGAAATCTATCTGACTTTAAAAGCCTTTGACATCTTCTGTGCTTCTGCTCGTCTTTCCTTCTAAGTCCCACACCTTCTAAACCTTAGGTGTCTGAACGGCATTCATCAACTCGGCCGGTGGCTCTTGGCGGTAGCCCTGGGGGTTGTTGCTGACCCAGCGCCACAGGTCCTCGCAAGCCTTTTCCAGGAGCATCTCAGTCTTCCACTTGAGTTCCTTGTTAGCCAAGGTAGGGTTGGCGGTAAGGTCAAGCACGTCGCCTTGGCGGCGGGCAACAACCTCGTAGGGAAGATCGCGGCCGACAACGGCGCTAAAGGCCTTGATCATCTCAAACACAGTGCTGCCGCGCCCAGAGCCAAGATTCCAGGCTTTGACACCCGGCTTGTTGTCGCGAAGGTACTGCAACGCCGCGAGATGTCCCTTGGCGAGATCGATGACATGGATGTAATCGCGGATGGCCGTACCGTCGCGAGAAGCATAGTCTGTATAATACGGTTAGCATTCCATTCTATTTCACTTTCAGGTGTTTACATGCCATCGCCGAACACGAGAAGCTTCTCGCGCTTGCCAGTCGCAACCTGGCCAAGAAGAGGCAAAAGGTTGTAAGGGACACCCTGGGGGTCCTCGCCCATGATACCACTGGGATGTGCACCGCAGGGGTTGAAGTAGCGCAGAAGAGCGCCGTTCCAGTGCTCAAAGGGCTTGCCCTCCTTCTTCAGTCTGTTGCGCTCGGCGTTGACGTGGTCGGTGATGACGTCCTCAATGGTGGACTTGGTGCGGCCGTAGGTGTTTGTGGGACCGATCGGGCAATGCTCAGGGATTGGAATCATGTTGGGAAATCGCGTCGCATCGCCGTAGACCGTGGCGGAGGAGGAGAAGACAATGTTAGAGACGTTGTGGCTGGTCATGGAACGCATGAGGCTGATGCTGCCACCGACGTTAACACGGTAGTACTCGAGAGGAATCTCGCCAGACTCGCCAACTGCCTGTGAAGGAATACATGAGTAACTTCATGCAATAGGATCGTTTCTGTAATAGATTCGCATACCTTGAGGGCGGCAAAGTGAATGACGGAGTCAATCTCGGGGTGCTTGTCGAAGACACCATCCAGGGCCTTCTCGTCGGTCAGGTCAACGTTGTGGAAGGCCGGGCGACGGCCGCATAGTTTCTCAATGCGGTCGAGGACATTCTCGAAAGAGTTGTAGAGGCTGTCGACGATGACGACATCGTAGCCGTTTTCGAGGAGTGTCAAGGTGGTGAAGGAGCCAATGTAGCCGGTGCCACTGCGACAATGATTAGCCCCGCCATGTTACAGTGCTTGCGCGTGACGCGGCGAGAGACGCCAGCCGAGGAGCGCAGAGGGTCAGAGGTTTACCCGGTGACAAGGACAGTTCCGACAGGCATGGTGCTTTGATTTTGCACTGTAAACTGCTGGGCAGAGATTAGGGATGCAGAATGAAAGGGAAAAAGAGGGCAGAAAGACACGAGGCTGATGTGGTGCAAGGTGGGGGGCTGATTTAATTCCCGCCACAGAGGCGCAACCGCCAGTGGGGGGTGCATGCCAATGGCCATCTGTTTTTGTACAATTTTGTATGCATGTTCATGCGTTACTCCTTTGACTAGTAAAAGAGTGAGCAGGTCGCGGAACGCATCGAGAAAGGAGACCTAGAGCTACTTGATGAGGCGAATCAATGTGCAATGGTTGGAGGTATTCCCTAGCATTCGCTTGCGCCGTAGTTACTACATAGGTAGTAACGTATATACAGTATATACCAAAACTAATGGCTCATATGCTCACTAACTACCAGGTACAGCAGCACCTCTTATCCTCGAGTGACGTGATTGGACCAACCCCCCTGCAAAATACCAGCTTGCTTCTCCACAACAGTCAAAAGAATAGACAAAATAGATTCGAAACCAAGGCGGCACTCTAAAATCATATGTTGGCTTTAAGTCTATCAGTAGGGGAAATTGCACGTCATTGTTATGCACTTTTGAGAACTCATCGGCTAGCTGTAAAATGGGAGCGCTTCCTCTAACTTTCCAGTTTTGGCATCCTCTGACTACGAGCAGAAATGTTGTTAGTCGAAGCCAGTCTGTGTTGGGAAGTCCACAACATACCATTGCTTCTGCAAAACCCGTCATTAACTGTATTTCTAATTGAAGCAGAATTTGAGAGGATTCGTCTGTCTTGTCCCTCATCCGCGAATTATCAAAGTCCAGCCAGAAAACTCTATCGGGTGGTCCCCGAACAACCATCATATTTCTCGGGTATGTGTCGCCGTGAATGAGGCCAGCCTCGTGAAACTCGAAGAGAATTGCAGAAAGCCTATCGATATTGTCTTGAGAAAAGTTGCTGAGGTCGATCTGTTCAGCGTTTGGTATATATTCGATAAGAATGGCGCTAGGTGGACGTTTGTGACCTGAAAATATCAACAACTCCGGCCAGAGATCTGTATCTATATACTCAATGGTTCCATAGAATTTTGGAACAAGGCCTCGCTTGCAAAAGCCCTTTTCTTTGAGTAGCCGATAAGCACTGGCTTCTGTATAAAAGGTGTCCTGGGTTTCAATATCCTTAAACTAAGTAGGGTTTTAGCGTGCTGTGAGTGTGCTGTGGATAGGTGCCACGCATAATTAACACTGACCACTTTCATAACGCAAAGCTTGTTTCGAAATTCAACTTTATAGGTAATCACAAGATTGTTGTCGTTTTTCCGGTCTAGCTTGGTCTGAAGAATCTCGAGAAAGGTGACCTCGGAAGGCTGGATGTCGACCAGTTCATCTTTCGAATCGTCGTCGAGCGAGGATGGTGGAGAGGATGGCAGAGCGGATGGGGGAGAGGATGGCAGAGCGGATTTGACAGTGGCCGGAGGTGAGGACGACATCTCGGCGATGAATTCTGCAGCTTATCGCGAACTGCTTTTTGGTGGTGATGACAAAGAAGAAGGGAAGTTCAGAGGAAAGCCATTGTGTCGCTGGCGCTCACGTCGGTCCACTGCTAATAAAAGAGGGCATCTGCCCCACTTTGGCCGAGCGGCAGAAAGAGGAGGTGAGCCACAAGACAGAAACAGAAACAACACAGGTAAATCAGCATGGCCAAGTCAATCATGCTGGTTTCTAAAAATACTTGATTATTCTTACTTGTCCCCTCTAAAAAATTGCGCTGTTTATCAATCAATTACAAATTTATCCCAAGTGCGATTGGCGCTGTCGACTAGGTAGTTGTCACTGCGGAGTTCTTCCGGCTACGAGCCATAATATTTGTCAGTTATTTTGAGTTCCGTCACACGCACTGTTTCACTCCCAGTCCTTGCCAGGCCAATTCTGTGAGCTTCTACTCTCTGGCTCATTTGGATTCTTCGTTGAGGTGATCGGTCTCTCTACTAAGCTTTCGAACTAATCACGACCGATGCCTCGTCCCTCATGCTAATTGATTGATGCAATAGATGCGTATTACTTAGTACATAGAATTAGGATGCATGGCAAATGTCGTACATCCTTTTATAGACTTCTGTACAGCGCAACTGGAGTGCACTATCCTCTTATTGGCGGGTCCGCGCGCATGCTGTCCCACTTGAAAGATCTGAGTGACTTCTATATTATGGCACATGGACTGACAAGAGGAGAAAATTGAGGGCCTCGTTTGTTTGCCAGTTAGGATGGCTACGTTAAGCCTTGTTACCTGCAGCCAAGAACTGGCCGGCGCTTACAGACGCACTTTGATGGACCCAATTTCCAAAACTACCCAAGGAAACAAACAGCTGTCCCTAGTTAATCTCATGCTACGTCCCTCCTCTCCAATCGGTATTTTAAGGCCTGCGCCTCTTCGAAACCCGGTGGCTTGCAGCAATGGTGCACGGCGTATTATGCGGAACTGCGGGGACAATGTAGTCAATTGACCCAATATGAACAGATCTTGGCTCCCTCAAACTACCAAATAGTTAGATGGAGACTTCATGTCCGTAAGCGCCGCTGCGGACATGTTCAACTCAGGTTGACCCTGGCCGTTGCCAATCAAATGCAAGACAAGGGTTGAGGCGTGGTGACTTCAGGTGCATTAAAGAGTATGGCATGTCCTCTACTAGAACACAGCCCTGATTCTCAAAGAACACTACAAGTATACCAAAGTTTACCAGAGGTGAGGATAGCCCAGAAGATAGCAGTGTTATTAACGAGGAATCGAGGCTAACACAAGATCAAGCAGCACAATTTGAACTTGCCTCGACAAGCAACCCGAGCAAAGCGACCCAAAAATGGCCACCGTCACGCTCATGCAATTTCTACAGAATGACCCGAATGCGCTTCGGTACTATCATCGCGGCCAACGCCCTACCACCACTTCGAACAAACTTTTCGAGATCGCTGCCGTTAGGGAGATCCGTGCGTGGCCTGAGTTTAGCCTACAGAACATTGTGAATCGGTTTGGCAACCTGCTCAATAACGTTCAAATTGCAACCGATGTGCAGCCAGTCACGCCCCCTCCACGCTTCGCAGCCGAGGACTACCTGCGAGAACTTGTCGCTATATACGCCGACCGCCCCGTTCGCCGCGCCCTGGCCTCGACGTTTGAGCACATGACTGCAGATCCCAACCATCCCGACCCCGATTTGGCAGGCCGAACCCCGACCACATTGGGCGCTGGATCCTCGGCGAAACTCATCTCGAAATTTGTGCCAGACAGGGCTATATACGACCCCAGCCTCGATGAGCCTATCAATCGCCTGCCAGGCGAGATTAAACCGTCATGGAAGTGGAAGTGGGACTGGGCCATCGCAGAGGGCTCAGCTCGCAGCAGCATGGCCTTAGTGCGGCTCTCACAGCTCACCTTTTACATGCTGCAGCAGGGATACCGCGAACCGCACTCGGGTGCCCGGTACGGTTACATGCTTACAGACCAGGAACTGGTGGCCTTTCGTAAAATTTCGCGACGCGTTATCTGTATGTCGGAGCGGGTGCCGTGGGGGGGCCAGCAGGGGAACGGGCCTGAGAGGCTGACTGTTTTGCTGGCGCTTTGGTATCTGGGAATGTTGGCTTCCGATGATGACGACTGGAACCTCGACGCACAGCCAGACGACCCGACTGACGCCCAACTAATCACCCAAGCGTCGGCTAGTAGTCAGCCGGCTCGCCAACGTTAGACAGGCACACGGGGGGGGATTAGGGTCGCTTGACGCTTGGCTGTGTGTTTTGAATGCTATGGTTTTCCTGTCTTTCCTGTCTTTCTTTAAATCTTTCCTGTCTTTCTTTGAATCTTTCCTGTCTTTCTTTGAATCTTTCCTATCTTTCTTTTCATCTTTCCTGTCTTTCCTGTCTTTCTTTTATCTAGCAACTAGTTAGTATTATAGCTTTATTAAAATCACTAGGGACCTAACGTTAGCCACCCACATCTTAGTACCACCTATATCTTAGTAGGTTATAAATAATAGAATTTTATTAAAAATACTATTAAGTTACTTATTAAACTATTAGTATATATTTTTAATATTTATTATTTTAATAAATAATCTATTAGGATTTATAAATATAGTTTATTATTTTTTAGACTTTAAAAGGTTAATTTTTATAAGAGCTTAGACTATAGCCTAGCTAGATTAATAGTCTAGTGGCCTAAGGCACAGACATAATAGGGGGGACTCCCCCTTATATATAGTAGCCACTTTAGAATAACCTCCCTATCTCTTCCTGTAACGGTGGCTCTTCTCTAATCCACAGTAAATCTGTTTCTTAGGAAGTGAGTCGGTTGAGTGCACAATAGAGTGCAGATGAGCAGTATCATAGCTTGAGTCACGTTAGGAGGTTACTCCCAATAGTAGAACTATTGCTTAGATTGATCAGTAGAGATCTAGTCTGGCTATCTACTGGAAATCCCCTTCCTTATATATCCATCCTATCCTCTACTGTGCTACCTGGATCACTTTTATATTTTAGTACTTTTATATTTAATAATATAATATCAGTACTACTAAAACTATTCTAGTCTCTTTTCCCCGCCTCCTTCAGTCTATCCAATCTTCGTGTAAAGTCTATACTTAGCCGTAAGAGTTCTCCATTCTCAACAGGGCTGGCATCGCACGGGTCGTATTTGCTGATAGATTCGGTCCCGGGAAATAGTGGGAGATTGGAGCCTATAGGGCTCAGGAGGATGGGGTCATACTTGATTGGCGTCTTTGCCAACACAGGCAACGGCTGCAGTGTCTTTAGATATCCTACATTAGTCATTTTCTCAATGGTATCTGGAGGCAAGGCCTCTGCAACGCTTTGGGAAAGCTCTGGGTAGTCTGCCGTGTTGAAGTGCTTGAGGATTGACATCGCAGTGCCGGCCAAAGACGGGCTGACGACATAGCCACCGCCTTCCTTCGCTCGCCTGAGCAGAGCACTTTGGATAGCCAGCGCCCCATAGTACCCCGTAGTATAGTCATTGATGACCATCCCCGGCGGCCAAGAAGGCTCTCGAGGCCCCCCCCCGCAAAGCGCCATCATGCCAGAGGCAGCAGAGCCTTGCATGTCAAAGCCCGGCCGCGAGGCCCATGGGCCAGTGGTGCCATACGCACGAACTTGAGAAATAATCAGGCTCGGGTTGGCCTCGTGCAATTTTTCGGTGCCAAATCCGAATTTGGAAAGCGCACCGTCCCTGTACGAGTCAATCCAGACATCAGCGTCCCGTACAAGCGACCAGAGATGCCGTCGATCTTGGTCCTTGTGAAGGTTGAGTCTTGCGGAAGCGCAGCCCAAGTTGGCATACGTGTATACAAAGCTATGCTCGAAACCATGCGTATACATAATCTGTAGGACCGAGGCTCCGTGCTCAGCTAATGTTCGCCCGGCGCTGGGGCCAGCAATAGCGTGTGTCATACAAAGAACCTTGACGCCTTCCAATGGCCGAAGAGGGTTACCTGGAAGCGGTAGGGGCGGGGTGGAGATGACTTTCTGGACAGGCACTATGTGCATTTCTGCGAGATGCCTCCCGTGATCCGACTCTGCCCACTGTTGTTCTGATCGGATGATCGCGAGCGGCAGGCCAGCCTCTGCGCAGGCAGCTTCGAGTTCTTCACGCACAGTTAATGACAGCCCGGATGAGGTACGGAAAATAATGGCATGAAACGCACCGTTTGCATTCCATTTCTTGAAAGCGGCTCGCACATCATTCTCGTTCATCGAGGATGACAAAAAAGCGCTCCATTGATAAGCCAAGTCGACGTAAACGGCCGAAGCGACGACGAAGCGACCGTCCTTAGTCTCAAAGATATTGCGCAGATATGGGTTTCCGACTACCATGTCCATTGGAATCTCCTAACCATATTTCGTCAGCTTGCAACTATCCATCGGCAATAGGTCCCAGCCCACTGCGGGATGATGCGAGCATACCTGGCCGTTTATAGTTGGCGTCATGCCAATGTTGGGGTCAATGTAATTGTGTCCCCTTGCCAAGTCGACTGTTATCGTTTGGCTGGGACCTCCGCGCAGCTCCAAGATCCGTGCAGCGGCTAATGCATTGGCAGCGGCGGGAATAGCTCCAACAAGAGAGAGCAGAAGACGTTGGCTATTGGTTGAGGCTAGAGCGGGTACATCGCCTTCAAACATCACCTTCGTCTCCTGGTCGTCATCGCTGGACAGTCCAAAGTCTGCCAGTAGGATGTTAAGAATACTGCGTGCAGCACGGTGCGAAGCAGGTTGGGGAGGAGACATGCTGGGTTGTTAATTCGTCTATGTGCAAGAACAGTAGCTTACTTGATACGTAACTTTCATGCTGGGCGTGGTAGTTTTATACTTGAGCAAATATATGGTGTGTTGACAGTAGTTGTGGTGGATACCCGGATGCGGATATAGAATCACGACGGCATGCACAGAGGTTGTTTGGGCGGATATGTGGATATACAGATACACGGTTGCGATGGCCGTAGATTTGTTGTGGTGGATATGGATATAGAACGTCAATGGCGGATATAGGGAAATACACCGTTGTTGAGGTGGGCGTAGGGCTGTACGATCGGATATGTAGTCGGATATACGCCGGATATACACAGATGTGGTCGTGTTAGTATAGATATGGCCGGCTTGGCGGATATAGAACTACCGAAAGATCGAGTTAATGATCGCTGAAACAGTGTGGGGTAAATGCCGGGGCACTTGAGCTTGTGCTGTTTCTATATCATCTCCTCGTGTCGTGCAGCCACATAGTGCGTATAGCCTAGCCGCGGCTGGAGTATTCTCAAAGAATATATAAAGAGAGCGACCTAATACATGATACTAGGCAATCAGGTAACCCATTAAACTCACCAGTAGCTACCATGGATACCAAGCCCGAAGCAGACACCGGCCATGTTGAGCTTGCTCCGAACAGCGGCACCAACTTGACCAATATCTCCCCCGGCGCGGAACGACAAATGGTGCAAAAAATCGACTTCATTTTGGTGCCCCTAGCCATTATTACGCTGGGTCTGCAATATATTGATAAGACCATCTTGAGTGGTGTATCCCAATTTGGAATCATCCAAGACCTTCAATTGTTCGAGATCAAAGGCGTTGACCCAAGCACCTCCAAACCCATAATTAGTCTACAACGATTCTCAGCAGTAACCCTTATATTTTATTGGGGGTTTCTAGCAGGAAGTGTGTGACTTGTCTGCCTCACTTTTAACGCTAACCAGCTAACCGTCTCACTATAGCAATACCAGCTGCCATCCTGGCCCAAAAGCTTCCCGTTGGAAAGTTTCTGAGTTGCACAGTCATTGTTTGGGGTCTTTTGACTGTTCTCACGATCAAAGTACACAGCTATGCTGCGCTACTGGTTTTAAGGTGCGTTTTCATAGCCCATAACAAACACGTTGATGTTATGAATGTTAACTATCCATCTTAGATTCTTCCTCGGAGTTGCCGAGGCTGGCGTTGGCCCAGGATTTGGTGTTTACATTACAATGTTCTGGACAAGGCAACAGCAACCTCTCCGATACTCAATTTGGTACGCAGCTACTGGTCTTGGTGGCCTGCTGGGTCCTATGATTATGTACGGCATGGTACATGTGGATGGGCCGCTCCCGCGTTGGCACTATCCCTACATTATTTTGGGCAGTGTTACCATAGCCTGGGGGATTGTTCTGTTCATTTGGCTTCCCAACAACCCCGAGACCACATGGTTCTTGAACAAGCAGCAGCGTCTCCTTGCTGTCGAGAGAATTCGCACCGAACAGACTGGGATCGAAGACAAAACTTTCCGGTGGTACCAAGCAATGGAACTGGTTACGGACCCCAAGTCATATCTTATCCTGGCTATGAACTTTTGCTTACACTACGTCAATGGGGCTATCTCCGGATTTGGTACCATCATTATAACGGCTTTCGGTTTTAGCCAATTCAACGCGGTGCTCTTAACTGGAGCCGTTGGTGCAATGGTCTTCGTGACACTGATCCTCGCCGGAATAGCCGGCAGTTATATCAAGAACAGCCGACTCATCATCTTTACCCTTTGCGAAATTCCGGTCATTATCGGCGCTTCCTTGATGTGGAAGATATCATGGCATACACACAGAAATATTGGTATTGCTGGCTTTATCCTGCTTGGTCCATTTGCGGCATCATATGCTATGTTGTTGGCTCTAGTCGGCGCAAATACTGCGGGTCACACGAAAAAGGTCCTGATGCAGGCTATCATCTGGTCGAGTTACGCAATCTGCAATGGAATTTCCCCTCTCTTTGTCAGGCAAACAGAGGTCAAGGCGCAATATCCTTCCGCTTTCAAGGGAGCCATCATCACGGCAGCCATCGCCGTTGCCTGTGGTGTTATGATGCGATTTTATCTCCAGTACCAAAACTACAGGAGAGACAAAACATATGGCAAACAAACCGAAGAAGACATCCAAAATGCCAGGTTTTTAGATCAAACGGACATGGAGAACAAAACGTTTAGGTACGTTCTCTAAGGACGTACATGTGTGGCAAGAGGAAAGCTGTGCATATGATAGAATTGACTTGATTCGATTCGGATTGATTCCATTTATACTCCGTAGCGGAAAGGGAGAGGGGTGGCAGTCACTCAACAATGTTCTGTAGCGATAATGTCCCCTAACCCGCACGTGGTTTGTTCGCACTTAATTCTTGATGGCGGTTGTTAGGTAGGGCGATCTTTTCACCAGCATTCTGCCGCTCATCATCAAAGCAGTAGTCTTTTTCTACCACAAGGAGCAGCATCTGCTACCTACATTTATCCCGTATCTTGTTGTTTGTACAAATTTAATAGTGCGAATGCTAGCATTAAATATTAGATTGAGAGCTACCGAGGATGCACCGGAATTTCAAATGGAATCATCGGGCGTCTGTCAAATTGATTCGCACATCTAACATAGGGTCTCGCTTTATTCGCCAAGCGAATAGATCATCGTCAAATCTTCCGGGTACACATCCGGTATCATGCCATCGAACAGCCTGTCCACGAAACTAGTACAGTCGCCCGATCTTGGTCCCGCTTCAGAGCTTTTCCGGCTCTCGAGACTAAATATATTCCCAGGCATGTTACTAGTTTCAGCGAAGTCTGATCTCTCCGGCAATTCAGCGGCCACGTTGGACAGTAACCCCTTAGTAGCCCGGGTAAGATCGAGTTCACTAAGAGTGGCAAGCTTCTGCAACGTGCTCTTGCATCCGTCCAAAGCATGGCCCCATCGGGTGGCTTGATAGCGAAGCAGAATCAGCGCCATGGATGTATAACGAGTCGCTTCTAGCGTACTCGATTCGCCCTTCCAGAATGAGAGCAAAATGATGAAAGAGGCTGTCATTATCCTCTGGACTTGTCTCCATGTCGGCGGCAGCACAGCTTCTGTCAAACCCCACGGCCATGTGTCGCAATCGCGGGTGTCTTGTTGGCTAGCATTCATTGATACTGCAGGTGCTGTCATCTCAAAGTAAATAGAGAGGATTGATTGGGCCGCATGCAAGCATACGCTCAGCGACGAGACCCAGCTCGCTTCATGACTAAGGAATGGCGATCGTAAGAGGAGTCGATACCTGCATAGTTAAGCATTAGTAATACCATGCACGATAATACAAGATAGGGTTTCCCTACTTACCAAAACATGTGCAAGCGAGCGAGTGGTCCGTACAATTCCCCAAAACTACAACGACTTGAATGTTGACCGAAGGGGCGCTGCGCTAGGATTGAATAGCGACCAATGGCAGCCTCAATCTGAGGAAGATTATCCCAAGAATGGTCATTATTAACCAGAGCTTCTAACGCGATGTTGTTTGACTTCATTATTTGGATCAAAGGCAGAACGCTTGGCTCTTGATGGATTAACGGCTCGAAAAGGTCCTCGGGGAGTTTAGAAGCATCGATAGCAGGTCTGGTGCCATGAGTCTGTGCAGAATACCTAGTAAAACCTTTAGCCGGAGAAAGGGTCGAGTGCGTGCTGGTTTCTTACTGATCAGACATCATAATGAGCAGATATAAGCGCAGCCTATCCAGTTGAAAGGGTGACTCTTTCTTTTCTTGCATACCGAGATCATGGGCTATCTGCACACTCAGGGATGCGATAGCTCTCGCGTGATTCGAGGTGCCGGTTATCAGTGCGCAGAGGTGGTGAATGTGAACTGATATGCAGAGGTTGAATGTTGCCTCGCCGGGATAGGCATCCAAAAGCTGACGAGATTCCTCAAGGAAGACTCTGCTCGCCGTATATTCAGCAGAGCATAGTGACCCAAGAGCTAGAATTGCGAATAAGAGGATCTTCTCGTCCGTTGGACTGTCTTGGACGTCTATCATAGAAGCTACCGCTCGCTGGTGCTGCTCGGCAAGGTTTTCTCGAATAAGGGTCGCTAACATCAGCAGCTGTGCATCGTCAGGTAGCATACGACGCAGTATCTTCATATTGTGATTTAAAGAAGCGAGCCAGCGCGTAACGTCACCCTGACAAAGGTGTGAGGGTTCAAGTCTCGGTAAACTAGATGTGGGTACCCCCGGAAGAGATAAACACGGTTCCGTGAGATCACATTCCAGGTGATAGCCTGTAAACCAACGGTCGGTTTAACATGCTTGCGTGTCGAAACAGATAAGACTGACCTAGAGATTGCTCCGCATAATCCAAAACTAGGCCCTTGACGATATTGAGGCGGTCCTTGTAGCAAAGCGGATTGAGAAGCGGGTCTACATCGTCTTGAGTAAACTGGGCTGCAAGTGCACGAGATTGAAGCGAAGCAGCAGCGTCGGATGGTGAAGCCTGCGGGGTTTTACGCTGTCGCGCTCGGGCTGTTGATTCCCTCCGCAGTGGCCGCGCCTTGGAGCGGACTTCACAAAGTTTGCCAGAGTCGCGACAAGCTTGACAAGGACGTGGTGGTTGGCAGCGTTTCCGGAGCCTCCGACATCGTTCGCAAGCGATTGCAGTTCTACTGGTAGACTCCATGAGAGATCGAGCAGGTTGACAAGGAGCTGCAGACTATGGTGGATAGTGGTAAAATAGTAGATATGGACAGGAACTATTTTACCGGTGTCTCCTCCATGTATTTCAGCGAGGGGTCAAAATGTGGATCTTGCTAAGTTAGTGGGGGATAAAAAACATCATCAGTCGCTGGACGCCCTGGTTATCTACAAAAAGCTATTTATGGCCATTTATAGGAAAATTAAATATTGTAAAAAAATACTAGCGGATTATGCGAGCTCTTTTTTCTTTTTCTAACTTCTGAACTCTTTGTTACACAAACCAAGGCTAGCTATAGCAGTGATGGCTAGTTGTACCTGCTGTGGCCTGGTATTGTGTAGGTATTGCGTACAGTAGCTATGCTCGACGGATGAACATGCCGCCGTTTCGGTCAGCGTGACGGGGTGCATCTAGATGCGCACCCACATTCTCACTAGGGGCTAACAGTCCTAGCTTCTTAACCTAAATATCCTCCTACAGTAGTAACTATACACTATTTAAGATAGAACTACTTCTTCTTACTTAGTAGTTTTTACTATAACTAGCTTCTATTAGTACAGAGTTACTTATACTATTTTATAGTTTTTTTTAGTACTACTAAGGCTTTAATATATACTTTTATATAGTAAAAGAAATAATTAAAATATTTTTATAAGTAGTTTATTCTATTTAAGTAGTTAGTTTATTTTTTAATTAATAACTAAAAGTACTTTTTATTCTTTAGTATTATTTATTAATCTTTATATAATAGAAGTTACTAAGTATAAAGTACTTTACTTAAAGGACTCTAGTTATATAATAATCCTTTATATAATTTTATAATATAGAATTATTACTACCTCCTTATAGAGAGCTTAGTAGTAGCTTACTATTATATAAATACTCTTATACACTTAATATATATAATATAGGGGCTCTAATAAGTACCCTAATAGGGCCTTAATAGACTATTCTTCCTTCTTATATACTATCTTTAGTGTACTTATTATTAAGTATATATATAGTATTATTAAATATACTAGGCCTTTATAGGTTCTTTATATATAATTTAGTAGTTATATTTTTATTATTTATTTAATAGTTTATACTTACTTTATAATTAGTTCTTTTTTTTTATTTAACTATACTACTCTTTTATTATATAATTATTATATTTCCTTTAAGTTTTCTTTTTCTTTTCTTTTTTCTAATTAATATATTTTTTACTTTTATTTTCTTTTTATTATTTCTTTATCTTAAAGTAAAAAAGTCTTTATTATTATACTTCTATACTATTCTTTTATTATTCTTTTATTAAGCCTTCTTTTTCTTTTTATTCTTTTATTTAATATATTTTTTACTTTTATTTTCTTTTACTACTTTTTTAGTTTAAATATAAAAGACTTTATTAATACTTATTATAAGTATAATATAGTTTTATTATATATATATAAGGTTTTTATATTTTTATTCTCTTTATTTAGTAGTCTTTTATTTTTAATTTTAACTTTATAATTACTTTACTAACTCTAGTATAGGTTATTAAAGATAAATATCCTTTAAGGCCTTATTTTTTTACTTTTTTTCTTCTTTTTTTTTAAGAATTATTAAATTTTATATATTTTAATACTCTTATTACTCTTATATATATACATTATATTATTTTTATTAATTTATAATATTAGACTTTTATTCTATTATTACTATTATTTTTATAAGAATTTATAAATTCTAATAGTTTATTAAATTTATAATTAATTTATATATATAGTAATTAAATAATAACTTTTTTAAAATTAATATATATATTCTTTATAGCTTTATAGTAAATTTACTAACTCCTTATAAGTATAGATTAGTCTAAGAAGTGCTTTTAGTACTAAGATAGTATATAAGAGTGCCTTACCCTTACTATAAGTGAGTAGTGAGTTTTTATTACTCTTTAGACTATATACTATTATAGTAAAATAGTAAGTTATATTTATTCTTATAGTGAGTTTATAGTTAATTTATTATTAGAATAAGTCTTTACGTTTATAGAGTAAGAAGATCTTAGGAGATACTAATAAAGTTATTAAGACTTTATAAAAAAACACTATTATATTAAAGTAATAACTAAGTATAGAGTTTATACTAATACTATAATATATATATAGTTCTTTTCTATATATATAGTATACTACTATACTAGTATTATATACTCTCTTATAGTAAGTATAATAAGTCCTTCTTATAACTTTATAACTAACTTATATAAGTATCTACTAGCTTACTAAACTTTAGTATAGTACCTACTCTACTTAACTTTAAGTAGGAGGAGAAGTAGTTATAGTTTTACTATAACTTTACTATAGCCTTATATTAAAAAAGTTTTAAGGATTTTAGTGTTTTTATATTATAAGCTTACTAGTAACTTATTTTTTACTTATACTATATTTATACTAATTTTATTTTACTAAATGAGAATTCCTAGTTTTTTTATAGTGTCTTTATATTATCTTTATAGTACATTCTTATTATATCTCTATACTCTTTAT